GAATATCCCATGAATATCCCATGAATATCCCATGAATATCCCATGAATATCCCATGAATATATCCCATGAATATCCCATGAATATCCCATGTATCCCATGAATATCCCATGAATATCCCATGAATATCCCATGAATATCATGAATATCCCATGAATATCCCATGAATGAATATCCCATGAATATCCCATGAATATCCATGAATATCCCATGAATATCCCATGAATATCCCATGAATATCCCATGAATATCCCATGAATATCCCATGAATATCCCATGAATATCCCATGAATATCCCATGAATATCCCATGAATATCCCATGAATATCCCATGAATATCCCATGAATATCCCATGAATATCCCATGAATATCCCATGAATATCCCATGAGTATCCCATGAGTATCCCATGAGTATCCCATGAGTATCCCATGAGTATCCCATGAGTATCCCATGAGTATCCCATGAGTATCCCATGAGTATCCCATGAGTATCCCATGAGTATCCCATGAGTATCCCATGAGTATCCCATGAATATCCCATGAATATCCCATGAATATCCCATGAATATCCCATGAATATCCCATGAATATCCCATGAATATCCCATGAATATCCCATGAATATCCCATGAATATCCCATGAATATCTCCATTGATATCACGTTGAACCAACGTGGGCCAAAAGGCGCGTCCAAGACGATGGGATCATTGCCTCGGCGCCTGGCACCAAGGAGGCCATGGAGGCCAGAGGTTAGGCCATGGACGATGGAAAGTGATGAGATATGCCTATGGAAATTGGTGATTTCAATATATTTAATATATTTAAATAGGCCATGTTAATATATTGGTGATGTCAATATATTGGTGATATAGTGGTGTATAATAAAAAGTAATAAATAGAAACATGTTAATAATGTTAATATCATACGCTTCATTCCTAGGCCTTGTGCTATATAGGCTTTTCATTGTAAGTGCGAATTTCTATAGGATGCAGTGGTTTTCCATTCTTGCTATCATAGCTTCTCATCTAGGATGTGGAGGGAGGAAGTCTCAATTCCAGAGAGTGATGTATTTCGTGTAATAGGTTTATTGACGGTTTGTGGTTTAAAAAAATAAAGTGATGAGAGTATTTGAGTATGTGATACGAGATGTTTAACCAAAATGATCTCTTACAGTAAATGATCCATGACGGAGAAAGATCCCAACATAGATAAACTGGATAAACCTATTTGATCCTATTAGGTTTATCAATCCATTCGATTCTCTTCAAAGCTCTCCGTTCCCATCCGCCTGGACTGCTGCCGGGCCAAGAGTGAGCCGAAGCTCTTCCGGTACAAAGCGATAGCCTCCTTGGGGCAATCTTGCAGCCAAGGCCTTCTGTCATCCCCTTTGTATTGGTTGACAGTGGTTCTTACAATGGATTGTGAGATTGAATTAAATATGACTCTATATATATATATATGTATATAATATATATATATAGCCACCCACCTATTGCAGCAGTCCTTGTTCGATTCCAATGGAAGCATTGCAAGCTTCAGCCCAACAGAGGCGCAAGGAATTTGCATGGCTAAAGCATGGCAATGTGGTCAACCCAATGTCATAAACCTAGCATTTGGGGATGGGTCCAATATATAAATAAAATTCATATACCAATATATATTAATATAATTATAATTATATATATATGATTATATATGATAACAAGATTCGGGATGGTCTATGATTCATTGCGGTTTATGCATGCTTATGGCAGCCGGTTTAACGCAGGCCAAGTTTCCTCCTCTCTACCGACCTGGCACATGGCCGCAATGGTAGGCAGCATCATGTCCGGGCCGATGAACTCCGGGAATCGTTCTTCGATCTCCGCATACAATTTCAGCACCTGGCATAGCGATGGCTGTGGCTTCGGGAGAACATCATCCCCAATTGAGATTTATTACTGGGCAGATCCGAATTTGGAATGATGTAAAATGTAGTGACCTCATATTGATTGCCCGGTGGGTAAGTTTCATTGGGCTTACCACATGACTGCAGGTAACATGAAAATCTTCCCTCGCTTGCTGAGCTGGCTAATTCCATCAGAAACACCTCGTCCCACTGTCTCGCCCCTGCGCATGCAGCCAGAACTGTAAGGTAGGCAATGCGATCCTGACAGAAACTGATAGAAACTCCAACTTTTTGCTGCCGGGTGGGAACCTAAAATCCAGCCGGTTGCTTTTAAAGGGTGGCCCTTTAAAGGGTTTAACAAAACACAAACACAGGTGGAAAAATTGGAAGAAAATCCATGAAAATCCAAGCCCATCAGAGCTTTAAACGCCACCAAGCTGCCAGCTGGGTTCCATCCCGCTCCATGGTTCCAAGGAGTTTCAATGCAACGTCCCACTTGCCCAGCTGAACACAAGCCTGGAATCCATCAATACAACCAATGGTTTCATCAATGGTTTCATCATATTTCACCATACGTCAATCCCAATTTTTAGACAACGAAACAGAAACCTCAACATTTTAATCCTCAACATTCAGAAACCATACGTTCATAATAGTTCATAACTCATAAAATGTCTGAAATCTCTGGTGAACATTGGTGAAAATCCGCCTTCAGCACCGCATTGCAGGTCATGGAATGCGGGGTGATGCCACGACCTCCCATGGCGGTGGCCAGGGCCAGGATCTCCCGCCACTGACCGGCCTCCATGGCAGATGGAATGGGCTGGGGCAGGCTTGTTCCATCCAGAAATCCATGGAAAATCCATTGGAAAATGGATGAAAATGCTGGAAATCATTGGAAAATGAAGATATATGATGTATATTATATGACGTATATGAGTTTCTTGATGTTTTTGGACGAAAATTGACTGTCAAAAAGGCTTCGGCGGGAGAGTTCATCTCATTTCCAGTGGATATCTTGCCTGATCTCCAATATGATATTTGTCTCCATCTGATTTACATCCCAATGTATTCAACAAATCCCACTCCTGCCCAATGTCTCGCAGCCCCTTGTGGCCCCTTGGATCCCTTTGGCATTTTCCGACCCCTCGGTGCCTTCTCACAGATGCTGATGGCCATGTCAAAGTGCACTTCCGTGAAGTTCACCGAGGTATCCTCCACCAGGGTCTGGAAAATGTCCATGCCCTGCCGAGGGAGTCACAACTGGTATGGGTCTGAAACAGAAAAATCGGGGGGTCAAAAACTGGGGTTATCGTGGTATAGCCTCTAAAATCTAGAACATCGTCATTCTTCCACATTTGTCCCTTTTAATTGGGATAAATTCAGGGGCGTGCAGTTGCACTGTACAATGTTCCGTGATGCTGTCCCTATTCTGACCTCTCAGTGGAATCCAATAAGAATCCAATAGGAATCCATCCGTCCAAGCTCTCCTCATCCTCCTCACCCAGCCTTAGTTTCGTCTCTCTCTTGACCTTCTGCACCAAAGAGGGCACGTGTCAACTCCACGAGGTGAGACTCCTCCGGAGTTATGCCTCTGCCAAGGTTCTCGTCATGCTGCAGTTTGGAGACTCAAGAATCCGGACTTTGGAGACTCTCTAGGATTGTTTAAAAACCGATTTTAAAAAGCCTCACAAAGTCTTCTGATACACATCCGCCACAACATCCTTTTATGATTTCCAGTTGTTGGTGGTTCGCTGGGATTCAACCAACTTACTTGACTCTACGTGACGAATCGGTTTCGTTGGACAATGTGAAGTGCATCAGCATGCGACCACATAGCCCAACATTGCTATCCAAAGCTGTGCAAGCTGCCGTTCTCCCTCATTTCGATGTATAAATCATAGCACCGTTCGTAGTGCTCTTCAGAATATGATAGGCCTAGGTCGTTGCACTTCAACCGGCAGCTCTCAAAGCTTGACTTGTCATGTCTGTTTTATCTGTTTTGCATTTGTATTCTGCAGGCATCTTTCTTCCCACTAAGGTGCATATCCGTCGCAAGAAACCAATATGGCTGTCATTGGCTGTCATGATATCTAGAATCTAGGCTGCAAATTGTCCCCATCGTTGGACTGCTTTCTTCCACAGTTCAGCTAGTCAGCTAGTCCAGTGTGGAATTTGGTTGCCAAGTTGCCATGCATGATCGTTCGGTAGCACGATGAGTTTGGCTTAACACCATCTGCCTTCACATCGCTGAGGGAAGCACACCCCCCTCCCAGAAAACGACCCACTTCGTTGAGATGGCCCCGCCTGCATCGAATCGAACAAGGTGATGATATTCTCCTAGGGTCCAACTGAGTCCAACTGAGTCCAACTGAGTCCAACTGAGGCCAACTGAGTCCAACTGTGCAGCAGCTTGAAGTTCATGAAGCACCTTCTGGAAGAACATTGAGGTGCAAACCCACTTCTTTCGGCTGTTGCAGGAACCAAGTGCAAAATCATATGTGTGCCTCTGGGACGTGGGTCAGAAGAATCACCCAAGCAGCTGACTAGCGTACATTTCTGCCAACTTCCTACTTCACAAAAAAACTGTGCTTCACACCCCATCCCTACAGGGCCCTACAGTTCTGTGCCCTTCAGGTCATCTGAGAGCCCCGGGCACATCTGGTTTCACCGAATTCTCCCGCATTTCAGCCAAGAGCTTCAATGCAGCGGTCGTCGACCTCACCATCACACAACGAGATCTACCTACAGTATGTCCATCAGCTGCCATCTGTCCATCGCACCTGTTCCTTGCATGAAGTCTCATTAGCCTGTTGTAGCAGGAGATGTTCGGTCTGATCTCACGCGTCCTGCAAGCTGAGCTGAGTGAAATATTCAAAGTCCTGGTGCCAATCCGCCGATGATTTCCCAGGAATTCAGCTCCCCAAGACCCCGCCATTTCCTCATCTCATCCATCTGCTGGAAGAGTTCGGAGATGGAACCTTCAGCCTCCAAAGAAGCCATCTGCTCCTCGGACTGTGGCCAATCCCCACCGGCACCAGATTGTCCGGAAAGCTACTGAAACGCGCTGTTTTCCATGGTTTGTGGCCAACTGTTCGACGCCATTGTGGATCAGTCAGCTGTGGTTATATACTGAATACTTCACTTAAATTTATAACTTGCAGTATACTTGTGGGCACGCAAAGGTTGAAGGTGCTCAAGTCGAGGCCTCTTCACCGACCTAATACTGGGACTGCTGAGAACCCAGCAGCACAAGCTTCTGGCAAGAGCGTGAGGCTGTTCACCTCCGCGAAAAGTGTGAAAACCTGGCAGGTCTGCTGGCAATGTGAGAGAGGGAGGTTACAACATCTTGCAGTGAGCAGTTTCCTGCAAGCTGTGCCATGTCAAACTCAAACTGCTTCGGCTGGAAGTTATTTGAGTTGAACTCGCTACTCACTATATGGTGGCTGAGATTGTTGGTTCCTTTCTGTTGATGTCAAGTCGTCTGGTCAATGGAACTGGTGGCTCATAAGTTCATAAGCCTCTTCATGTAGTCCCGCAAGCCGCAAGGCACGCAGGGCCTGACACAACCGACTGGCAAAGCTCCTGCTGATCCGATCCTGCTGTGTGGTGACTGGCGCTTGTTGATAGGGCTGCTGTTGCTGTGAATCTTGCCGTTTGGTCATGCTTGATGTTAGGATTACCACTAGCATTGTCAGTGTGGAGTCTTGCTAAAAGCATTCCCTCAGCCGAAAATTTGTACCAGATTTACCATGTCCCTCCGATCTTGATTCTTTCTCCATTAAAATTCTACCCCTCCATTTGGGTCTGGAATCTGAAAATAGGGTATACCGGCCCGCCTAATCATTTAATTCAATGGGAAAACTATAGGAAAATGCTGACAAATGATGGGATTTGTTTGGCGGCGTTCCTATAATTGTCAAACAAACCCAAGTGGCCCAAGTATCATAATCAGGCTTTAAATCCCATATACAATTGGTTCTATATCCCATTCATATCCGAATAATATCATCATTGATATCCCAGGTTCTTGGCCTGAAGAGTGCTGGCCTCATCGGTAATGAGTTGCTGCCTAGGAAGCGGGAAGCGGCAACACCTATGGGTACAACAATGAGGTATAACTAAACAACAATGGTTGGGATATAGTATTATATAACCAACGGAATATATCTACATGACATATGGCATATAATACATTGTATGTGTGTGTGTGCGTGTGTGTGTGTGTGTGTGCGCATGTGTGTGTGTGTGGGCGTGTGTATGTATATATATATAATTATAAATATAATTGTATATATATGTGTGTGTATATATATATGTGTGTGTGCACATAACATAACTATATACGAAAAAATGGGACGTTGTGACAACAGAGTTGCATACTCGCGAAACAAACCCGATTTTGGCTCCATCCATCTCTCAAAGGGAGACCAGCGACAAACGTTGAGACCCTTGAGACCCCCCGCTCTCGGAGCAGATCCAAGGCCCTGAGCTGTTGCTTTTTGGCTTCTTTGACCACTTTCGCAATGCCTGCAAGGTCCACCGGATGGTGCTGTGAAATCGAGGCCTTCATGAACATTACAGTAACTAACTCAGAAATACCAAGGAATACCTGCGCGTTTTGCTCCAAGACTCACCTTCATCCTCAAATTTCATCCCCTTCCGCCGCCCGTCCCGGCCTTTCGCTCGCTCAGGGTCTAGCTCTAAGACAGGCATGGATACCTCCTCATCGTCCTGAGCCAGGGCACATGGCCCCCCCGCTAAACACATCTCTGAAACTGTGGAAAAAAACAGGCATATTCAGATATCCTTCCTGTCCCCCATCTCAGGAGACCCACTTTGTTTGGCTGTCCTTTATGGTTTCTAGTGCTTCATCCTCAGGAACTTCTTCGTCCTCTTTGGTCTCCTGGGCCTGTTGATGAAGTCATCAGGGTCAATGGACAGTTCCAGGGCTTAGAAAACATGCAGGTCCCATCTGCTACAACCTGGTCTTTAGAGTTTTCGTGCCACTTTTCTTTCAGAAACTCTTCTCAAGCCTCCTGGGTGGCAGCCAAACGAGCAATTCGCGCTGCTAGTGCCACCATGGCCAAGTCCCAACATCTCACCTGATACGGCAGATGCTGATAGCTGAAGCAACTGAAGCAAAGATTGGGGACGATGAAAAACGACCACAGGCATCCTCGGTGTGCGCCTTTGCGTTGCGCAAAGGCGGAAAGGGAGGACGCCTGGCCAGCTGCACCTCAGCCACAAAGAAGTTGGCCACTTCGACCCCCCCAAAAAAAACAAGGACCAAGGAGGAAAAAACACAAAAATTCTAGTTCTGCCACCCATAGGTCTTGACTGGTCCACTTGGCCATGCCTAAAACAACCAGGTGCCGCGACCTCCGCCAGCTTTGCGGGTCGTCCTCTTGACACAGGAAAGTGAACCGCTTGGACGCCCGTGAAGGACAACACCTGAGCACTGGATGATCTGAGAATCTGGATGATCTATTCCTCTCAAAAAATATTGGGGAAGCATCAGTTGCTTTCTTGCCGTTCCAGCCCCATGACTTGTGGATCAAAGCTTAACGGCTAAAGTCTAAAGCTCTGTATGCAGATCCAACCACCTGCACAAACCCACATATCTATCGCAGCTCAGCAGCTGATCTGGCCCCATATGCACTGCTCAGCGCTAGGGTAGCTGCAGCCACTCCTCAGTGGCTAAGGTGGAGGGTGCCATAGGGAGGGTGGTTAGTGGCTTTGATCCGCCTGGGGGAATAAGAAAAGTCACTGAAAACAATATATCATTATCCCAAATGGGGAGAAACAATATGAAATAATCATAGCTTTGAGATACTTTGAGTATATGTGTATATATATATATACAATCACCCAAATAGATCCAAATAGGGGAAGATTATAAATTATAAACATGTTCGAAACCAGCACTAACCAGCCAATGACACTGGGCCAAAGGGGATGGCAATGAAATCAAAGTCACTACAGCCAATGCCCTTTGGGCATCTTTCAGTTCTCCGCCGTCTGCGCATGCAAGGACCTGATGCCGTGGCTGATGCGACACAAGACTTGGGGGTGGCTGAACCTTCATTGGACCTCTCCCATGGCCGAATCTCACCATGTTCCCCATTGAAACTGCATTTTTTTTGGCATGTATATTATTGTATATTGGTGTATATGGATCCCTCGTGTCAGAATAAAGGAAAACTGGAAATGAGGCCCAAACCGTTTAGGATCCTGACCGTATGGCCAGCCCTTTTTATCAGCACAAGCTTGAGCCAAGCTGAGGCCGTCCATGCAGCATGAGGCGATAAATCCACCCCAATGTGGCAAGTCTATGCCATAACCCCCCAATTCTTGATGGTTCATATTGGTTGATCATACTAACCTGTTCGTGGTGATACTGGGAATGGTTTATGAAACTGGGTTACCACATTAAACCACCGTCTGGACATCTCCTATGGGGAAACGGCTCCGTTGGGTTTTGGAGTTTGGGATGTCCCCCGATAATAACGCAGGGCCACGCAGCGGACCGGTCTTTCCACGCTGGAGCGACCATTTGTTGGCTGGAGGTTGCTCAAATGAGCAATCAACGTTGCCTTAGCAGCGACATCTCAAAATCGTGTAAGAGCATGTAAGGATACCACGTGATACCACTCCAACGTGTCGTTTGTCAGTTCAACTGGAGTTATTAGCACAGCAAATCATACAATGGGCAGAAACCCGCTGATGGGTTCCTTGGATGTTGATCCTTGTCCCAGAAACCTTGATCTTGATGCGAACGAGAATCAACACCCCATCCCCAGCTCCATCATGGAGAGATTGGAGAGATTGCCTCTCTCCCTGCCCACTTGTCGGGGGAGCGTTCGAACTCCGGCTCCTGCGCCCATGGCACCCCGTCCTACCACCAACCGGAAGTGATCTTAGAAAGACCTGAAATAGCCTTCAAAGAATGAAATGAAATATCCGAAATAGTCCTAAACGGATCAAGATAGAACAAAACCTTCCAACAGCCTCCACTTCAGCTCCTCCACTGCTCCACCTTTCTCGGATTCTACGGCGTCTACGGCGTCGGCCTTGTCCCCTGCAACCCATGCAGCGGCAAAGTCAATGGGGCCCCCAGTGGCTTCCACGATCTTCTCACAGAAATGCTGATAGCACACAGGCCTAGGCAAGAGCCACTTCTTGGGACCGGGTTTGCTTCTGGAATTAGTGTAGGGGAGTTTTATTTTAAAAAAACAAGGAAACTGCCTGACATTGAATGTTGGAAGAATTGGAAGGTGGAACCTACGCGGGTCAAAAACATTTGTAGAATTCTGTGGTGTATCCAATGTCACCAGATACCCATGAGCTCGGGTTGGTTCGTTTGGATATGAACGCCGCGGCTATGAGATATGGCAGCCACAAGACCAGAAAATAGCTACTTTCTCCATCAAGCCTGCTTGGGGTGGTATGGGATCACTGGGGGCCCACAAACCATCACAAACCTATCCGACCTATCCTTGAAATTCCTCTCATATATCCCTGAACATAGCTGAGGCTCGCATACATCTCCTCCGCACCAAGGCAAACAGTGGGCCCTTCCAAAGAAGCCTTTCCATTGACACCTGGGGGTTCCACTTCACTTCTAATGTAAACCTTGGGGTTTATTAATTAGGGAGGTGCTCCCCAAATAGTGGTAATCTAATACTCAAATGGTACCTCCCCAATCAAACAACCTCGGGGTTTATTAATCCAGGGTTAGTATTGAATGGCTTGCCTACTGGACATGGGGAGTTTCCCATTCCCTGTTTGATCACCAGTCTGGAACACAATTGAATGACCGGTGGGCATGTGCAAGCACTGAGGTCTGCACTGCGCAAGTTCATAGTGCCTTTCCTGATTTCTGGCAGGTTGTTGCAGGCTGTATATTACACAACTGTGGCTTCATGCCATGTTCATCAGTTCAGGAACTGGCCCTCTTGAGAGATACAACTTTCCATCTGCTCCTTTCTCAATTCGTGCAGGTCAATCAAACACTTTCTCTGCCCAGTCTCTTGCTGCAGCAGGCGCATGTGGTTTTCACCTCTGTTTTCACCAGGGTGACCATCAATCCAACAGCTGCCAGGGTGTACACTGACCTGATGAGATATCCCATGTGCAAATGATTTACTGTACCCATTGCAAATCTTTGACAGTGCAAATTCCCACTGCAAGGTCAAGTTATAGGAGGGTACAGTAACAGTTGCGGGCCATTTCTATTTTGTACATGGAACATGCACCTCGTAGTGACTCACTGACCAAGGTGTTTCACCCTTTCCTGAGTGGGGTAATCGTATCCCGTATGCCGTATACCTGTTCATATCTTTAGCTAATCTAAACATAGCTAAAATGACTACACTCGCTATGCAAACATCCCCTCTAGCTGAAGCCTCCTCAATGGAATCCGCCAGCTCCATGAGGCGTTTGGAACCCTCAAACAATTGCGAGCGGAAATCGGTGCGAAGGCCAAAGCACATCACTGGCACTCCTGGACAACTTGACCCGGCCAAATCCCCAAAATCCCATGGGCTTCCTTTTCGAATTAGGTCATAAATGGCAATGTGGGACAATGCCATAAACATCCATAAACCCCCAGTCATCACCATTTTTATAGGTGGCAGTGGTATAGTAAGTTTGTGTAAGTTTAGTACGTACCATTCCCAGAAAAATTGGTGGTTTGTTCAGCTAAGGTCATTGGATCGCTGCCGATCGCTGCGCCTTGCATGGCGGAAACGTTCCTCAACCTCTCAATGACTCGTGGCGACAGGAACTGCGCCTGACCGGCACAACGGGCGGGGCTGCGATGTATGGCACTGGTATGGCTCCGTGCCTCATCCACCAGGATACAGCTGACCTGACAGGTTGATCGTTGCAACAGGTTGATGGATATTACACATGAAATGACATGTTCATACATGTTCATTGCTGATGTGAGTCTGAAAATAAGGCACCCAAATTCGATTGTTGAAATATGTTGAAATCATCCAACACTTAGACAAAGAAGGGCAAAGATCTTGAGTTTCTTTCAGAATGTCAGTGACTCTCAGTGTGATGTGCCTGGCATTGCTGAGCCCACCACTCCGATGAGCATTTCGGTGGGGAACTCTGTCTCAGGAGTGATTAATACATCAGCCTGAGAGTTGGCCGCAAAACGATTCAAGAAAGCAACTGCCACACTTCTCCTACAATTGAGGATAATTTGATCATCTTGAATCATTCTTCATCTTGTTCTCCTGATGTTCCATGAAAAAAAAACTAAACGAATCTAACCCTCGGTTCATCGATAAATCCGATCGGCCTCGCGCTTCAGGCCACAGCGGCTCTGCACGCAAGATGATCCGAAACGGGTGTCCAGCTTTGGCTTCATCACCAAAACCTGGCAGGATTTTTTAAATGCCGCACTGCGGCACTGCAGCTTGGAGTCCGCGCCTTCTTTGATTGCCTCAGTTGACAGCTGAACATATGTGCCAGATTGTGAGCAAATGCCAAGCATAACAAACACCCTGAGGTTGAAGGCAAGCAGCATTTCATAGGCGTGAGCTATGGCCAGGAGGTTCATGGTCTTCGCGGACATCATGGCACCATATCGAAAATAAAGTTTGGCCTCGGAGACCAGCAAAGGCCAGCGCAAGCATTTGTTACAGTGCTGTACATTCTCCGACTCTGTCTTTGCGGGGTCCTATCCAAAAGCCCCGGGCAAAAAAAAAACACTACTGTACAATATACACAGAGATATATAGACAGAGAGAGAGAGAGAGTGAGAGAGAGTGAGAGAGTGAGTGAGGGAGGGAGTGAGTGAGTGGAGTGTTGTTTGTGATTTCTGTATCTGTCTGTGGATCAAATCAATGCTTACATGTGCGAATGCCTCACCACAGTGAGGGCATGACCATCGCAAGAATGTTGAACTGGGGCGGGAGTAGTTCCCACAATCCCAAGTTTGGCCTTATCTCCCCCTGTGAGCACTAAGCCAAAAGGGCCAGCGGTTGCCTAACTGAAGGGAACTGTGCCACAGCTAGGTCCTAATCTGATTAATCTAGCATGCACATCGCCACTTGTTTCTCTAACTCCAAAGGTTTCGCGCCAGGCTATGGCCAGGGAGATCCAGGGAGCACTTTGTCTCCATGTGTTTTCCCGGACAGGCAGCATGGTCACCGGTTCTTCGGCTATGGAGATCAACAGGCTTCGTCAAAGGGCATCACTGGGAAGGTCTCGTTCAAGTAGCTCATGCCTCGATAGCTCGCAGCTCGGACGTTGTTCACCTGCCTCACCGGTGACGATCTTGCTGAATCTTGCTGAGGCCGCTACTGAAACGGACTCTGTACATGTTGTGACCTTGCAAATGAAGGAAAGCAAGTCAATGCCCTGATGCCGGCGCCACACAAACGTTCAGGCACGATTTTGGCCTTGTTTTACTGTATGAGAAAACATGAGAAGACATGAGATGATACATCAAGCAACCCCAAGTCAACCTGCAGAGCTGGGTTTTGTTGACCAGGTGGGGCGCTAAGATGGAGGCCGCCATCATCAATTCCAGCTCGTTGTTGCGAGTGAACTTCTACTAGAACTCCTGACGTTGAAAGCGAAAGAGGAACTATGTGGACGTTTGCCTTTGCCCATGTCAGGCCGGTTTGGGTCCAAATCAAACGAAACTCTTAGGATTTTGTGTTTCCAGTTTGCGTGCTAATATGAATCGGGGCCACCCTCAAGTCGATTCGCAACTCAGTTTGATTATACTGTGAACTCAAATGGCGATCACTTCACGTGAATGTAACCAATGTAACCTGGATCAAACCGGCACCATAGAGATGAATAGCAACCCATGGCGACCCCTCCTGGCGAAAGCCCGCAGGTCACATCAGAGAGCCGCCAAGCGATGTCATCCACGAACTTCCAGGTGGAGGTGCCTTGGTCAAGCTGACATAGCTGGGGACCTAACATTCTGATGAATCTACCAAGTTGCCTCAGGTTGCATGAATTTGTTTGTCCTCTCTCTCTCTCTCTCCCTCCATCCCCATCAGTGTTCCTTGTTTGCTTTTTTTCACGTTTTTCCAAGGAAACAAAAAAAACAATTTGTTGGGACTCATCGAATGGGTCAACTATGCCAGCTATGCTTCAAACAAATAGACACGGCAAGGGGTTGCGGGCGTTCCGTGGGAAAGTTTGGATGGGTCATGATGGGCCAAACTCAGCGCCAAAGACAGCCAAAGACTTCATCTTTTCAATAAGCGTGAAACAACCCACAAAACAGAGGGCCTGGAAGCAACAACTATCAAAATCTGAAGCCGAATGACTGCAGCTGGCACGCAGAAAAGCGCGTCCTTCGATGATAGCAGAACCATGTTGGAGCGAAAACTCTTCGGCTTGGGGTTGGACCCAGATGCAATGCCTTGCCGCCAATGCTAGCCAGACCAAAAAAAGTTCCCAACATAAGGCATAGCCATTTTCCTTCTTGGTGTGAGAGAAAACTCCTCCTCCTCCTCATCCTCATCGCATCCGCATCATCATCCTCATCATCAGCATCCTCAGCATCCTCATTTTGCCAGACACCCATGAAGAAAAGCATGTCTTGTTGCCAAGTGTCTCAGGCCAATAGAGGTTGCTCTCCACCCACGTTTGGATCTCCTGGCAGTAGGAGCTACTCCCCAGCTCCACCCGGGCAGTTGGAATTCCAGTACTTGGGGCAGCTAGATAGACAGATCAATACATCATCTCTATGTGAAAATAGTATACGATGTTTAATTATACAGATATATCTACCTATTTATGTGTACAATATATATATATGCAGTCCAACTGACGTATCACAATACCGTTGGGATCAAAAAAGGTCGGCATCACCCATGTTGGGCTTCAGCATCCCAGTCCTCCAGCACCTCTTCCACGGTGACGTTGGCGATCAGCAACGGCAGTGCCTGATCCTCGCGACAGGATGCCTTCCTGAGACTCCAGCGGCAGCAGCCTCTCACTGGGCAGTTCTCCTGGGGCGTGGGGATTTCACCCGCCAAAACAGGGGGGAATTTACTGCAACGTGTTTCATCGATATCCCCCACTTTTCAATACTTGTCATTTCTAAATGCACATAGGGGTTTCAACCCAAAATGGACGGGGATATATGATATATACCTTAGATATCCTTAGATACCGTATAGATATCCCCATCAAAATGCAGCTAGCAGCAGCTAGTATAGCAGCTAGTCGCAGCTAGTAGCTCGCTTGCCAAGGGTCTGGAAAGCGCTCCCACCCTGCAGCATTGAAGAAAGTCTGCAAGTGGATCCTGCCCAGCACGGCCCAACAAGGAAGCTTCCCGGCACAGTACCAGGCACTGAGGCAAGGACCCAAGCGCTAAGATACAAAGCAGGGCCAGCGGCGCCGCCAAAATTCCAACTAAAAGCCGGAACCACAATCTACCTTGGTGACCAAATGCACTATCAAAATCTATCATGGGCCGATAAACCCGCCACCCCGTCCCAGCAGCTGCTGCATAATCTGAAACTCAAAGCGCGATCTAAGTCACATCGCGGTGCATTCCCCTCGTTGGCCTTTCTCAGCAAGACCTGGGCAAATTGTACCACTTTACTTTCAGATGAAAACAAGTCATGGCAAATTTGTCAGATGTGTGTGCTACCCAGTTGCTAGGTAAAGCGCCGTGATTAGAAGCAGCAGCAACGACAGAACAATGGCCAAAGCCAGGCCAACCTGAGCAGTATGAAAAGCCGGGCATGTACTTGAGCACATTTTGACATGACAGGCCCGTTGGTTCCACAGGTGGAATTCATCATAGATACGCAGCACCAGTATTTCTTTCCATCTTCTTCCATCATCAGCTTCCATTGCAGTGAGGTCAGTATGACATGAGCGCAGCCAAGCCACAAGGCTCGCGAGCACAAGCTCAAGCAGAGAGAGGAGGAACCTCGTCGTGACTTGTAAACTCCATCAGCTTCTGGCAGTTGGATGAAGGACGACAGGCATCAAGTTGTAATTATTTGCGCGCTAGCGATCGGAGTAGCCATCTAATTTATCCAACTGTTCCCATCTTTATCTGCACATTTACTAGGTACCACTCTCTCTCTCTCTCTCTCGCTGGCAATTTCCTGCACTTAATAGCAATCGCCTTTCCCACGAGTCCCCCGAAAACCGCGGACATTAGGCAACATCACCCAAAGTATTGAGGTCAGCCGCTCCAACAGTTGCAAAGCCAAGAGTCAAGATGCTGCAGCAGGAGAAGAGGCACTTGTGGCAACAAGAGTATCCGGGCTGTGAACCGGAAGCCTGCAGGCTGAGACCACGCAAAGGTTGCTCACAAGGCCTCCCCCCAAAAAAAAATGAAACCTCCAAATAGCCAAATGGAATCAAGTGGACGGGCAAAAGAAGTTATGATCCTCTTCAGTATCCTCCATAGCCAATGTTCATAGCCTCCCTTAGCCTCCATGGTTTCCATACCATGTCCCTCGCCTCCACCTGCATCTTGCCCTCGGGTGGCCCATCAGTCATGGTCCCATCCCAAGGTGGACGACTGAGACGGGAGATTTCATGCGAAATCGACCAAGGAGACTGTGACGTACTGATCGTACTGTGGCATAAGACTCACACGAAGTTTGGAGCATCTTAGAGCGCACGCTTGCCAGTTGCGTGCCAAGGTCTCAAATCCTTCCGTTCATCTGCTTCCTTGAGTAATATGCCTGCATTTCAGGTCTAAGTTGCGCATCAGTGCACACAACAATGCATCCCTGTCCCTTGGGCCAAATTCAGCTGTATGGAGCATGTAGGGCTGCAGGAAATGAGCCACGGTATCTACATCAACAGGATCTGGAGTCAATGAAACAACATCCCTTACGAATTCCGCGCGATCTTGCAGATTTTGGACATCTGCATTGCAGATCCACTTGTGGTGCCATGCATTCGCATGGCACCAGACCTGGCCTGTTAATTGGGGCGCGCAGCACGACTTGCATGGAAGCAAGGAAGGCCTGCTAAAAGGCCTACACTCTCCTGATTGCATGCCAAAAATCTTGCACCAAAAGCTCAAAATACTGATACACCATCCATACCCGGGAAATCGAATCTACTGCTATTTCATTGTTTGAAATAGGACAAGCATTGCAGATGACTTGTGCTTTCACTTGCCTACTAATGGGCATTGTGGGCATTCCTGTTCGGAGATTCGCTAAGGCGCCATCAGCTGTCACATTCGGTGGTTACGCGTCGCGGTCACGGGCAGCTGCCAAGCGTCATGCCTGTCAGGACGATTCCAGTGCCAACAAAGAATAACAAGTCTTGCCAAACTTGTTAACTTTGTAGCCCACAATCCTTAGATATAGAGAGAGAGAGAGTACGCCAGGTTCCCTTAAAGACCATCGCCGATCCCATACGCTGTGGTGCTTGGGGCCGTTCTGAGATGGCCAAGCCTGTTGTTTTAAGAAGGTTTGTGCCAAGGAAACTGACTGCATTTCAGCACCTTCAGCATGCACAGGGCTAGCCGTCTCAATGGGGAGAAGGTGTAGAGATATCATGACCTCAGCTCTTTGATCCAAGTTCTTCATCCTTGCCCCAGGGGCACAAGGTCAGTCTTCGAGACATTTCGACCATGACTTGACTTCTTTTTTCTCCTGCAAAATAGTTATATATAGATTGGTCCAAAACGGCTGTGCTGGCCACGGTGGTCCGATTACCGTCCACAACGTCTTAGTCAAAAGTCAAAACGCCAACCATCTGTACAGAGAGCTAGAGCGAGACTCAGAGAGACTCAGAGACTCTAGGTGCTACATAGGGCACCTGGTTTTAAAATGTTTTAAAATTGTCAAAGGGCTACAGAGACAAAGGGCTCATGCCTGTCCCTTCAGGTGACTTCGATGTGAAGCTGTGCAATGCATTTGTCATCGTATTTTGCACTTCAGAATGGGTGATGCACATGATGACTTTGAGGCCGCCGTAGCGTGTGAGAGAAACTTTCATAACACCGGATGCCATGGTGATGGACCGATCCACATAGATCGGCGTTGCTTTAAATGTAGCCACCTGGTCCGGTACTTGAAAATCTTGATATTTTCGCTGGGCGTTGAATTGGATTGCATCTTCACGCAAGCGATGGAGAAGCTCGCGAGTGAAGTCTGATGCAAAACTCTGGCTGACGGATTTTCCAGCGAGGCTGCAGAAGGGAGCAGATGCAGCTTCGACCATCTCGGCGTCCATGTCAATCTCTAGAAAAGCATCCTTGTGAGCATACTTCAATCTCTTCTCTACAATTCCGTTTTCACGTTCATTCCGCTCAAGTGTAGCATTGCTTCGGTCTGACTCGCTGGAATTGTCCCAATAGTCCAGACCTGGTGGCAGCTCACAGCTGCGTTCTGGGACATCTAAGACATGGACTCCCCTTCCATGAGACTCAGCAGAGGCCGCAACCAATTCAGACTCATCTTGAATTGCATCTGTGGCATTTTCACCTGCCAAGGATTTCAAATCGGTAAAATCCCGAAGGCCAAGGAGGTGGCACTCCCGGCCATCCATCATGGCATACTTCACCTGGAAGACTTCGGTGCGGAACTTACTGGAGTAGCTATCAACCAAGTGGGTATGAAAGACATGGGCTGCACGATCGCTTTGAGACATCAGAATTTCTTGGGCACGTTCAGCCTCACCTGGGGCAATGAAATCCGTCAGTTTCCGCCCCTCCAAACTCACCCCAGACCGCCGCAAGAGCATGGTTGCTAACTTCTGCGAGTGCAACTGGAGCTTCAAATCGCTGTCAAGCTCGCAGACAGCATCGCATGTGAGCTCTAGCAATGCGGATGCTGCACTGAGATGACGATTGCTATCGCTTGCCCTCATTGCCGTCTCCACAGTGTGGCGGATGAGTCGGTTCGCAACATTGTGGATTGCGACCACCGCACCTGTGCAGAAAATATTGCAGAGAACTAAGGTCCGCGGGTTCGCAACAGTGTCGGGGCCCGCTGCAAAGTCTGTCTCAGCGAACATGCGCCACACGACCACTCCAACGACTAAGCCTTGGCTAAGGAGGACTCCAGTGTAATGTGCGGCAATGGAGACGGCAACTGTCTGCACCATCATGAAGCACACCAACTGCAAGATGAAGACATCATCAAAGTTGGGGCTTCCCAGTGGAGATAGCCAAAAAGCCATCAAGCCATGTGCGACCAAGCAAATGAAGTCCAACACGGAGGCCGTGACCAATGATGGCATCAGGTGAACCGTCAGCAAGGAAACGTAAGTCAGAAGAAGCGACCAACTAAATGCTAAAGACATCCATCTCTCATTCCCTGCCCAGATGTTGTACAAAACCGGCACGAGACCACAAGCAGGAATAGGAAGGAAATATGACATGAAGCGCCGTGCCCAAACGACCTTTCTGGCACAAGTCTCTCTGTAAAGAAAGGCCTCCCTGATCTGATCATTCCGGCTGATGGTGGGATACCAGTCCCTCCACCTTAGACTTTTCGCCTTGCCATACCAAGTCCTGCAAAGAACCGGGGCTTCGTGGCAGTAGACGATCAAATTCACAAGCACAAATGCGCCCGCACATCCGCAGAAAATTGCGTCATCCATCGAGAGTCCCCGCGTCTCCATATCTCATCACCTACGTCTGGTTCAAACTGTTCAAACGGAAAAAAAATCAGCAAGGGCCTTGGGCCGAAGCTTGAGCGAAAACTGCTACTTAAGTTCAGTCATTTCTGTTCAGGTCGATTTTTGAACAACAGATATATACGCTTTTAGGGTTTCACATGTTGTCGCTGATATGGGGCACATTTTGTTGGCTCCGTGCCGGTCAGACTTGGAGCAGAAGTGGTTCGTCCCAGCACACTTCCGGCCTAGAGGGCACCGGCAGTCGGAAACGTCACGGAAACGGAAACTGTGGCAGGATCCGATGGTTTTAGCGGCTTTGAGTGCATACTAAGTGACGGTAGCACCAAATCCAGTTCGAGTCTTGCTCAATAGCCTCATGATTCAATGGCTGACAGCCCTGATAACCAGCCCAAACTCATCAGTTTTCTATCTAAGCGCACTCTCTTCATCACGCTGAGCGCGACCAAATTTCACTCATGCCAATGGACACTTTTTTGGCGCACAATTTTTGGACACTAGTACTTGCTAGCAAACGTGAATCTGCACCCGTTCAATTTCATGAGAGTGTTTTTGTCAACTTCAGCCCTGGACCGCGTCTTATCCTGTGTGGCTGCCATTCCTGGGTCACCACGGGCACCAGGGGTCACCATGGGTCACCAACGACCCCCGACACCGCGACGCTGAGGCGACGGCTATGAGGCGCAGTCTCCTTGCTGGAGGAGAAACCTCTCCTGACATCGACCCCGGCCGGGAAAATGGTAGACTTGCCTCCCCAACTCTGAGCGTGTACATACACACATAGGTTATATATGATATGTATATATATACATATGTGTGTGTGTTCATATATGAGGAAAAAATATTCATATAATCCTAACCATATACACGGCAATGGTGGCAAGAATTTACAACAATAATAAGAATGAGAAATGAAAATGTTGAAAGAATATTGTGGTTATACATATATATATATATACATATAAATATATATATATAGTAGTTACATACAATCATACAATCCAACTAGCCATCTTCACCAACCAACTACAGAAACAACATAAAGCACTTACCTTTCCCCATGCATCCAAGGGGCATAGCGGCTCGCTCACCGGCCTGGTAGCTGCTGTTGAGCTCCTGATTCATTTTGCCAATACCATCACCCCATATCACCCCATTTCAGCACCAAGCTGACGGAAAATGATGGGAATCTTGCCACACTTCTTGAAACAAGTCAGCAACTTTCGAAAGGTGATGGACATGAATCTAGCAAATGCGATTGACCCAAGTTTGACGCAAGTTTTTGCTCACGAGCTGACAATTGTGCTGCAGCAATGCAGCTTGATTGTCAAGCTGCCGGCTTCTTGGACTGTCAAGTTGTTACTCTAGCAGGTGCTCAACCTGAGAGTCAGGGTAATTTGACTCCCTTCTTCATGTCAAAATCGCTGAGGCAACGATCATCTGCCAGCTGCTTTCCTGCAAAGCTGGCACACTGGTACGCCTTTGTACGCCTTCCTGGTTCTGGATCATTTCCTTCAGGCTCCAGCACCATCATTGCAAAGCTCTGGCTCGCGGGTGGCCATTTTCCAAACAGTTTTGCAGTTTTGCATACTTCTTGAACGTGAACAAGTCGCGTTCTACTTGGTTCTCATCATCAGACCGTGGATCATGGTGAATGACCTAATCGGTGAGGTTCATGCACAGCTGGTTGATCAACTTCCCAGGTAGGCGGGCTCCATCACCACCTGCTGCGTGAAGTTTGGCCGCGGCGATGTCGCAACAAATTGCTTTGAGGACGAAGAAGCGGCTGGCCTCAACCAGAAGCTCGTCAAGTGAAGCACCTGAGTGCAGGTGTACCACGTGACCGGAGTACATTGCCTGTACTTCGAGCTGACTCAGCTGACCCGTTGGACCAACGCTGAGCACTTTCTTTTCCAACTGCTTCGCGGCCAAACCATCTGGATTCCGCCAAAATCGACACATCAACACATTTCCTCAGCCGCAGCCTTGGCCAACAGTGAAGTTGCTTCAACTTGGATCTTCGCAACCCTGCTCCCATCACCACAAAGAGTAAAGAATGGGATAGAAGGAGCGCCTACTTTGGTGGGTCTTTTCGTTTCACTTTGCCAATCAGCGTCAAACAAATCTGCAGTTCAACTCAGCTGACTATTCAATCGGCTGTCGCTGCGAGTCAAAGGACTCTCTGATCTGCTGAACTTGAGCCACGCACTGTCCACAGTGTCATGAATGAATTCCCCTAGAGCTCGACTGTTAATCCTTTCCACATCTTTCCACTTTAAGTAATGCCATGGGACCAAAACATAGCCCAACTTAGTCCTTGTTGTGGAAATGTGCCTTGCCTCAGAGGTGCATGCTGCTGAGTGGAAAGTGTGCAAAGCAAGGATGTATAATAGTCCCTGAACTTGAAAACATGCTGCATTGAGCGCACAACACAGGTGTGAAAATGGAATGCGAAAGGCAGTAAAGATAAAGGAGATGGTGGAAAAACAGATTGTGTGAAAGAGCTGTGTGACAGAGTTTTATGTGAAATAGTTGTGTGACACATGTGTGTGTGTGTGTCTGAAAGAGTTGTGTGAGACTGAGTTGTGTGTGTGTGTGACAATGTTGTGTGTGTGTGTGTGACAGAGCTGTGTGTGTGAAGGAGTTGTTTGTGAAAGGGTTGTGTGTGAAAGAGTTATGTTTGCAAGTTGGGTGTGTGTGCGTGTGCGTGTGACAAACTTGTGTGTGTGTGTGAAAGAGAGTGTGTGTGTGTGTGACAAAGTTGTGTGGGAAAGGGTTGTGTGTAACGAGGTTGTGTGTGTGTGTGAAAGAGATGTGTTTGCAAGTCGGGTGTGGCAAAGTTGTGGAGTTGTGTGTCTCAAAGTTGTGCGTGTGTGAAAGGCTGTGTGTGTGTGTGCAACAATGTTGTGTGTGAAAGAGTTGTGTGCGAAAGAGCGGGAGAGGCGGACGGACACGAGAGGCAGACGCACGGAGGACGGGAGTGTGCAACAGAAAAACAAGAACTCCACACAATGATGTGGGGAAAAGCTGCCACACGTGAATTCTATCCCATTCAATCCCATCAAAATGTCTTGGATGTCTCAAATCGCCGTGGGTCCTGATAAATGCAATCGGGTCACGGCTGTGGTCCAGGGTAGTTTTCACTAATCCTGCCATCATTCGATTGCACCTGAGTGACATCGCTAGGTCCGACCAGACCAGGTCTTTCCGGGTCTCCCCTGCGATGAGACTCTGAGCTGGGCCCGGTACTCATCCACCTCGAGGTCAGCTCAGAGGCAAGTGATCAATGTTGGTCGACTCAAGAGTGATCAGAGTGATCTTTTTCTGCAGCTTCTCAAGTGGCCTGTTCTTTCAGGTGATCTCTTTTGGCTCTCTTCTCATTCAGGGCTTTCATGACCTGGCAGCGGATGGCAATCCCAAAAGTATGTTTCTGTGTTTGATCTTTTTCCACTCTTTATATTCTTTAAGCCATGTAAAATCATAGTGGACCATCCCCATCTAGGCTTGGAAGCCCGTGCGGTCCTGGGCATACCGAGCTTGGCAGTTCTGCAGCTGTTTGTCCTTGTCCTCAAAAAGCTCCTTGGGCACGGAACTGCTCTAAGGGTCAACCGCCCAAGAAAAACCTTGCTGATTCCGAGCTGTAACCCAAAAACATCTGAAGTTCTAAAGGATTGTCAGGGCCTGGAAAAGGTTTCAAGTTTTTACGGCTTTGAGACCAATGAACACCGCCATGAGTGTGTGAAGGTTGATTGGTTGACGCATGCCCCCTGGCAAAAAGTCCAGTGTCTAAGCTATCGGAAGGTCTTAGTGGCAGCTCTTGGTAGAACTTCGGACTAATGTACTGGATTCATGCTCACAAAACGGGTAACAAATAACAGCACTGCAGATCTCCTGAAGATGAGCCAAGTTTTCCAGAGCCTTCTCTTTCTGCTCTGTTCGCTTCTCATGCCCTCAGCATATGAGGCACATGAGCATTTGCCGTTGAGTTGAACCTGCTCCAAACACCACAAACCACACGAAAATTTGCAAACATCACTTTGGCGCGGCTTTTTTGATCGAGCTGGCTCTCCGTTGGCTTCAAGGTCTGCTGGATCATTCGTTGGCGCTCTTGGGCGCTTGACCGACGCCAGGTCTCAAACGCGATGGGCACAACCTTCCGCGAAGCGAGGTTCAGCAACCACAGTTGTGCAGCGCCTGGTGTGCAAAGATGGGAACGTTGAAGGGCCAAAATAAATGCTGTGACCCAAAACAAAAGAGGAGGCCCAAAAGAAAAAGACCCAAAAGCTAGTCATGTTGACTTAAGTGGTCTGCTTGGCAAACCAAAGATCGTCGTGAAAATGTTTTCGGGGTTCACCTTGTCGTCTTCACGTCTTCCCCAATGAGAGAAACCTAGGGAAACTATGAGGAAAAAGGGAAGGATATGAAAGAGCCGCAAATTGCAATGCTTAGAAACGCTCATGACATAGTTCCAATTTGTTTTCTTCCAGTGGTGCTTGGGCTGAGCTGAAGCTTCCAGACAGCTTCTTGAAATAAGCATCTTCCGGCATCAAGCAGAATGAGATGCCATCAGTCACGGCGTCGATTTTGAAGGGCCCTTCCCACTGTGGACCCTGGACGTCGCAGCCACAGGCCCGAATGTGCTCCTGTAGCTCCAGAGCCACTGGACGATGGCGGCTGGATTCCGGGCTCGCTACCAGGGACTTTTCGAGGCCAAAGGCCATGGAGAGGACGGACACCTCAAGGACCACAACCACAACAAACACAGTTGCAAGTGCTTCCCCCAAAACAATGATGCAGATGATGGTGGCATCTTGAGTTTAGATAATCAAATAATCTTAGGTTGTTCTTGAGTAAGGCCTGGAAAGGTCCAACACATTGGCAAGCACATTTAATAGATGCTGCTGATCGCCATGGTTTGACATGTCTCACCTGGAACTGGGATTGAGCATCTTGCGCTTCAGGCTGATGGCCTTCAAAACGCTTCCATGCTTCAGATGTAGTCTTCCAACTTGAACTAAGAGCGGTCCAGCTGGGGTTCGCGTGCTCTGACAGGCACAGCTCTGGATACAAACACAACTGGGAATAGACAACTGAGGTCAGTTGAATGAAATCAAAGGCCTCAACAGTTGCCAAACCCATACAGCGCAGGGCCAGTTCTTCATGCAGCTGAGAACTTTTCTCAGGGCGAACAAGCGATGGAGGAAGGTGCCGCAGAGAACGGTAGAGCGTCGCTGCTTCTGTCGATGTGAGATGGGAGACTAGACCCACCAGCACCGGGCAAAGGGCATTGAAGGTCGTTTGCCAAAAGGATGGGACAACGCCACTCTGGCTTGACCTGCACTCATCTGCTGCACCAGCCAGGCATTCCAAGATATCCAGTAGCCACCAGGGACTTCCAGTGTTCGCAGCTCCAACGTCCAAACTCCGGTTGTGTTGATCCAGTCGTTTCCGGCACTCCTGTTCCAGCTGTTGCTGGATGCTGGGAGATGAAGCCAGGCCCAGTGAGGACAAGGACTTGGGCACTTGACCAAACCTGGAACTGCTGAAGGGGTGCCCAAACAACCAAAGAAATTGCATTCATATTAAATGATCTTAGATCACATTCTACAATGCTACAAATGATGAATTCCCCATGTGCTGCCGTGCGTGCATCAGTGTGCCAAAAGAAAACCTGCTGAAACAATTTTCCGTGAAACAGCTCATCACTGAGACTGACCAAGTCCAAGTTCCTGGCAAAGGTGGCCAGCAACTCCTTGGGCCGCACTTCCAATCTGGCACAGGACACTGTGAGTTCGGCCAGTCGGTCCTTGGGCAATTCGTGCGCACAACTGGGGAGCCGCTCCTGAAGCAAAGAGACCACACTGGGAAAGACCAAGAAGAACTGAGCATACGAAAATGCCACCAGGGCCAAATCCATGGCTGAAAGTCGAGGGCCAAGCTGTACGACCACCTTGGCTGAGCCTGTGAGCAAAGGCTCATGACAAAGGCCAAGAGCTGCAAATGAGGACATGAAGGCAGAAAGGTCTTGCGGTGAAAAAAGGTGCAGCTGCTTCAGTGCTCCTTGCGCCAACCTCGGCATCAGGCGCCGATCTGCAAGGCGCGCCCTGGCAAAGGCCGAAGCCACTTGGGTGAGTTGCCGGGGGTTGGCAACCGAGACACGTTTGCTGAAAGCGAAGGACAGGCGTGCGAAGACCGGAGCAACCGGGGCGCTCACCACCGCAAGGTTTTCAGCCAACCCTGCCATGTCGCTGGTGGAAATGTCTCCCAAGCGCTCCGAAAGTTGGACCCCCAAGGATTGCAAAGCTGCTGGCTCTGGCTTCTGCGACACTTGCGCCAAGGCTCCAAGGACTCGAATGCAATCCTTACCATCCATGTGTTCCACCTGGGCCATGGCCAAGGAAACTGCAGCCTCAAAGTCAACACTGTTCAGCGCACCTGGCTGGGCCAGCAGCCGGCCCAGGGTCTTGACAGGTAACTGGGGTAGCCCAGCACTTGGCGTTGCCTGCCCCAGTGCAAGGCCGACATCTGATGCGCACCGCAGCAGCTTTGGCCAGCGGCTCTGGCGAAAGGAACTACTCCACATGGCAGAGATTGGCACAGCTGTGCAATTGACATCTGCTTGGTGGCGAATTCAGCACATCCAAAACAAAATCTGAACAGCGACAATCTTCCCACAAAAGGAACCCCAATCAAACAGCAAGGAAATGGGGTCATCTGGGTGTGATCTAGGAATATTCGGGTCAAGCTGCATTTTTTGGGTTGCACTGCATTAGACGAACCGTTTCTGCAAACCTTTGTCTAGTTTGCTGCATTCCGAGGTATGACAGAACTCATCGCTACCCCTCTGCATTCATTAGCTATAGGCTACATACGGTAATTGGATGGCTCTAAATGCTCTAATAACGGACGCCCAAGACCTGACGTGGACAAACATTAATCTGTGATTAAGTTTGAGCAGCTGAATGCACATAGGACGCTGAGATACTCTGGGCATAGTTCTCCACGGCATTCAAATCGCTGCAAGCCATGCCTACGCCTTCATTTTGAGGAACAACATGTGTATGTCTATATATATATATATATCGTACCATGTCATATCATATCATTTCGTATCGTATCATATCATATCATCTTACACTTACTTATACTGTATCATATATGATATCAAATTACATATCATATGATATTATGTGATGTTATGTTATATCACATTACACTGTACTATTACATATGAAAATAAATTATATATATATAAAGAAAAAACATCATGTTATGAATGTTATGTTATATTGTGCTATGTTTGAACGGAGAATATGCAACTCGCTATTTTAGCAGCGGTGTTCTTGAGCCAAAGGTTGGCGTAGCAACTAGTGAGAACCCTATATCCCGTCACCCCTCCTGTACAGAGGCTGGGATTTTCCTAAGCTGATGTACACTCATTCCAAAGCCTTTGCAGCTTCGGCTCTACCATGAGAGTACTCGAACCCCATGCTTTGCATGTGTCTTTCCATCTCATTCGCAGGTAAACCTTTGGTGCACAAATCAGCTACGTTCTGCTTTGTCGGGATCTTCACCAGTTCGAATTCATGTAGTGCAAGCTTTTCTTGCACCCACAGAAAGCGAGTTTGAACATGCCGTGAGCGGCCTAAGCCCTGACGGTTACATGTTCCCAGCGCAGCGGATGAATCTGTGTGCACTTTAAGTTTTGGTTGTAGGCCCCATCCTCGCAAGATCTCCTGTAGCGACATTCCGATGGAAACTCCTCGAACGATCGAGTAGTATTCCGCTTCACTGGAACTCAAGCTGATCGTGCTCTGAAGAGTGCTCGAGGCCTTCACCGTGTGGCGGCCAAAGGTTGCCACAAGTCCACTTGTTGAGCGCCTTGTAAGAAGACACCCAGCGAAGTCGGAGTCCACGTACATGTGGATCGTGTCAGCAAACTTCTGGCGACCAAACTTCAAAAGTACACGTGGTTTCCCTTTCAGAAATCTCACCAAGCGTTTCAGATCCTGAAAGTCAGATTCTTTGGGCTCATGCATTCTTCTTGATAGGCATTTCACTGCCTCCGCGATGTCAGGTCTGTCCTGTGCCACATACGACGCTCTCATCACCAGAGACCGGAAGAAACTTACACGGTCCGGTGTGATGGTCGGGGTGGTCAACTTCAAGTTGGCCTCCGTGGCTGACATTTTCTCAGATGGTGTCTTGACTGGCTTACAGTTTTCCATTTCTAGATCTCGTACCATCTGGTCAACGTGGCGGGGATCCGCCTCATAGGATACAGAGCCTTCCTGCTCGTTGTAGGTCACGATTCGATTGAGCACTGCGAACTGCTGATGCCGTTCTCCAGGACCGATCGATCCATCGACCCGCAGATCATATTTGGACCTCAAGGTGTCCTCAAGGTATTTCTGTCCAGCATCATCAGCAAGCACCACGAAGTCATCTCCGTGTACAAGAACTCGAATACCACCGTAACCTTCATGGTAAAAGCAGGATGGCCAAGCTTGATTCTTGGCAAAACCAGCTCGGATGAGAAGTTCTGTATATGATCTTTGCCAGATCGCTGATGCATCGCGTGTTCCATACATGCTCTTAACGAGCTTGCCACAAAACCCTTCTTGTCGATCTCCTTCAGGTAACTGCACGAAGATATCACGCTCTGCCTCTCCATAGAAGTGAGCGCGTGATATGTCAAGAAGACGAACTTTCAGTGCATTGCCAGACTTGGATCGTCTCAAAGTCACCATAAGCGATAGAAGCAATTTCAGCGATTCCAAAGGCGGCATCGAACTGAAGGACGCATAGTCCGGAATGAAGTCAGCATTGCTGGCCCGTTTGATCTCTCTACAGACCAGACGTGACCTGTAGTTGGGGTGTGTTGCATCCCCTTTGTTTCTGTCAATCCATTTCATGGTGATGACCGGTTTTCCAGACTGTTGGGCTTCTGTGAGTGGAACTTTGATATAGATACCCTGTTTGTGTACCCATGCTAGTTCTTCTTGTCGAGCAGCTCTGACCTTGTCAACATCCAAGACAGCACCGGAGTGTGCGTCAAGCACTGGCTCCACGATGGTGTCATCGCTGTCGGGCAGCTGCTTCCAAAACTCCTCCTCTTCATTGATCACAGGTCCAGCATCGGGTACTGGGCCATGTGAAAGTGAGTGTAGTTCTCCATCACATTCCAGTTGGCGCCTAATGGCCTTGAGAATTGCGTGGACAAGCTTTGGTGGGTATTTCTGGGCAGCTCGGGCTCGTCCATCAACAAGATGTACATGGCGGTGCCAAACTTTGCCTTCTTTGTTTGAACAGCACCCTTGTAGGGTCTGTGCCAGGATTGGAGAGTTCGTGAGCCAGGTAGTTTCTTTCTTCACTGACCCTTCACCTTGGCCATCGGCGGCCTTCATTCCCCAACGGCACATTGGTCCAGTGACCTCATACACCCGTTCATCTGCCCTCAGTCTCTTCACAGCTCTCTCTTCCCACGAAGCGGCCCCTTTAGGGTGCTCATGGTAGAAGTACCTTCCAGCATTCATTTGATGCTCATACGCTGAAACTGCCGTGCGCAGATGTTTGCGACCATCTTTTAGTCTCTGCGCTCGAACTTCAGGTGAAACATTGCCCTTCGCATCCACAATGTTTTGCAGCTTCGAGAATGGCCCACAGGGAGGTGAGCCGCCGAGGAACTCTGGTTTCTCATAGTCAAGCAGTTGAAACAGATCACGAATGTGTTCATCTTTACTCAAGTCCCAGTGAGTTCCATCACCACGCTTTGTCTCCAAGTCAATCGAGAAGCCAGGTGCTAGCCCGACCACTTGGGCTTGTGCAGCCACACGCGGTGGAGAGAAGATCTCAGCAACCTTCCCTTTTGCGATCACATCTTTGAGCAAGGAACACAGATGTAGCATCTCCTGGTTTGTCTCAGGACTTGTTGGTGCAGCGGCAGCACCTTCCGGAACACCAGATGAAGCATCCGGTGCCGGTGGTCCGGCTGACCCTGAAGCCTGAGCTGAAGATTCATTGTAAAGATCTTCAACGTCGACTTGTGAACTCCTTTTCTCTCCTCGGGATTGTTCTTGTTTCTGCCTCTTTGGGCTTCCTTCTCTTTCTTGTTCTCTCTGTCTGAGTTCTCCACGAAAATCGGTGTCGACCAGTGGTTCACCAACAGCCTCACTTGCATCCATTTCCGCATCCAAAGGAACACGGTCTTGCAAGACTGGTTGTTCAACTTCCCCTCCTGGGACAACTGGTGGTGCAGCTTCACCACCTTCTGCCCCACCACCCTCAGGCGGTGCAGCCGCGCCTCTTGGGCGCCTGCCTTGTGCAACTCTCTCTCTCGCTCTTTTGATCCTTTCTTGACCTTCTGGAGTCTTGTCAAGTTCGATCTGGATTCTTTGTCTGCACTCAGCATTGTGAGCTCGGCTTGGCATCTCAAGTATTGCTGCTTCACATCCAGGACACAAAGGTGTGTGCCCATGCTTTTCCAAGTCATTCTTGGTGACATAGAGGTTCCTTGGGATCACTTCTTGCACTGCAGGCCTTTCACGAGGCGCTGCAACATCGGGAAGGGCGATCCTCAGTCCACCATGTTCTCGTTCTTGCAACCTCCAAGGAAGGCCACGTAGCGAGTCAAACTGATCATGTTTGAACTGATCGTCAGGTGGGCGTCGATGGATCGAGTTCCCCTTCATGATTCCACGTTCCGTCATGACAAAGACGTCTGAATTTCTGTTTCCAGTTCCAACGTACATCCCAATGGATACCCTTGGGGCAAGGTCATTTCTCTTGCCCCCACGATTGGCCCTCGGCCTATACAGGATGCTTTCACCGAACCTCACAAGCGGAATCCGCCATTTTCGTCCATAGGTCCGCTCAAAAGCGGTCTTTCCATCAGTACCTACTCGGTATCTCGTCAAGAGAAAGGCAGCATGCCGCGGGAGCCAAACCAAAAGTGGATGGCCCGGATCTACCTTCCTTTCCAGCTTGAACTCCAGGTCGCTGAGGAGAGCACGACATTGTCGTTTTATCTCTCGCACTCCCACTTCGATAAACCCATTGGCTTGATGGTCTTCTACTGGGGTTTCCACCAAGTGCACTTCGATGTGGGTCTTTATCTCCTTAACCTTCTGTTTAAGGGATACCAAGGAGGGTTCACCGTCAGACTTAAGGATTACCTTATTAAAACCAGCATCATCCAAAACTCCCCCAAGCCACGCGATTGCGAACGCATCCGCCCCTTTTCCCGGGAGAACGCTCGCCCAAAATCTCTTGGTCTTGTGGCACTTCACCACAATGCTCGGAAGGGTCGCCTCATCCGCAACCTGGTCCTGGTTCATATAGAAGTAGTCCAGGCTCAGCGTGGGCAACTGCGTTTCTGGCTCATCAAGTTCCTTAGGCACATGGCGATCAGCAGTCACACGTGCCCTTTTGCAGTGCAAGCACCAGCTCCGATGGACAACATGTCCAGTGCTTTCATGTTCGTCAACTTCAGCTTGGGATGGTTGATGTGGTTCTTTCTTCACAATGGCTTTCCTCTGTTCTTCACCGATTTCCAAATCAACTTCATCTTCAAAGGCATCTGCTCCGGCTGAAGCAGCTGGAACATCGCCTGAGGACCCTGCTCCGGCCGAAGCGGCTGAAACATCGCCTCCATCTTCCATGGCATCGGCTCCGGCTGAAACAGCTGGATCCTCGCCAACAGCGTTGATTTGTGGTCTTACTCCTCTTGAGGATGCCCCTGAAAAGGTGACACCCAATAGTCCAACACATAGATGCCTCGGCGATTGTGCACAATGGGCATTGAATCGCCATAATCTCGGATCAGATCTTTCATGGCCTTCGAATAGGCCCGTCCCGCAGGAGTGTTTCTTGGGATCAATCTCCCCGAAGATGGTCCAAGGGCGATGTGGTAGTTCTTGGCGATCTCGGAACCTGAAAGAAGTGGCCGATGCACATCTGCAACTCGGCAATCGATTGGGATCTTGTTGCCAGATTCGTCGTATCCCACCAGCTTCACACTTCCCTGATCTTCGATGGGTTCCGCATTGGCTGCCTTGTAGCTTGCTCCATTGGACTCGCTCCTCGGGTAGTCCTTGGCGAAGTCAAGTGGTACTGCAGTGATGGCAGCACCGGTGTCGATGTTCAACTCTGCTCGTTCCCATTTTCGCCAGTCGTCAGAGGCCCCCAAGCTGTAGACTGCAGCAGGAGCCGATCCAGCTCCACCATCGGGGTCTCCTCTGCCTGGTCGGTCTCGAGGCTCATCAGGCTCTTCGATGTAGACCTCTTCCATTTCATCATCATCTTCATCTGCGTTCACTTCAGTGTTTTCCTTCAGAACCAAGGCTGGTCGGTTCTTCCTCGCCATCTTGCGCGCCACATTGCGGTTGCGATTCTTCTTCACCCTGTACCCAACGCTTCGAACACGCTTGGTCATGGGTTTCTTCTTGGGGTCCTTCTGCAGCAACTTGGCCTCGTCGTCCGGGAACTGCCTCAAGGTTTTCCGCTCTTCCGCTGAAAACTCTATCACTGTGCTCTGACCAGCTTTGCCCACAACCACCGTCTCGATGCCCGCATCCAAGTTGTCTTCATCCTCGATTCTCACTATGCCTTCTGGATTTTCTGGGTTGTCAAAGCGTTCATGCCATTCTTTGTCAAGTCGAATCCTTTCAGCCGCACGTGCCTTGACTCCTCCTCGTCGGTGGACGATTGCACGTCTTCTCAAACGTTCATTTCTCCAGGCCACATTGTGTGCAACACCTTTGGCAATCTCGGCATGGTATCTCGAGTCGTGGAAAGAAGGATCGCTGATGTTCTGCTTTGTGATGTGCGGTGCCTTGACAGATCTAGTCCTCAAAGCCGCTAACATCGCATCTGCCTGGCCATCTCCTGAACCAGGATCTTCTTCTTGGACTTTGCGGATTTGTGAACTCAGCGCAGCCTTCAGCATCTGGACAAGTCGAGAACCTGAAGTCGAAGCTGCCGATGATGCCTTGACAGGTGGTGGTGGCTTCACCTGAGAGCTTTGCCATCCCGGTGGTGGACATGGCGGAGTCTTGGGTGAAGCTACTTGGCTTTGCCATCCTGGTGGTGGTCCTGGTGGAGTCTTGGGCGAGGCTATCGGCTGTTGTGGAGGTGATGCAGGCCATGCTATAGGTGTCGGTGGTGTCTTTGGCAAAGGTGTAGAGCTACGAAGAAGTTCTTCTGGAGTCTGTGGCCCATGCCTCAACCTTCTCCTTGGTGGTGGTGTCATCGAAGTCATTCGAAAGCGTCGGAGTGCTGACTCCGGAGTGACTGGCCCTGATCTGCTTGCTTTGCCTCTCTTTGGTGTTGAGCTCTTTGGACTTCTGCCCCTCTTGGGTCTTCCCTGTGGCGTTCGAGGTGCCTTGGAAGACGCGGACTTGGATGTAGTGGTCTCGTGCTCGGTGACCTCCTCCAGTCGAAGCGACCGAAGGGGTCTTGAGCCACTCGATCCACTCGGTCCATCATAGTCGGGGTCGTCCCACTCTTCAGGCCATGACGCACGTGGGTGAGGCAAAGAAAACCACCTTCTGCGACTTGTCGAGGCTTCCGACTCCTCGGACTCGGGATCGACCTGGAAACTTTCGTCGTCATCCTCGTCATGTGGTGGCCCATCAACACCATAGAGCGTTAAACCATTTGCTGCTTGTTGACCATCGTCGCCATCAGCTGCGTCCCAGTCTTCTGCTTCTGGTTCACCTTGTTCGACATTGTTCACAGATTTGCCTCCTTTGGGCTTCTGCTTGTGCTTTCCGGGGCTGCCTTTGCCCTTGCCCTTGTCCTTATTCTGATTGCTGTTGCCTTTGCCACCCGTCCCCTTATGTTTGGGGCCTCCAGGTGCCCAGCAATCTGCCCGCAGATGTCCTGGGCGTCCGCAGTTGTGACATGTTCTCTTCTCAGCTGTTGCATTTCCCTTTCCAGGTTTTCCTCCAGCTCCCTTCTTGCCCTTACCTTTTCCCTTCGCATCTTTTCCAAAGCTTCCGACATCCATAGGATCGTCCCCACGGCCATGTGCGTCGTAGGGCTGGCTGTTCACCACCTTGATCTTGTTGCCGGTGGCATGTTCCACATAGGACTGGATCTCGGACAGCATGGACTCGAACGTCTTGAAGCGATCTCGATTGAGAACGAGATGACGCTCGAGCTCTGCCGGCACCAATCGTTCAATCACGTTGATCTTGATGTCTTCTGCCAACATCGTTCGGTTGCCAGATGCGTCTTTGCGACGTTCATAAAGTCTGATGCTGTCAAGAAGCTTCTCCAGGTTGGACGGCAAATCTTCCATCTTGGATCGAGCCGGTGACAAGATTGCATTGAGGAGAGCGCGTTTGCGACCACCAGTGGATGGGTCGTACCTCCGCGTGAGCTTTCTCCAGCTTTCGATGCCGCATTCCCCGGTGTTCAGCACGATGTCAAAGGGCTCACGCTCTGTCAGCATTAGCAGCGCGTCCCAAAGCTCGCGTCTCAATTCACTGATGTTCGACACCTGGTCAATGGCATCTGCTTGACTCCCAAAAGCCTTGTCGATGTCATCTGCAGTGATTGCATGATCGCAATCTTCGGCCCAAACCAGAATCTCACGAAGGTCTTTGCGAACACTTGCAAGATAGGAGGACGTCTTGATTTTCCATGACAAGAATCTTTCGGCTGTCCCATCAAACTTGTCGGGCTTGCCAAGGCCCTTGTTGTCGACCAACCGGACTTGTTCTTTCGATCTAAGGGCGTCCACAAGCTCCTTTTGTGACTGCACCAACTGTGCCAGTGCACTGCCAGGTCCAGCTGAAGCAGCCGAACCGGCACCAAAAGAAGCGACCTGTGCTGTCAGTTCAGCTTCTCGGCCTCTTAGTCGATTGACCTCGGTCTGTAGTTCCTGGAGCGACTGGAGGACCTGTGCCGCTTGTTGTTGGTCCATTGCTAAGACCCTGGAGCGTATCGCTCCGCTACCATGAACGGAGAATATGCAACTCGCTATTTTAGCAGCGGTGTTCTTGAGCCAAAGGTTGGCGTAGCAACTAGTGAGAACCCTATATCCCGTCAATGTTATATTATATTGCATAATATTATATTGCATTATATTGCATTATACTGCATTATACTGCATTATATTGTATTATATTGCATTATATTGCATTATTGCATTAATATTATTCAGTTATATATTCCATTATATTATATACATTATGTTATGTCATGTTAAAATATATTGTGTTATATTGCATTGTATTGCATTATATGTATATATATATTATATTATATTTTGAATTATATATTATACTATATTCTGTTATGTTACATTATATACTATAAATATACGACCGTGTTACCAATAACCAAAGAAACGCATCCCTGACTCCTCAGCGATTTGTTCATTTCCAAACACTTTCAAGGCCCCACTGAGGTGCAAGCCTGCACTCAAATCGTTCGCCTGTTTCACTATGTGCTCCACTTCCTGCACAGGAATAAATGTTTCCCCCAGCATCTGACATGTTGGATGCATAAGTTGATTTCACCATGGGTCAAACCAGGACTCAACATTTCTTCGAGGAGACCCATGTCTGGCTCCCATCTAGATGCAGTCGTATGTGAACCCAGGCTTCCCGGTCATGTGCCGTCTTCTGCCCGGACTCTTTCGGCTTCTCCTCTAACCTGGTGTATCATGGATTATCATGGAGGCGTGTCGCGGACGCTGTACAGCTGACACTTACCATGGCCTGACCAGACAATAGAATCTTAGAAAGTCATATGAAGTCCTAAATTCAAAGGATTTCTCGCCCAAAAATCGTAAAAGAATATAAAAGATAGGCATTTTCCATTGCCAATCGTTTTTCACAGCTGAGCCCCCGCACTTCGTGACCGTCGAACCACTTGGCTTCATGGCCCGCTGACCATCGGCACTTGTGGCCCCGAAAAAAACTCTGCAGCCAGAAATCCCATGACCAATGGAACGGCAAGGTTGGCAGTACAGGTGCCAGGATCCGCGATGGCAGCTCAAGCCATCCAGTCTATCCACAACCACCATCGATTCATCAATCTGTGGCCACCAGCCTCCTTGCATTTTCAGCCTTTGCTGTTTCAAGTGCAGGCCACTTCCTGGACCCTGAGATCGAACTCTGCTGTCTGAGATGGCTCTCTTCTGTACACTGGCTTACACATCCCAGACTGATACACGACCAAGCCTGGGCACATCCGGTTGAGCCGGATTGCGTCCAACATGGTCCAATCCCAATTTTTGGATGCACAAATCACTGCAAATTAAACCCAAGTTCCACCCAGGACTCCGCTCCTTGGGACACGCCCAGAGGAGGAAAACCAGCCCCAGGCCTTGGCCACCAGCCATTGCTGGTTGGGCTAACTTGTCAAACCCATCACTTCATTGCCCCAAGGACCACCCTGCCGCATTGGGAGGCTCGGCCATAGTGGGCGCACCCGGGGCGACAGGGGCCGCAGCGGTCGGGACTGGGGTGTTTCCCCGCAACCTGAGCTGACACAGAATCACTCCAGGGTTAAGGGCCTGTGGATGGATGATGTGTCAGGGTGTGGGTTGCATTGCGAAACTCAGCTGAAATCCACGCAACTGCTGCTGTTGCTTTTCGAAGGCATTCGCAAAAGCCGCCACAGGGTTGAAGTTCCTGGGCCATCCAGGAGTCTCAGAACAACCTCATGCCATCTTTCGTTTTGGCCTGTTCTTCGCACGAAATGGGATTGCAAAAGAACGTGCCTGGCAGGTGATAAATCGCGACATCTGGGTCTACACGTCTGCACTTGCAATGCAGTTGTCAAGGCACGACCAGTTAACTGCCAAGGTTCGATTGCGGGTTGGCCTTCTGTTGGAACATCTTGCCTCCGTCTCAAGCCAACGTGCACACATGTTGGTCAGTCGGTGGTACTATACAGACTTCAGTACAGTAAGGTACAGTAAGATGTTTGGAAAGCCTGGAACGCGATACATCCGTCAGGTGTTCAAGTCACGCGCGCAAAGGAGCTGTTCTCAAGAGGCTGACCGCCCTACTTCGCGCTTCAAAAAAAACACTACATTGGATATTCAGATCAATTTACGCTCTGGTAATTAAAGATAGCAAGGCATAATCACCATACTTAAATTTTATGGATAATATAACATACATGTATCATATATCTATATATATATGCGCATATGTATATATCAAATATATGCAGCTATGCAGGTAAATCAACAATTCATCCATTGAGAGATGCTAAAGTGCTAAAGGCAAAGTTCACCAGCGAAGCCAAGTTGCCTACAGCCTCCTCACCACTTCCTGAGAGTCCGAGCTGCGATTCTTGTCACAACTTGGAGAAGTTGGATCTTGGAAAATGTATTTTCCAACATTCCCATCTCTCAACATTCAATGGATTCAGAAATCGACCGGAAACCATGGTTCTTGAACCATTTGTTCAAGCTTTCCTGCCAAATATTCCCACGAAAGAAATGAAAGCTGGGAATCAAGTTTTTCCACCAATTCTTACACCACATTTTTCCCAATCACAGTTGTGTTCAATCATTTTCCAAGATGTTCCCCATGTGTCCATGTTTTTTCCCATCTTTCATGATATTTTTTGGTGCCAAGGGCTCGGAACATGCTGGAGAAATCCTTCATGGCCGAGCTGGCAGCCTCTGGCAGGTCCTTGGCCTCAGCACTTTGTCCCGGGCAAAGAGTGACCGTGCTTTCCGCTGTGCCAAACCGAAGCAAGGCGTCAAATGCCAAGGACCAAAATGATGACGCGGAAGCCTTCTTACCTGTGCCTCACTTGGTAGACAAGGAACTGGCTCGTCCCCTGCGTCAGAGAACGCTGCAAACGACATGAAGTTGACCGCAACGACAAACGACAGGGCTGACGACAATAACAAAAAATAAAACAAACATTTAAAAACTGAAAGCAATCATGTCATAACCGTCCCTTCCTATTCTTTGCTCGATCCTTCACCCATCCAAAATCTTCAACCTATCAAAAGGATCCACGCCATCGCCCGGCAGCCTGCCATCGACTTCTCGTTTTGCAGAGCTTCTCCTGAGAGCCGGCGGACAGCCCACCAGGCTCTCAGCAAACGGGTGGCGACGAGTAGCTTAGGGCAGGGGCCCCCCAAAAAAAATAGCACCAACAACAACAACCAACGGGTCAGACATAATCCCCGGGAGTGCTACCCAAATTACCCAATAATGAGTACAAGATATTAGAAGAACCATTCAGGAACTAAGGTGCTGGTCTGGGAGAACCACTGCCGAGTGATGCTACGTCAGACCGACAGGTGCCAAGTTGCCCATTGCTGCAAGGACGCTGCTGACGTTGCCACCCACGTCTCGCTCACCTTTGGGCTCACAATCAACCCATAGCAAGTGCATTTTTTGCGACAAGATGAAGGTTTTTGCTGGACATATTTTTTAGTGGATTCCAAACCCTAATCAAGTATATCTATGTATGTATTGAATTGGTGCTCTCCACCCTTCAATATTTTCAATGCTGGTTCATGAACCCAAGAGCTGTCGGTTCATCATCGCTGATCCTTGCAGCTTGCTGATCATAGTGAATGTCTAGACAAAATGGCTGGCGGGAAAAGTCGGTGGCTGCCGCTAAGCTTTCCCCAAAGCGCATCTAAACAGGAAAAACAACCTGTAAGATCGTAGAACGAAAAAACAAAAATCCCAACTTGCTTGACACTGCTCATGCTTACCCGTGCCCCTTCACCTGTCCGCTTTGTCGATGTTTGTGGCAAGCTGCCTTTGCTGAGCATCTTGGAGAAATTGCCCACGGCGGAAACAAAGTTTCCAGCAGCAGCGTGCGCGTTCTGGTTCACAAATTTTTGCACTTCCTCGATCGATGTTGGCCAAGGCAGATTTTGGGAGCACGCCAACAATCTGGTGGAACAACATCTCAACAAACCATGTCGACCCCTTTTTGGTCATGAGCAAATCCCGCTAGGTTTCTCACACATGCCCTTTCACCTTCCTACTCCAGACGTGCATGATTGGTGTAAGTGGGCGGTATAGTCGTTCATATGCATACAGCTATATATGTTGATTTATCTATCTATTCATTATATCCCATTATACATTTATACCCCTCTATATATATATATATATGCATGTATGTATGTATGTGTGTAAATAAATAAATAAATATATATATATAATATATATATTAATATGATAATATATATGATCGTCTCCCACAATTTCTGTTGGCCAAAGCTTTATAGCTCCACCCAAAATGCGCAGCTTCTCTCTTGGTGGCGTCGGAGGGGTTGTCCAAGCCCAACGCCTTGTCCAAGGCCTAGAGCCAAAGGTGGGGCGCCGCGGGTCCCACTGGGGTCCCACTGGGGTCCCACTGGGGTCCCACTGGAAACCTCGGTGTAGTACCCATTTTTTTACCCCCAAATAGATAGAAAAGCGGTTTATCAGACTTGTCACTATCTTAGTGAGAAGATGTGAGAAGCTACTTTTCTATTCTATGATTTTATCATATCAGCAATCTCATTCCCATAAATATCAAATTCCCCCCTTGTTCGGCACCCAAAATGAAGAGATTCGGCGGAAGGTGTTGGTGTCCAAAGTGTGTGGGAAGCTGACGGGAACGGGGGACCCATGACTATACGATAGATAGGTAGGTAAATGGATAACATAGACAGGTAGGATGGATGGATGATGGATGGGTGGATGGATGGATGGATGAAGGGACGGAGGGATGGACGGACAAATGGATGGATAAGTACATCTATGGATGTTTCATCTGTTCAGATGTTCCGCTCAGATGTTCCTAGAATGCACGGATAGATCGATGGATACAGTAGATGGATTGATAGATGGATGGATGGACAAATAGGCGTCCCCATCCGTGCACAACCCGTCTAACATCTTCTGGTATGGGCCAAATATGGACCAATGAGAAGGTACTCAAAAACAGGATGCCCATGACCAGAACCTGTAATTTCTTGGTCTTACATTTCGACGCATGGCCCATACCCGTTGTTGATGTCGAAAATCTGGGCCTTGATGAGCTCCGGCTCAGACTGCTGCACTGTGTTGGCAACACCTTCAAAGCAAGGGGAACCTTTCGCCTCTCTGCTCAAGTTGGCTCTAGATCTCATGCTGCTAATGATTCATACTGATAGAAAATGATATATGATATCTCTAATTCCCACTTCAATCGTTTAGTGATACAATTTCCAATAAAACCACCAGAAAGGCCAAAAGCAGGCCCCAATCGAAAAGTCAATGTGTATCAACTTGCCATGTATCTTCCATGTTGGATCATGGATATCATAGCCGGGAAAAGAAAAGCCCTATGTCATCCTATGTAATCCAATTTTTTCCAAGGAAAATCCCAGAGCTCAGCAGCCTTGGCCCAGAGCTGCAGTTCCTCGGCTCAGTCGGCCCATCTGCGTGCCAAACTGCGCGCTGGCAGCCTGGAGGCCACCCCCAAGGTCCTTGGCTCGTCATCCGATCCTCCTTGAACCTCCACAGATTTCTTGCTACGTAAGGGATCTAGATCCAATACTACACCCCTGGTTCCAACGGGGCATGATTTTAATATTTGAGGGAAGGAGATGGAAGGAGTTAATTCCTGTAAAATGCTCCCTGTCATGGGGGCGTATCGGATTCCAAACCACCAACTCAAAGAAGCTGTAAGTCATCAGTTCAGCTGTGCATGATAATGTGATAGACTGATAGACCTACGGTTCTTTCTTGTTCTAAGGGATCTCAGTTGGCTTTCGGTCTGCTTCCCACGCTTTTCGACGTTGCAGCAGCACGCCTTGCCTTTTAGCCTTCTGTGGGATGCAGAAGTCAGATGAAGAGCATTTCGACGATGGTGGCCTCACCCTGCACTCCTTCAGGATTCACCGATATTCACGGTGTCACTCACTAGGCGAGTCGAGGCAAAGCTCTGGAGATGCACTTCCTGAATTGCCCGCATGTCAAAGAAGCTCTTGGAGCTTTTGAATGTTGATGCTTGCTTGAAACTTGAGGACTTCAAAACAATTGGCACATGAATAAATTGTATAACGTTTATAAAATCCAAACATCTGGCACTAAAACTCAACCAAGCAGCTGGGTGAAAATAATTCCATGGATCCTTGAGGCTCTTCAAATCCCGTCGATCCAGCTGCTTCCTCCGCGTTCCTCGGTGTAAAGAATTCCTCAGCTTCCTTGGAGGCCAACTTGGAGGGCTCGGCCACAGCTTGCTGTGGTAGCACCGGTGGGCTTGGCACCTCAGTTGGTTCTGCTGGAGCTGTGGCTTCTGGCGCTTCTGGAACCGGAACAGCTTCACTCGGAGCACTTACCTCGACTGGTTCGACCTGGGGCATTTGGTTCACAGTTTCCAGGGGCACGGTTGGGCCCTTTGGGTCGTCATTCTTCACGTCTTCTGCATCTTGGGGTACGCGTTTTGGAGTGTCGTCTTTGGTGCTCTGGAGGTCCTCGGCATCTGGAGCTTCGTTTTGTTCCACTTCCATGTCCTTTCTGTTCTCCACAGCTAGCTGCTCTTGTGAGATTGGTGCAGGTGGTTCCTCCTTGAGAGCCGTTTCGGGTGCATCTGGCGAAGCAATTGCATGAATGGCACTGGACGCCTCCCCTTCTGGCCACACAATTCCCATGCCTTCTCGAACTTTGTTGGAGCCAAAGCGATCAAAGCGCAAGGTGTCAGATATTTCCCTCAGTCGCAAGCGCACCGAGGAATCACCGGATACACCTGGGCTTCCCAAAGCATGCCTTTCAAAACCATCTTGCAGAACACTGATCAGGGCAGCAAACGCATGCAGCAAACTGGGCGCAAGCGGCACTGCATCCATTTGCCTGGGCTGAAGCAACACATGGATCACATTAAGCAAGCCCAAGACAGATGCCGGATCTCGACACACTCTACGATAGGCCAAGCACTTGTCAATCTCTTTCCCTGAGACGGACCTGCTTGTACCATGCAGTAATCCGTGCCAAATCGTTTGCACCACTTGCTCACAAATGCCACCTATGATGGGTTGTGATACCAAAGATGAGCCAGAATCAATCAGCCGCGCAAGAGCCTCACAGGCAGATGAGAAGAATATCTGACCCTCCAAACCCTGCGGAAGGACATCTTCTCTGAGAACGTCTGCTTTTCTCTTTTTAGATATAGGCAGCCGCTGTGCCTCACCATTTTGCAGAAGGGTATCATGGTGCATGGCATCCAATGCATACTGACACAGCCTGCTGAGCAAAGGTTGCCGCAGAAGAATTGCGGGAGAATTCCTTTCGAGCCTCCGAATGAATTTAAACACTGCAACACAGTGCCTTCCATCGGTCTTTGGGCTCCTGTCTGTCAGCAACTCAAGCCACTGGCGGATTTGTGCAGTAAACATCAAAAGTGCGGTCCCAGCCACCTCGACCGCAACACACAGAAGATCCAGCACCCCATTCAAGAGCTTCAGGAGCTCACTGGGTGCCGCTTGATTGCCACAAATCTCAGCCGCAAACTCAGATTCCTTCAACAGAGATCCCAGTAGAAGCTCAATGAGATTCATGATTTTGGGCAAGGGCAGCACGACCAAAGTGTCCTCCATGTCCCCGGTCCTCCGCTCCGTCCTGCGTGCTGCAGGGAGATCCGCTGGACGCGTGCGACTGTACAGGAGAAGACTTTGAAGAAATTCCACCAACCTCACACATTGCAGAATGGCACCTGGATTCAGTTTCCCCCCCAAATTGGGGAGCACAGACTGGTTGAACAGCTGGGAAACCTCGCTGCAAGCCATGTCCATGGCCTTTTCCGCAGATGGAAGTTCTACATCACCACCTCGCGACAGCCACGTCATGCGACAGAGTGCCAGACTGGAGGCCTGAGCAATCTGTGCCCGCGGATGGACCGCCAAAGGCCAAAGCACCGGCCACAAAGTGGCAATCTGACCCCCAAAATTCTGCTGCCCATCCAAGAATAGAGCACAGCATCCCTTAGCCACGGCTTCCTGCACATGGAAAGATTTAGGATGTGCCTCCAGGGTCGCCTTGATCTGGGGGATCACTTTCCGGGTCCAAGCTTGCTTTTCCTGACGCTCCTCCTTCGAATGCTGGTGCCTCTGGGTCGCAACCACCAAGCAGCACAGACAGCGGACGGATAAAGCTGCCACCAAAGGCCAGGTAGAGGCGCTTGATGCCACCACACTTTTCACCACCGCTTCACTGACTAAGGCACTTTCCACTTCAATTGGAAAGTGAAGATCCAGTGCTGCTAGAAGTGCAGACGCAGCTAGAAATGCTCGAGAGGGATTGCCAGCATTGCTTTGCGACAAGCTGGCCGCGATTGCTTGAGCTAAGGACGCCAGCCCCTCAGCAGTGCCAGAAAAATGGGCAGAAAACTCCAGCTCCAAGCTATCAAGGACCGCTGGCAAGGCAACGCCCAGCTCCTTTGAAGATAGAAGGTCAGTCCATCGGATCTTGGTCGCCATGGCTTGTTGATGTTCAAGAAGTCTCACAGCGGCCTGTCTCTACTCGCCTTTCAATACATTCGAACTGTAAGCAGACTTTGGGACAGCATGTGTATATATATATATATACACAGTATACACATATATTTCACGTTTTTCATATGCTGTACTCTAAGAAACTTCCCAGTACAATATTGGATTTTTAGGAATGCAGTCACAATTTCCACGCATGCCTGTACTTGCTCGTGCCTCGAGCATTGCGTCAATTGTCCATGATTTGAACCAAGCTCAGGAAGCGCAAGTGTGCACGGCCAAGTCGCAGCAGACCAAAGATGTCCATCATGGTCCGTTATTCCATATCATTCCACATCAATAGACTCCGAAATCATCATTTAAATCACCCAATCCGTTCTGAACGCAACCTCCAATCTGCCCCAATCTGCCAGGTCTCGTAGTGAATCTGTGCATAATCCAAGGCCTGAAGCAAGCCTGCGCCCAAGCTTTCGGCCAAGGGATTTCCCAGCTGGTTGGGTGCAGCCTTGATGGCTGCAACCACCACGGCACGCACAATGACTTCCAGCAAATCCGGCACATAGACTCCACCGGTCTTTTTGCCCACGTCGTTCACCTAACACAACGAAGGACACGGTTGAAAACAAGACGAAAAATGGGAGATACCCATCAATCGTTTTAGATTGTGGCGGACATTTGGGGGGACAATGATTATATACCCCCACAATCTGAAACAACATATTCTGAAACCAGTCACTTCAACCTTCTTGATGACGAAGTAGGGAGGTGGTGACATTTCACAGGACGGATGCAGGCACAAGCGGGTGACGATGTTGAAGAAAGAGATCTTATCAACTACCACCTGCGTCTGACGGATGCTGTTGCGACGGAGCTGGGGAATCCATAGTGCAAAGTCATTGCATACCATTTGTGTATAAATATATATATATGTGTGTGTGTGTGAATCCAGCATCAATTTTGCTGGTCTTTGATCTCTTCCCAGAGCGTCGGAGCCCTTTGGTGCGAAGTGGAGCTTGGGAAAGAAAATAGTTACAAGTTGTACAAACTTGCAAGTGCCTGCAAAACACACCGATTTCAGTGTGTGACAATATTCGGCCTGTTTGGTCATGAGGATCTCATTGAACCTGATGTACCACGTGTACCAGGGACATCACGACATGACATGCACCACCGTGACTCTACAAGATTTACATCGAGAGGGGTTACCCCACAGTTGCTGTCCGACTGCTGTTTGTTCTGAGCAGACTTGGCCGCCATGTTGATGTGTTCCTGCCAAGCCAAGGTCCAAGGGGTTCAGTGTTCCAGTGCAGCAGCCATAGTCATCCAAGACAGCAACAAAACACCCCAAGCCGTTCCCAAAGTACCAGTCAGCCAGTCCATGATCGTCTTCGCATTGGAAGAGCCATCAACATGCTGATCCTTTGATGAAGCACCAAGTGATAGCTAGCAGCATTCGCAAAATCTGAAGATCTGGCTAGTCACATGTCAAGATGTCAAGGGTTGACCCGCAGGATTGCCCACCAAAACAGACCATGTTGATAGATGGGTCTAGAGTCTAGGATTTTGACCCCGGCCCATTGGCAAGGAGCCCTTGGAAATTCTCCTTGCAGCCCAATATCTACATTCAGCCGCACATCCCTCAAGGTCAGCTCTTGCAATTGCAAGGGGCTGCCAAAGACTGAACGCAGGCCTGCAGGACACCACCCCAAGCTTCAAGTTGGTGCTAACCTCCTCCTTCCCTACAATGGATCATAAGGCCCTGTAGTGATCCTATAAGGACCTGGTGTCGCCACATTTTATTATCACAGTGAGGACCTACCAGTCCAGCTTGGAGATTCTTGGGCACGGCAAGGCACGCATACAACATACAATGCGGGAATCTTTCAAATTCCAATAGTGGAAGCGTTGAAGCGCTTCGTTCATCGCTGAATTGACCAAGATGCCCAGGTCAAAAATGCCATTGTCGATGCTCATGAAATCATATTGACCTTAGCGGGAAGCTAACAAGGCATAGCAGCATGGCAGCATGGCGGCGTGGCGTGCAACCGTGGTGCCGAAGCCATCTGGACTCGAAATCCGAAGGCTGGAAAAGCTCCACCGTGCATTCAGGGGTGAAATTTCCACTGAGCCCACGGTCGTAGGCACCTGCGTCGCTTGAGACATCCGTGAATCACTTGAAGCCACAAGAGCTGGGAAGCTGGGCACGGCACCCCGAAAGTCTGTAGCCCAGCCGCTTCCACTGCATCCGTGGCCCAAGAGTTCAAGAAGAAGGACGCCCTGCCAGGAGATCCACAAGCTGCGCATCTACGCTGGCCAAACCGGTTGGATTCCCTACCAAGGACCCACGAAATTCATCTGAATTCATCTAGATCTAATCTAGATTCATTATATACATCGAAATAATATGCCCGTTAACATGGTTCGTAGAGATTGACATCACTCTTGGCTCCCCACACGAAGAATGGAATCAGAATGGCACAAAAGCAGCAGAGGCAAACTCCACCCCAACACCATGGGTTTCTCCAACTCTCTTCACCTCAGCGTACGCACCAATGTCGCAAATGTTCTGTGATATCCCAATTAATTGAACTCACGAAACAATCGTCGTCGTCGTCGTCGTCCTCCTCCTCCTCCTCATCATCCTCATCATCATCATCGTCGTCGTCGTCGTCATCATCGTCATCATCATCATCATCATCATCATCATCAATCCAGATCTTCCGCACATCTTGCAGATTCTTGCAGTTGGGCCACCACTGTCATAGACATCGGAGTAGTAGTCCTCATCCATGCCATCCACCTGCGCCACCTGGCGAAACTTGGCGTTGTAGGGCCGCGGCTTCATCGCCTGACGTCGAACACGTCAAACACGTCGAACATCGCCGAACACGTGGGGACAACGAAACCAAAATTCCAGGACTCACCTGCCTGTGCTCCAAAAAAAGGTGGCCGCTCGGCCACAGTGCTAGGGCCAAGCTGGAGTTGTTTCTTGAAGTGTGTTTGTTGATGTGATGTGTGTGGGCGATGTTAGTGAAGAGCTGCTTGCTTTTCTGGGTGCCTCCACAGCATAGCCTGCTGGTTTTGTCACACTCTGATGGACTTGACTTGACTGCCTCTTTATGACTTTGCCAGAACAGTGAGACGCGTCACCTGAGACAAAAACAATGACCCCCGTGTCACCCTATCACAGAATGTCACAGTCTAGCCCGATCGTCTCCCAACCACAGTGGGCCATCAAAATCATCAAATGGGATTTTACTCACCAATTTTTGAGGATACCAGTGTGCCATAGTGTGCCCATTGCAACCTGCTCTTCTGCGCAGGTATCCTGAATTTTTGGCCGAACTGATGCAGAAAATCCAGAGGTTGCACATTAAGCAAGGCTATACACCGTGAGTGCAACACCCATGGAGCACTCAGTGTTCCAGGACAAAATAACGAAAAACTCAAAGGTGTTGCTATCCTGCTATCCACTTGTCACCAGTGATCTGTTGAACTTATTCATGACATTATCCACACTGGTCCCCTCTGCCAAATCTTCAATGGCCGCCGCCGCCATCTGCAAAGCTTCAGTGGTTTGCTCCAGCTCCTCGTGGCGGAATCGTCCCAAGACGTGGCCCACCACGCCATGGCGTCCAGCAGCCTTGGGTGGTCTGGAGATACCCAGGCGCATCCGCAGGAAATCTTTGAAGCCCTGCGCCAGCACGGAGCGCACCCCGTTTTGCCCGCCCGCGGAGCCGGACTTGCGCAGCCGCAAACGGCCCACCTCCAGGTCCAAGTCGTCATAGATCAGCACCAGATGAGTTTCTGGAAGGTTCAGCGCGTCCATCAGCTGTGACACTGGGAGACCTGATCCATTCATCATAGAGGCAGGCTTGAAGAGTATCAGCTCCGAAAAACCTGACTCAGTAGGGGACTCCTGGCGTTTCAAGCGCAACAGATTTCCTCCATGGGCTGCTTCCCAAATTGGACCCTCCAGGGCCCAGCTTCCTGGCTCATCAAGCAGCTTGGAAGCTACCTCATCTACAGCGGCGAAACCAATATTATGTCTGGTGCCCACATACTGATTACCAACATTCCCCAAGCCAACCACTGCCAAGACTTTACTTTGTGCAACACTTTGCGTCCCGGAACCGTTGGCGGTTTTGCTTGGTTGGCACATCCTTGCGCATCTTCTCTGTGCAAATTGGCCTAAGAGTCCACCAGCAACACCCGCAGCGATCCAATTCCGGGGAAGCATTCGGCTGCTTCGGCTGCATCCAACATGTCTGGACTGCGGCACAGCACTTCGTGTTGAGCCCCGACAGGAAAAGATGGTCGGACTCACTGCTGAAAGCATGGCAAGTGAAAGTTCAAGGCTTTGCCAAAGGTGGTGTTTGTGTCTGAGATCTACACATGTCACATATGTCATCTATATATTATATAAGGCTTTTTGTAGGGCTGTGTGGCATTAAATTGAATCCTTAGCCTGCTGAATGTGTAAATGCTATCAATATGGACAGCGTCCAAGTGGAGCTGCAAGTCATGCATCAAGGCTGACTAACAAAAAGCTTGGATGGATGCGAACTCTTCTTGCATGACATGAGACTGCGATACAACACTCCATGGCTCCATGATCTCCATGGCTGGGTTTTCCGAGTTTGGACTCCAAACAGGTAGACAGGAACTGACAGGAACCTCGATAGCCAGCTCTTCATTACTTTTTCTGGCGTCAGGCATGCGTCCATCGGTCCATCCTCTTGCATCATCACTCTTGGAAAGTGAGGGCACTGCTTCCACCAGTGTCCATACTCACCAGTGTCCAAGGGTCCCATGCATGGGTATGGCGAACTGTAATTTCACCCACTCTGGTGAGGGTGACGCTGAGCTTCTGCTTCTCGCAGAGCCCATGCAAAAAGTCGAATTTTACCTTTACAATCTTTAAGGGCTATGTCAGTTCAAACCGTCCTTGATTTCCAAGCTATCTGACCAACGAAACATGCAGAAAGCACTGCCCGAGCACATGTGTCACAGGCAGGGCAAAAGTATCTGTAGCAAGGGGGACTCGCAAACAGTCCAAAAGCCTCTTAAAACCTGAAGCTCACCAAGCTCACCAAAGCCACAGCTCAGCCTCCCATCACTTGATGCGAGACTTTAATCGCCAATTTGTCACCCAAGTCCTCGCCTCCCTCTTCCACAACCGCCCGCTGGGTGAGGATCATGATTTTTCCAACAATTCCGGAGTTGGTTTGATTTCTGGGGAGGGGTGGCCGACGTGTGTTGACGTAGACATCATTGAAGGCTTTCGCCCAGTTGTTCCCAGCAATCTGGCGGGTGAGGTCTGGCGGAATCTGGCTCTCACCGTGCATGACGCCTAGTAAGCCCGCCAGGGTGGCCGCCTGGTTGTCGCAGTCAAAGCCTGCAGCAATGGCAATGCCCACGGTTTTTTTGAAGTCGCCGTTCCCATAAAGGAAGGCCATAGCCCCCAACACCCCATTGATGATTGAAGAAACCGCACAAGGCCATGGCATATCACCACAATCCTTCGGATAATAGGAGAAGTTCTCCCGAATCTTTTGCCACACAGGTCTCCAGTCATCCGGACTCTGCTTCTTCCACAAGTAGACCTTCACCAGCGCCCGCCGGAAGGGACTTTTCTTGGGAACCGCTTGCCGTCCGATGCGGTAGAGGACACGCACATCTTGGATGAAAAAGGCCGCACTGTACATGGCAGCATAGAACCTTTCAGTGAAAGGACAGAGCAGTTTGGTGGCTTGACCATCTGTGGAGTCATGAAATCCTTTCTTACTGTGACCAACTAGAATATAAGAAAAGTCCGAAAAGACAAACGCATCAATGTCACATATATAGATAGATAGACAAATATGGAGATAGAAATTATAGATAGATATGGATATGGATATGGATGTGGATATACATATATATATATACGTGTATATACATATATATATATATGAGCCGCTGTCAAAATCAATTGCTGATGTTTGGTACGAAAATATAGGTTATCGCTTTTTGGGGGGGGTATCGTTTTACAGTGTTTTATCAAATCAACACTAAAGAATGCAAAAATTCAGCGGAATCACGGATTCAGATCTCTAAACTGCCGGGGATGGATTAAGGGGGCGCTCGTTGTCTTTGCGTTTGCAACCATGTTGGGGATCGACCTAAGCACATTCCTAGACTCTTTCCTAAGCAAGTAAATTTATTACAATCTCAACTCCAAACTAGAATGACAGTAACCAATTTAAGATCAATAATTCTATGAAAACGAAAAAGGATATCGTTGTGGTCAAATGAGTTTATTCCTCGTCCGGGGTCCCTTTTTCAACCAAAGGTTATGGCTAGGTTATCGCTAAATTAGAACACCAGGATGATCAAGAAAGGAAGAGAAAGAGGAAATGAAAAGGACAAATGAAACAAAACGGAAAAATAAAATAGATGTAATTCAGAATTGGTTTCAAAATCAATTTTGATTTACTTCAGAATTCAATTGCGTTTAGTTTTGAAAGGAAAGTATATACATATATAATCATATATATACATATAATAAAAGAAACCTTCAACGGCTCCATATATTGAGATATATTAAACATCTCTGGCATCAGGAAACACAGCACGACATGCCCGCCTGGTGGGATGGGTTCCCCATGAGTCACTGGTGATTCTGGCGCCCCACTCAGCACGGTCAACGGCCTTCGAAGCATTCGCTCACTTCAACGGGGACGACGATGTTCTGATTCTAAATGGCACAAGTCATCGAAGAAAACGAACTGATCACTGAGAAATACTAAGAAGATCTCCAAGATCTCCAAGAAATTGGCTTGAGAGATTTGAGAGGGCAAGGAAAAGTCAAAGAACCTTCAGCATCCTTCAGCCATGCCTGGTCGACCATACCTGGGTAGATCACGCTCCACAACTCGTTCACCAGCCTTAGGGGATCTGTACGATTCCATTTTGACATAGGGATTCGGGTTAGCCAAGTCGCTGTGGATCTATGGTCCACCAGAACTCGTTGTTGGCTTTGGAACCGGTGGCCGGAGGTACCAAGTCTGCGCAGTTGGATCACATGCAACGTCCATCACGACAACTAACATGACGATCATCATCGATCATCATCGATCATCATCGATCATCATCGATCATCATCGATCATCATCGATCATCACTATCAGAATCATCATTGAAGAGGAACAAACACAAGAATCGAAGCAAGTAGTTTCAAAAGAAACGAGTGATTGATGGCTCATGCCGCAGACAGAAAGGAATAGATCTGTGCTGCTTTCCGAAATGCAGTCACGCGAGTCACCGAGTAGTGAAACACCACAAATTTTCAGTTGTTTAAAATTACAGAGTTTTCCGGCTGCAAGCCGCCTTTGTCCATATTTTCCCTGGCAACTTTGTTCGCAAACCAAAGTGTGTCACTGCCATTGACTTTGATGTTGATGTAGGTCTTCCAGTACTCAGCAATTTGTTCATAGTTCAAGTCGAGGCCATGTTTTTCCAGCGCATGGAGCGTCACAAACTCAATGTCCGTGTCATCATCAGTGTAGGCCCCTTGTAGCTGATCCAGCGTCTGCGGGATGCAGCCACGTCCATCGCTCTCGCAAGGTCCGTTGACGTTGAGGCCGGAGGCATTGGCGCTGGCCTCGTCGTAGTAAGTCTGTGGCTCAATGGGCATGGGCTCATCCCAATAGGTAAATTCGAAGGGCAAACCCATGAAATTGCCCACGAGTTGGCCAACCCAATAGCCCATCAGCTTGTCATAGAGAACGTCCTGCCAACAGGACTGGATGTGTAAAAGTGAGCTAGATCCAGGAGACATTGGAGGCATTGGTGGCACTGAGGTTTCACTGCATCAGTCCCCTTGCCTTGCTAATCACTCGCCGAATAGGAACCGGTTCACTGGAGACTTGGACATCATTCGCCTTGGCAGGGCTGGAAGAAACACAACCGCCACCGGACCACACTTCCCTGAAAGGCCTGCGCCACAAGAGGTAGCGCCAACAGCAAGAGCAACATGACGGGCACGGCCGCTTCCCCGATGCAGTTGATCGCAGGTGGCTTCGGATTGCCGAAGTGGGTCTGCACCAAAATGAGGGATACCGGGATACCCAATACATGAATCTATGATAGTTTTAATGAGGAACATGTGCATGATCAACTATGAACTTGCATGCACTCTACTTTTTTCGTTGATGCCCAGTGGATTTTTGACACTGGTCCAGTGATCTCTGCCTTCTTGGCAGAAAGACACTACAACAATCAGAAGGCAGAAGGATCTACAAAAGCCTTCGCCTCAGAGGTGTTGACTTATGTTGACTTCATGTCAAGTCTACATGAAGATATGGTTGTGGATCCTGACCAGCGCAGAAGATACTGATCAAGTCATCGGCAGCTGGTTGCTCCTCAGTTGGCCCGCAATCACAAGCTGCCACTCTTGACTCCTGGACCATTCCTTGAGTGGCTTTGTTGTTTCCACATCAACAGCAAAACGAGTCACGGCAACAGGTCTAAGAGTTTGGCTTCACGAAGATCTTGCAAGCACTTTTCAAAGGATGTGCCAAGCGCAGCCCGCACGTCGCCGCGCATCTGGTCCTTACCCCAAGTGAGCTTCTGTGTTCAGCCTACACAGGTTCCGTTTCACAGGTTCCGCATGTTCTTACTGTGTAATGTAGTGATGCCAAACTCTCTCCCTGCACTCTCTTTTGGCAGTCAAGCATCCACATTGCCAGCAGCTGATGTGATAGACCTTATGGCTTCAATGGACAAGCGGCCTGTTCGCTCTGGCCTCGGTAGATTTCCCAGCTGCAAAGCAAGATTATCCACCAACAGCGTGGCTCCGGAGCCACCCAAAAACCAGGGAGGAAATTGAACCAACAAAGAGGTAGAATCACAATAATTTACCTGTAACATCCTCCAACAGTTTGGAGCTCTGTTCGTGTGTCTGAAAATGTGGCATGCTGCCAAATTATTGGGTTTGTACCAGTTGATAATGGCATACGTACCATAATCTTATAAGTACCAATGATGCTAATCACTACAGCACCCCCGCCAGCGAATAATATAGAACAGTCCAAACCCCTCTAAATTTGTTGTTGCTCTATGTTACTCCAACGTTTCTATCATCTTTGGGGGTTCTATAACCAGTCGAATTTTTTTAAAAAAAAAAAACGTCTATAGCCTATAGTGTTGCTGCCTTTTGGAACATTGGAGGTTTCCTAACATGGCGTTACCCCAAATCATCCAAGTCATTAAACCATTTTCGTATTGAAACAACCATGGTCACTTGGGGATCCCACAAATCCCCCATGACTTAGGAAACTCATATCACCACTATGAAAAGATGCAATATATATATATATATGTGTGTGTATATATATGTATGTATGTATGTATGTATGTATGTATGTATGTATGTATGTATGTATGTATGTATGTATGTATGTATGTATGTATGTATGTATGTATGTATGTATGTATGTATGTATGTATGTATGTATGTTGTATGTATGTATGTATGTATGTATGTATGTATGTATGTATGTATGTATGTATGTATGTATGTATGTATGTATGTATGTATGTATGTATGTATGTATGTATGTATGTATGTATGTATGTATGTATGTAGTATGTATGTATGTATGTATGTATGTATGTATGTATGTATGTATGTATGTATGTATGTATGTATGTATGTATGTATGTATGTATGTATGTATGTATGTATGTATGTATGTATGTATGTATGTATGTATGTATGTATGTACGTGTGTATCTATGTATCTATGTATCTATGTATCTATGTATCTATGTATCTATGTATGTATGTATGTATGTATGTATGTATGTATGTATGTACGTGTGTATCTATGTATCTATGTATGTATGTATGCATGCATGCATGCATGCATGTATGTATGTATGTATGTACGTGTGTATCTATGTATCTATGTATGTATGTATGTATGTATGTATGTATGTATGTATGTATGTATGTACGTGTGTATCTATGTATCTATGTATGCATGCATGCATGCATGCATGCATGTATGTATGTATGTACGTGTGTATCTATGTATCTATGTATGTATGTATCTATGTATGTATGTCTGTATGTATGTATGTCTGTATGTATGTATGTATGTCTGTCTGTCTGTATGTAAGTCTGTCGGCTGTCTGTCTGTCTGGCTGTCTGGCTGTCTGGCTGTCTGGCTGTCTGTCTGTCTGTATGTATGCATGCATGTATGTATGTATGTTTGTATATAGAGATACAACCGCTATCAAAAAACAGCAAACCCAAGGAACTGCACGGCCACTTTCCCGGAGCAGCTCTGCGCCAGCAGCGTTGCCAGCGGCACCACGCTGCCACGCAGCTCCGCAGCGTAGCCAAAACGCGCCAAGCGTTCGGCGGTCTGCGCCAGCTTCCAAGGCATCCAACGAGTGGAACCTCGGTGAATTCCCAAAGAAACCGAATTCTACATGGGAAAATGATGAGGAATGATGGGAATGAAGCTGGAAGGCATGGATTAGACGCGCTAATATAATGTTATATCTATAACTATTTATATATACGTATATATGTATATAACCATTCAAGCGCCGTCTTCTTTCCCACCCTGCCGTCGTCACACAGGCAGTTGGGCTTGTCAGCGCCACTGCATGCATCCATGTTGACAGGTTTGGGCGGGTCTCCTCCAATGAGGGGAGGGAGGCCCAAAATCCGCCCACACCGCTTTGGCGGTGAAGGCGTGCTTATTGTGGGGAAACAGCTACACTAAATGCTCAATCACATTTGTTAATATAGCAGTCGCTATATCAGCTTTAGCTGGGGGGGGGCAAAAACGGTTTCGCACCGAGACCAGAATTAGGTGGTGTTTTCGACATTTTTCGAGGATTTTTGGGTGTCTGAGCGCAAGAGGGTATTGAAATGGAATTTTGGGTCATTTTGGTAGCTTTCCGGCAATGGAAAAACGGCCAAAAATGAAAAAAACATTGTACATAGCAAGATTTTGCAGGGTTTTTGGATGCCAGAGCATTGAAAACACTGCAAAAACAAGTGTTTTGGACTGACGTTATAGCAAAAAACGTGTAAATTACCGTATGCTTGACTGGAAACATTACAAAAACACTGTCAAAAGCAATGTTTTGGAAGGATTTACTGCCTTTATGGCAAAAAACGTGTAAATTACCGTCTGTTTGACTGGAAACATTGGAAAAACACTGTCAAAAACAATGTTTTGGAAGGATTTCTTATATATATGTTGGAGTTGGCTACCGGCATTGGCACATGGAAAAATTGAAGAAAACACTGTAAATAGCGGTATTTTCAACGGTTGGGGAGATAAGGGAATTGGAAGCATTGTCGAACATGATGTTTTCGACCGGTTTTATGGCGACAAAAGTGTAAAGTACCGTGCTTTGAAGGAAACCATTGCAAAAACATGGAAACACATTCAAAGAACACGGGATTTGGGGGACTATCTAGGCGTCGTTGTCTAGCTATTTGAAATTCCGCAGCTTGGAGAGCCTCCAAGGGAGGGAAAAGTGAAAATTCCATAGCTTGGGAAGCTGTCACGGCGGGGAAAAGTGAAAATTCCCTAGCTTGGGAAGCCCGCACGGGGGGAAAAGTGAAAATTCCCTAGCTTGGGGAGCCCCCACGGGGGGGGAAAGTGAAAATTCTTAGCTTGGGAAGCTTCACGGGGGAAAAGTGAAAATTCCGTCGCTTGGGAAGCCCCCACGGGGGGGAAAAGCGAAAATTCCCTAGGTGTCTACAAAGTATTTATTCCAGGATGATTCTAGGCCCTAGATTCTAGGCCCGCGCTGTCAATAACACCCAGCAATTCCAAATGTGGTTCAAACTCCGAAGCGAACAGGGTGTATTGGGACCTCAATCAATTTTCCACAAGAAACTTGACGGGGGCCATGGCTCTTTTCTTGCAGATGCTGCGATGCAAGCTGCCATTGCCACAAAAAAATCATCCTCATGCCACAGATCGTCCGCAAGATATCCGAAAGTGCCAGAATTCTCAGCATCGGTGCCCACAACTGCAATTCTCAATTCACACAGGTTCGCCAACAGCAGGCTTGCAGCGAAGGTGTGTTCTGGCACACATTGACCATCACAATCCCCTCGCCGAGCTGTCTCTAACAACCTCTGAACCTCGGCACCAAGTGGTAGCATCATGGCCCTATCATGTCCAAAAATGGAAAGTCATTGAAAGGCCGCTGAAATATACTCATTACAACACTATAATTATACAATAAGGAAATCCCGTGTTTGGGCCACCCCCGTTTGTAAACACACTCGTTTCGTTTCCAGAATTGCAAATGCTGCAAATTGACCTCAACGTGACTGGCAGCAAGACAAGACTGGCTGACCACCTATTCATCCAACGAAATTCACAAAACAAAATCTCTCGTTTGAAGCAGCGAAGCTTTGTCCAATGTCAGCATATCTCTCACCCATTGACGCGAGACTCTGCTGTGACAAAGGTGGATCAAAACATGAGTTGCCAGAATTTGCAAGGCTCGGAAAGGCTGATGACACCAGGTGTCAGACGCAATCGCCACAAATGTAGACATACAATCCTGAAAAACCTCAGGCACACTCACACTTGCAAGCCATGTCAGCGAAATCATCTGAAAGAGTGTTCATTGCAAGGCTCTGCACGAGCTACTGAGAGCAGTGCTGAGCTTTCTGGCACTTGACTTGCCACAGCTAGAGCTAGCGAAACTGCACAGAAGACCGTTTCTTGTTGGCACGGATCTTGCAGCTGCAAGTTGCGTTCCAACGCTTCCCCGAAGAGGCCAGATTTGGCAACGAGACAGGCTGCCTCTGGGTGACCTGGGCACAGAATTTGCTCCGACGTTGCAGCGGCCAAACAAGGAAAAACAAAACCGTCACCCATGGAGACAACCGAGATCAACCGAGTTTCCGACTCCGGGACATGCCTTCCACCAAATTGAATGCCCAAACGCGTTTTTTGCAATCAGAATTGCCCAAAGTGCATTTTAGCACTTCCTTCAAGCAAACCGAAATCTGAGCATAGAGGCGCTTCAATCCCAAAGTTTCATCTGTTGGATGCCACGACAGATCTTCCAGGTACAAACGCAATGCATTCTCAACCGCTTCACATCCATGCGGAGGCATTGGAGGCTATGGAAGTAATGTCATTGGCATGTGTTCCAACGTTTGCTACTTAAGGCCAGTGACCTGCTCCGTCGTAAGAAGGTCAGCGAAATAGTCCCTCATGGTTCGACACCAAAAAGAACAATAAATCAGAACAAAATTGCCTACGGAAAACAATGGACTCAATTGACCTGCACATTGTTGTTTTTTTGGCATGGTGAAATGTGATGACCCTCACGAAGCTGTGATTCAAAAACGAATTCCGGGCACAAATCACAAGTATGAAAACCATGTGAACCCGCAAGCCAGCCCACACGTCCCAGTTACGACCTTCAACACAAGATAGAATACCCCATTCACGGTTTGGTTGTCCAAAATTTCATCTATCAAACCTAAATTTTGAAAACAAAGGTCCAAGCAAAGGCACCACAACCACATCCAAGCCAAACACTTACACGAGTGCAAATGGTACACCTGAAGGCTTACCATTTACGGTTCCACATGTCAAACATTCGCACCAAAATCTCAGAAACACTACGAAGATGTGGATGCGGGATCCCCCTGACATTTAAGCGTGCGAAATACGGTACATCATCACATCATCATCATCATCATCATCAGCATCATCATCATCATCAGGTCATCATCATCATCACCACCACCACCACCACCATCATCAACACACATCATTCCATCAATCCAGCATCCACCAACCCACCCACCCACCCACCACACCAGCCATCCATCCATCCATCATCCATCCATCCACCATCATCGTCATCGTCATCGTCATCGTCATGACTAATCATCATCATTCATCACCATCATATCATAACATCATCCATACATGCATCATCCATCATCCATTCCACCCACACCCACCCACCCATCCATCCATCCCTACCATCCTTTCCATCTATCCATCCATATCGTCATCGTCATCGTCATCGTCATTCCTCATCATCATCATTCATCACCATCATCATCATTACACATCATCCATCATCATCAATCCATCCATCCATCCAACCACCCACCCACCCACCCACCAAACCCACCAACCCACCCACCCACCATCCACCATCCATCCATCATTTTTCATTCGTCATCGTCATCGTCATCGTCATCATCATCATCATCACCATCATCATCATACACATCATCATTATCCATCCATCCATCCATCCATCCATCCATAGCGGACAAAAGGGCAACGCAACCATCAGCTGACTGACTGTCAAGGGAAAACACTACGAACCAGAGGCACAAGACAGACTGATCTCCAGGTGGTGGACTCAGAAGGAGAAGAGATTCTGCTGAGGATTGAGTTCATCATAGGAGATGTAACCACCGGCCTGTTGTCTCTTGGCCAGCTTTACCAATCTGGTTGGAAGGTTGATGGTAGCGATGAAAGCCAACTTCTCTTAGAGGATCCCAACAAGCAAGTCAAGATCCCAGTCCACTTCAGAAACAAATCCTTTGCAATCAAAGCTTGTGTGCGACATGTTGAAGCAGGGCATGAACTGTCAGATGTGGATTGTGTCCGGGCAATTGTGGCTGCACACAATGAAGTTGAAGTACGCGATTCTACAAATGTTTTTGGGAAATAGCTTCGTAGACCCACGACCTGTGTGGGGAATGTATTGGCGCTGTAGAACCACACTAATCCGTGTCCACCAAGGAGAAGATCGCAATTGGTTGTTGGTTGAGCTCTCACAGCTCTACATGGACAGGAAAGATTCCTTTGAGCCCATTGAGGAATGCAGATCAAGATGGGTGGTCTGGAATGCAAGATCTTGACGTTCTTGGGGAAACATGAGCATGGAGTAGAAGAAATTGGGTTCTTGGTGGACGAAAGCGATGATTTGATTGGTGGTGAAGGTCAGGTTAACCACACCTTGCTGATGTTTTGGACCCACCTCCTGGACTGGCAGAAGACCCACACGGTGGAGGTGAGGCAGCACCGATGGAGTTCATTGAAGTTGAGGAGTTCCCAGAAGAGCAAGCTCACCTCTATGATGATTTCATCATCACCAAGAATTCAAGAATTCTGGACCTACGCACAGCTTGCCACTGGCTCGGAGTTTCCCAAGCTGGTTCAAAAACCGCGGCTATTTGAGCGTGTGAAGAGAGCCCATAGAGATAGCCTGAGACGCTCAGCGGTAGAAATTGCAAACGCTGAGTACGAAAGAGAGGCACAGGTCGCAGTAGAGATTCCTGGCCCAAGGAGGCAACCCTCAGCACGGGCACTTCACAATTTGATTCATATCCCCTACAGAGACTGGTGTCAGCTCTGCATCAGCACAAGGGCGAGAGGAGACTACCAACATAGTGTGGCAGATCCTGAGGCAGCACTTGAAAGAGACAGACCAACCATACAAGTTGATTTCTATTTCTGTGAGGGCAACGATGAAAGAAAGACGGTGTCGGAGGCAAAGGCCATCTTATTGCTGGTCGATGTATGGACTCGCTACACCCATGTGGAACCCATGGAGAAGAAATCAGCGCGTGCGGTTGGAGAAGAAATCTCTAGATTTGCTGGCATGGTAGGTCATGTAGGAATGATTGAGTTAGAAGGAGACAACGAGCATGTGTTGGTTGCAGGAATGGAGCTGTGTAAATCTGTAGGGGCAAAGCACGGTTTCCCCACCACAATCTCCTTGAACAAGAGCTACAGCAAGTCTAGGACAGGAGTAGCTGAAAGGACTATCCAAACAGTGAGAAATCTTCAAAAGACACTGGTGGCACAGCTTGAGCACGAAATTCAGTGCAAGCTACCCAGTCCTTTACTCGAGTGCAGTCCATGCATCCTGGCTTTACAACAACCGGTACCACACCCATTCCACTATCAAAGTCCCGCCTTTTCGCAGACCTTTCCGAGGTCGCATCACTTGCTTCGGGCAGAAAGTTTTCGGATTGATGGCCCGTGGCAACAAATAGAGGCCGATGTGGAAGCAGGGGGTTTGGCTTGGCCGAGATGGAGCAGATCAAGATGTGATTGCAACCACGCCTCAAACTATAACCAAGACCAGATCTGTGAGAAAGACTGCTCATGAATGGGTTGCTAAAGATATCCTAGCCATTGAAATCGGACCCTGGGATACTTCAAGCCGGTTGGAATCAAAGCTTCGTGTTCAGCCTCTACGTGGCCTACTCCCACGACACATCCCGGATGCAGATCGTGATCTGGACGCAGACGCCGTACAGGCATCCCCAATTCAGCTTCTGCGACAGAGTTTCAGAAAGGCGAGGGCGTTGGCAACCAAAGTCAACCTTACAGCCCATCATCATTTGGCGGTGAAGGCAGGGGGCAAGAACAAGGTGCGATTGACGTTCCTGAAGAACAAGGTGGGCAAGCTTCAAGTTCACTCTCTCTTGGTGCATCAACAGTACCTTTTGCCCCACAAGTTGCAGACACAATGGGCTTTGATGTTGAACCCGCGCGAGGTTCAAAACACAGGAGCGAGGAAACAGCACAGCAAGGAGAGAGAAAGGCAATTAGGCTTGATGAGACAAAATAGCAAAGACCACTGTGCGAGCCCTTGAAGCAGTCATGGTTGGACACAACGACTTGGTTGGTGCAGAAGAAGATTGGAGCATGTTCCCTCTAGAAGAAGAATCTGAGAGCGAGGATGTTGAGGGAAGGACTGAAGGTGAAGGGCCACCTACAGTTAGCCAAGAGAAGCTGGATAAATTGGATGCGATAGCAGCACTTGAGGAAATTCAGAAACTCAACCAGATGAAAGTCATCGAACCCTTGGAGATGGATCCAAGAGAAATTCCCCCAGAATGCTTGGTAGACACGACTGTGGCAAAGGACTGGAGGTACAGGCAAGGCTGGAAAAGGAGGTGTAGAATCGTAGCAAGAGAATATAGGATGAATCAGAACACGGACGAGAATACTCATTCACCAACAAGTGCATTTGCAGCAGTCCGCATACTACTCATTCTAAGAATGATCTACGACCTTGCTGTTACAGCCCTGGACATCAAGGATGCTTTTCTTGTTGTACCGCAGCCTGAAGATGAGCCGATGCTTGTCTTGATCCCAGAGTGGATCCAAGCATTGCAACCTGAGTGCAAGCACAACATTTGGAGATTGAGAAGGTGCTTACCCGGTCAACGGAGTGCAGCACAGCACTGGTTTGCTTTCTTCACTAGACTTTGCAAAAAGGCAGGAATGGATTCCTTCCCTGGATGTCCAACAGTGTTGAAATTTGTGGACAAGGACCACCACATCTACTTGACCGTGCACGTGGATGACGTACTACTTGTATGCGATGACAAAGATTTGAAGTGGTTCCAGAAGAATGTCGCAAAGGAACTCACTACGAAGGTGGATGGGCCACACCAACAAGGCTCTGGAAAGACCATGATGTACCTGAAGAAGCGAATCACCTTTTTAGATGAGGGCACCTTGATTCAACCAAACAACACCTATATCCCGAAGCTGATAGAACCCCTGAAGTTAGCTGGGGGGCGTAAGAAGGGACTCCCACACCATTCTACGGTAGATGCGTATCATCCAGACCAACCTGGACTGGATGAGTTGACGGAGGAGGAAGTCAAGAGCTTCAGGTCAGCGCTGGGATTGATTCTCTACATCAGTCATGATCGTCCAGACATCAACTTCGCAACAAAGGTTATTTCAACATGGATGGCAAGACCATGCGGGAAGGCGATGGCTGGAGTCAAGCATTCGGCACTCGATCTGAGCGGCACAGAACATGGCGGGGTTCTTTTGAAAAAACGTGAGGAGCATGAGAATGTGTTTGACCGTTGGATTGAATCTGGTGATTGGATGGAGTTTGACACCAAGAAACAGAAGACCAAACCCATTCTGAATTTAGACGTGTTTGCAGGCTCATCTTGGGGAGATGACCGTGGAACTAGAAAATCAACCCGTTTTTTCAACAGTTTTTTTCAATGGTGCATATGTGCTTGGTTTTTCTCGAACCCAAGCAACAGTTGCACTCAGCTCATGCGAAGCTGAGCTGTACGCAGCAAATGCAGGGTTGGTCTTGATGAGGTTGTGCAAGTATTTAATAGGAGACGAAAAAGATGGAACAACAGAGATGGTGAAAATGAAGCTGTTCTCCGATAGCAGTTCAGCCTTGGGAACAATTCAGAAGAGTGGGGTTGGAAGGATGAACACATAGAAATCCGACATCTATATCTGCATGTGCAAAGACGGCAGCTGAGGTCCAACCGTCAAGCCAAGCCGCACGAAGTGCTTAGCTGTCAAAGTGCAATGAGCTCTTTTCACAAGAGCCAGCGCAGCCATTGAAACGTCGACGCCCACCCTTGAACCAGTTGGCAAGGAAAGGCAAATGAATTCCAACTCGGTCGAGTTTCACTGACATGCAAACATCAAGTTGAAATGGTGAAAATGAAAAAGGAAGGTATGCCACAGCATGAAACCTAAGTGCATGGAATGCAACTTCACATGGGGGGAAAGTTGTTTAACAGTTTCCCTTGAATTCACTCCCTAGGAAGACGAAACACTGAACCGCAACGCTCACATGGCATCACATCGCGGATTTCGCGGCCAGTTTCGTAGAGTTGCTCGCAATGTTCGTTCGCATGCCAAATGTTGGTGCCATCTTGGATGGAGATCGTGTGGCCCATCGCACAAACACGGCCATGATCCTCGAGCTCCAGTTGTGCCTGGTACCCATCATTCAAATCTCCAACCGCAAGTTGAAATGCTCGTTGGTGTTCACGAGCAGCATTCACGGCATCCTGATAGCCCCGAGTGGCCCTTTGAAGCTCAGCGCTCACACGCTCCAGTTGCATCCCATTGGCTTGCAGCACGATGCTCAGCCCATTTGCTCGATTCGTAGAGGCAGCAACCGCAGCTTGAAGTTCATCAACTTCTATGGTGAGTGTGCTCGGGAGCTTCGCAATTTCGCGCTGTCGGCGCGTTCCAACATACCAACCAAAACAAAAAGAAATCACACAAACCATGAGTATCCAAAATTGATCCATATTGATATCCAGGGGTATCTTGAACCTACCCAAATCAGTTTCGTCAGTTTCAATCACAAGGCCTGAGCTGCAGGAACTGAAGACGCAGCCAAGTACAGCCAGAAAATGCTCAAGCACTGCAAAGCACGTCGCATGGCCAGAGAGCTTGCTACGGCTGCAGTAGGAACCATGTTGACATACTTGAGCACAGTCGTGGAGTCCACAAAATCCGCCCACACCGCTTTGGCGGTGAAGGCGTGCTTATTGGGGGGCAACAGCAACACTAAATGCTCAATGACATTTGTTAATATAGCAGTCGCTATATCAGCTTTAGCTGGGGGGGGGGGCAAAAATGGTTTCGCACCGAGACCAGACCCCAAAAACGGTTTCGCACCGAGACCAGAATACGGTGGTGTTTTCGACATTTTTCGAGGATTTTTGGGTGTCTGAGCGCAAGAGGGTATTGAAATGGAATTTTGGGTCATTTTGGTAGCTTTCCGGCAATGGAAAAACGGCCAAAAATGAAAAAAACATTGTACATAGCAAGATTTTGCAGGGTTTTTGGATGCCAGAGCATTGAAAACACTGCAAAAACAAGTGTTTTGGACTGACGTTATAGCAAAAAACGTGTAAATTACCGTATGCTTGACTGGAAACATTACAAAAACACTGTCAAAAGCAATGTTTTGGAAGGATTTACTGCCTTTATGGCAAAAAACGTGTAAATTACCGTCTGTTTGACTGGAAACATTGGAAAAACACTGTCAAAAACAATGTTTTGGAAGGATTTCTTATTGAAACTTCTTAGCTTGAAGAGCCCCCACGGGGGAAAACCACCCTTAGCCCCTCTCACGGACCGAAATAAACCTGCGGTGTGGGCGGCCACCCCACGCGAAGCGGGGTGAATAGGCTTCGCCCTCATTTGGTGGGTCATGCTGCACTTTCCACTGTTCCTCTTCATCCAGAATGCGTCTTTCGGACGCAGCCACTTTCTTCTTCACGTTTCGGCTCTTTGAGGAACTTTCAAATTCCAATTTGCACTCAGCAACTGTCTTTTTCTTCGCGGCCACATAGTAAGGGTCATAGAGAAACTTCAGGCGCCCATGCCGCAACTTGTCGGCCAAGTTCTGGCGCATGCTGGCTTTCGTCAAGCCATCAGCCAGCTGTCTGTCGCTGGAGACCCAACGAAGCGTCCCTCCAAGTGACTGGATCTGCTCTTTCACGACCCTAATCTCCAAACTGGATCTTCGGTCGGTGACATTTGAAGCCAAAGCTTCGCGGTGATAGGAATCAAACACCGCTTTCGCGTCCGTCATCAGCACGGGTTCCAAAACAGACGTCATCTGCAAGAGCTGAGCCAGTGGGACCAAAGGATGGAGAAGGTGCTCGTAATACCTGCAGGCAAATTCTGTGGCATCAGACGCCACGCCAGCTGCCTGAGCTTCAGCTGAGAGTGAACTCCGAGCGACCCGTGGAAGTTTTCAACTCTTCCAATCCAAGATGTGATACACATCCTCCTTGGTCTCCAAAATGTGCCGCGGCGCCAACAGAACCAGGTATCCACCCTGACTCGAACCATCAGGTCTGCTGCAGAACGAAGCATCGAATGCAGTGATCATCCGAAGGTTCGTGACAGGGCCCAGTGGTGGGTATGAAAGACCCACATCTGCGTTCTCCTTGGCGAATTTCAACAGTCGGTTGGCATCCATCACGGCCTGTGCACGGCCAGTTGAAACACTTCCTGAGGTCATAGATGTGCTCGCTTGAAGGTGCGGCGAGGACTGAACCGCAGGCCACTGTAGGCTTCCCAGTAAGCCTCTCAACTCCGTCAGCTCACGTTGAGAAAGCTCATGATCAGGCCCAACATGCTTGGGTAGTGTCATGGGCTTGATCTTTTTCAAATAGGCCTGGTGTCCAACACGTATGCCATCTGCATCTTTGACAATGCTGGCACCACAGTACTCAAGCGAGTCACCATCTTGCCACTCACCAAATGAAAACGTTTTGCGAAGCTCCTGAATCACACCTTGATACACCACTGACGTAGCATCGCCACAGCCCAACATGTCATCCATATGCAAAATGATCATGCCAACCAGACCCTGCTCACCCAAAGAGTTGGATGGTGAGTCTGAGATTCCAAACTTGTCCTTGAAGTCAGCCTCGTAGATGAGGAATGCACAGGGGTCAAGGGCATGTTGGCGAAGGCCAAGAGATTGAAGGCGTCGCACTGCCTCCAAATACCATCTCCGTGGTGCATCCAGTTGACCATAACAGGGCTTCTGGAGCTTCATTCTGGCCTCAGGGGGTGCACCCAAAAGTCGAAGTGCATCTGCCGGCAGCTTGATCCAGAGAAGGCGTTCTTGAGGACGACCTTGAAGAAACGCAGTGCTGACATCAGCTGTCCACAAGAGCCAGCCCATATTGGAGGCAATGGAGAGCAACCAACACCTCGAAAGTCGAGAGGTAGTAGGACTGCTCGTCTCCAAATTGCCATGAAGGGCATCCACATCAGCATAGCCATGTACAATCAAACGGGCTTTTGCTCGTGGGCTTCCATCAGGCTGTTTGCCCCAAGAAAGAAGCATTCGCGCTGTCAGCGTTCTGGCTGGATCAGCATTTGACTCAACATCAAACGTCCAAACATCATTCCCAAAGAAACTCTGGAGCTCCTTGCATTTGGCTTGCTGAAACTGAGCTCTTTCATCTACTGTAAGATCACGTTCCAGGACAACCTTCTTGGCCTGTTTCTTGGTCTGCCGGTTGATCTTGGTCTTGGTGTCCCGGGCAATCTTGCGGGCAGTCATGTTGGAGTACATGCAGAGCTCTTTGCGAATGATGCCATTGAGCTGGTAAATGGTGCGTCCAACCCAAGAGTGCTGAGTTGAAAACTTGGAAGAGCCATCATCATTCTTGATGTGCACGCTGCCATCACCAAACTTCATCACCGTGACCCGAATTGGATCCAAGTGTTGTGGGTCAACAGGGGTGTCCTTGTACTCCTTCACATCAATGGTGGAGTGCCGTGGGCTCACATGATGTCTAATGAGACACCCGGCTCGGACCTCCCAAAAGTCAGCCACCTGGTCCGTGAGGCACAGATATCCATCAGAGTCCATGTGCCAGCCAGGAGGTAGTTGATCTGACCCAAGATCTTCAACTGCAAAAGCTTGAGAAAAACCTTCCTGTGGTGGTGCATCAGCTTCAGGAGGAAATTCAGGTGGTGGTGCAATTGGAGCAAATGGGTCATTTGATCGCTGGCCAGAGTATGGTGAAGGGCGTTGAACCCGTCGAACTGCAGGACCAAACATCATCGTCTCCTGCTGATCATAGCAAAGTCGCCGCTGAGCAAACTCCTCAGGGCCTGCAGGTTCGTACAAGGCAGCTGTTTCGGCATCAAGTGCTGGTTGTGGTCCAAGAGACCTGGTGGAAGGAGGAACTGAAGGTTCTCCACTAGGTTCTGGTTCATCAATTCCGTCCAGAGGTATTTCAGGGACTTCTGGAACTGCCGGAAGAGGTGGTGGGGCAGCCAGTGGCGTTGAAGCCATGTCATCATCATCAACTGGAATGGGTTGACCATCAGAGTCAGGAAGTGGTGTCGTTGGGGTTGGACTGACATCAAACTCGTCCAACTCAAGCAAGGGCTCAGGCACCGGTGCAGGTGTCATGGGACCAGTGACGCCAGGTAGGTCAAGACGAGGGCGCTGCCGTGGTGGGCCATCAAGGTCATCATCCATGGCTTCATCATCAGACTGGATATCCTCAATCTGTCGTTTGTTCGCCTTGTCAAGATCAATGAAGCGAGTGATGCCTCTCGACTTGAGCTCCATCACTGAGCGTCTGGCCTTCAAGTCCACCAATCACCGTTGTGCCAGCTTGTTGAAAGTCTGCACGAACATGATGAGGCGCACAGCGAAGAAGTTGAGTGCCATGTGCTATCCAGTAAGTCACTGGTTTGCCTTCATCATCATCCTCGCGCAAAATCACGCGAGCTGGCCCTTTCCAACGAATCTTCACCAAATCGGATGCTCTGGCATCCCTCCAATACCAGCAAGTCTGGCCGCTCTGAAGAGGGGTGTTGGTGCCGGAGTACTTTCTCAGGAGGGAACGGCGTAGTCGTTGATCTTGATCAGCCTTCACAAGAGCCATCTTCGCTGCAGTTCGTCGTTGCAGCAGGGCTTCAAAAGTCTCAGAACCTCCCAGGTGAGCGGGGTTAAGTCCATCCCCAAGAAGATCACCAGGGAAGTTGGGTTGAAATCCAAGAACCCATTGTGAAGGCGAGTAGCCGGCCACAGTAGGAGCTGAGTTGACCTGAGGAAGGACATAGGCCATGGCTTCACGAAGTCCATCGCGAGAAGTCAAAGAGCGATCCGTCATGTAGATCTCAATGCTCTTGCGCAGGATGGCATGTCTTCGTTCAACTGCTCCAAGTCTCGTATGAGCTTCACCAGGTGCCACCACATGTCGGATGTTGTGATCAGCAAAGAAGGATTCCATCTCATCCGAAGCCCTGCCTCTTCCCTCATCGGTGATGAGAACTGCAGGGGTGCCAAAGTGGCGAAACCAGTGTCGTTCCAAGGCTTTGCAGTAATCTTCAGTGCGTTCACCGTGAAGGAGAGCAGCTGATTGATACTTGGTGGCAACATCAACCATGTGCAAAAAAGGGGTATTTCTTGTGGTGGATTTTGAGCCACATCACATCTGCCTGCACTTCTTGGTTGAAAGCCAAAGTCGAAGGAGGTGATGCAGGAGATGGTTGATTGGGCTTCCGATACCTCTAACATGCAGCACAATGATACGTGCGAGCAGCTTCCATCACTTCATCAGAGGCTCCACGGCTTTCCAACAGCTCAACAAGAGAGGCTGCTGATGGATGGCCAAGATTGCGATGCAATCTCTGCACCGTTCGGACTGCTTCAACTCGGTTGGTTGCCATCAGCTTGATGAGAGCACCCACATGTTGGCGATCTTCTCCAACAGCACCAACAAAATCACTGATGGAAGGAGGCTCATCAACCATGAGAGCAGCGGCCAAAACTGAAGCAAGGCCAGGTTGATAGCTCTCAAGATACCGTGTTCGACAGCCAAGTCCAACGGCCGAGCCTTCCAAGGGACAATGTTGATGATCGCCAGTGCACCGAACTTGATGAAACTCCTTGAAGACGGAGCTTGGTGGTCTGAAGTGCAGTGGGTTTCTTGACCAAAAGCCAGTCACCCTCATCATTCTGACAACTGCAGCCAAAACGGCATTGGTCAAAAACACAGTGGTAGCCAGGAAGCTTGACCAGTGCTGATGTTCGCCAAGGCAATGCATGAGCTGGTTGTTCCACATGAGCATGTCCACCCTGTCGAACTTGGGTCAAGTAGGCTTTCTTGACAAACTGCAAATGTCTGGAGTGATGCCATTCACGGAGTTCTTGAAGTTGATGCTGCTGTTCTTCCGTGCGGGCATTCAAGTTCTGCATAGTCGACCAGGGTCCACATGATGGAGAAAGAAACAGCCCATCCGGACATTCAGCTTCCAATCGCTCCAAGAAGAGCTTTTGATGCTGTGGGTCATCAAAGTCCCAGCCAGTTGAGTAGCCAAAGACTTCCACCCGAGCACCAAGAGCAGCTGCTACTGAAGACAGCCGGCCATGACTTGTGTAAACCTCCCAAATCAAACGAGGTTTTGGTGTTGAATGGAGCAGCACTTTGTTTATATCCAATTAGCCTGTGGAGTGATGCAGTTTTCAGGAACAATTTCGTTTATCTGCGCGTGTTTGTCTACATCTGGAGCGATGGCCTGCAGCAGCAACTTTTTGGAATCCTCCTGACAATGCCGAAGCATATTTTACAAACCAACCTTTTCGAAAACGTGGACGCCCACAAGTGCGATGGGATGACAACTTACGGAAATTTGGTGAAATGCAATTTCAACAAAAAACATGGTCCATTCCTGCTCGACATACTTCCTTATGGCGTTCTTTTGAAAACGAGTACGTCCAGTTTTGTCGTGAAACGATTGCATTGTAAACTTATGGTTTTGATTTGTTTAGTTCCTTAGTTTCGCGTTTCCTTAGTTTCGCGTTTCGTTCCAAAGTCCAATGGAGTCTCCTCGAAGTCCATCGTGGAGAAGGCAGCTTCTTCAGTGGTGGTGATGCATTGTGGATCCACCTCCCCATCCGGAGCAAGCCGCAGGTCAAAGTCCAAAGACCCAAAGTCCATAATCGGCTGCTCTGGATTCCAAAGGGGCAAGAGATATTCTCCGTGAAGTCCAATTGTGGCAGCCTGCCACGCCCCATCATGAAATCGTATGGCTCGTGAGGCAAAGTCCATTGAAAGTCCAAGAGCCTCAATGATGGGTCGGCCACAAAGCAATGGGGTTTCACCAGCAAGCAAAAACACCTGAGCGCTGCCCAAACGTCCATCCAAGCACATGGGCAATTGTACAACCCAGTGGCTCCATGATTCACCGTCTCCTCCAAAGTGGAACTTGTGCCGGCAGCGGTTGAACTTGACCTCATCGACGGGATAACCCTGGGCCTCGAGGTACATCAGATACCTGCGAGCTGGGCCAAAGCCGCTCAAGAATGCCGATGCACCTGGGTCCAGCATGGCAACATCAGGACGTTCATGACCTTGTGCATCTTGAAAAGTCACGTGGGCATTCTCAGTCAAAGCCATCGACTCAACTGCTGGTCGCTTGACCCCACTTTTGGCAGGAACTGGACAATTTGCTGCAAAGTGGCCAGGTTGTCCGCATCGGAGACAAGTCAAAGTCGCCTTTGCGCGGCCACGAGGATCCACACCCTTCGCAGGAGGTGTACATGTAGGTGGAGGAAGGCTTGCCTTTTGAGGAGGGTGCCTTTTGACTTGCCCTTCTTCCCTTTGGGAGATGACCCAGCTGAGGAGGGTGACAAAACACCTGGACGCACATTGCCAGCAGCGGGGTCTGTCAAGGCAACCACAGGCAAATAGCCTCTTGAAATTTTCAAATAATTGAACCTCTTTCTGGCATCCAAGTATGCTGCATATGCCTGGTCATATGATTCCACGTCATGCCAGGGATGCTCTTCAGCAGTTTCATCATCATATTGGTAGTATGCAGCACTTGAATCAAAAGCTTCGGGGTCCTCGTAGTACTCAGCCTCATCATGGTGAGATGGTGAAGGATCCCATTCATGGTATCCAGACTCATCCCATGCCTCTGAACCATCATAGTCCTCGGTACCATAGATCTCATCATCCACGTACTCATCCTGGACGCTGTAGGACCGTCCACGATGCCCTTTTCCTTGCCATCGACGCTCAAGAAGTGGACCTGATGCGGCACGATGGTCTTGGCCAAGCACCAAGTACAGAGTTTCGATGACCTTCTTCTTTTCCAACTGAGGGGCACGGAGATTGATGAGCTGGCGCTGTTCCTTGGTCAAGTTGCACTTTCGAAGCAAGTGCCATCCCTGAACTGACTCAGGAAGCTCGATGCCATGTCGCTGCAGCCTACGGTTGTATTCATCATGACGAGTCACATATTCCATGATCGACTGTCCAGATTTGCGGGACATAACAAAATATGCATCAAAGTCCCCAGGCAAACGAACTCTGTCATCATATTGAAAATGTTGATCCACCTTCTTCATGATGTCATCAAATGCATTTTCACCTTCTGCAGTCGAAACATCAAAATCTTCCAACAAACGCCATGCAGCACCAGTAAGAGAACTCACAATGTTCAGAATGGATTCACCACCCCGTTTTCCCAATTTCATTTTGTGGTGGTACAGCGTGATTCGACGATGCCATTCCCGATAGTCCTCAGGCTGTCCTGTGAAGGTCGGGATGAAAGAATCCAGAAATCGGCGATGCTGAAGCACTCATGATTGTGTGATCACACCTTCGAATTCCAGGATCTAAACGTGGGGCTGGAAGGTCTGACCAAGGTACTTAGTATTCACAAGAAAGTTGTCCAGCTCCCAAGATCCAGCTTGGGCTCAGCCAGCCAAGGAAGGCCGGCTCCGCTACCAATGCAAAGACGGCAGCTGAGGTCCAACCGTCAAGCCAAGCCGCACGAAGTGCTTAGCTGTCAAAGTGCAATGAGTTCTTTTCACAAGAGCCAGCGCAGCCATTGAAACGTCGACGCCCACCCTTGAACCAGTTGGCAAGGAAAGGCAAATGAATTCCAATTCGGTCGAGTTTCACTCACATGCAAACATCAAGTTGGAATGGTGAAAATGAAAAAGGAAGGTATGTCACAGCATGAAACCTAAGTGCATGGCATGCAACTTCACAGCAGGAGTTTCTCCGAAGAAAGGTGATTTCAGTTTAGAAAATCAACACCAAGCAAAATCCCGCAGATCTAGGAACGAAAAAGTTAGCAATTGAAAGGAGGGGAAAATTGTTCAAGCTCATCGGCATCTTCCAAAGTGATCATGAAACACAAGCAAGCAGGATTGAGAGTCAGAAGAGTTGGAGAATGCTGTCAATGTTATCCAGGGTTTTTCAAGCAGCAACCTTGTCAGCATTTCAAGGTTGCAGCGGCACTGATGAACTTGATCCTGCAGGCGAGTCTCCAACGCGGACAAGGCCTACAAGAATGATGTGCATGGTGTATTTCGTCTTGGCTTTGGCTGTTGTCTATATGGTAATGGCCATGGTTCCTCGACGTGGACAAGCCAGTCCTAATTCTTCAACAAGAACAAGGCCTCTAGTCCCTGAAACACACGATGAACAACAAAGAATAGAGAAGAGAAGGGTGCTTGGCATCATGTTTATGATGGCGGCCAAGGAATATCACTACAACCGCCCAGATCGTCATCCGCTGCAGAAGACCTACTACCAGATCATGTTGTCTGTGACTCTCCTGATGGAGGGATACTACAACGTGGTGGATCAATTTATGAATGCCATTGGAACTGTGGAAAACCCAAACCACGAAAGGGTATTTGCTGAGATGATTTTTTTTCTCGAGTATTCAGTCTCAGCGTGAAACACTTGGACCTAGCACATGACAACCGGAGTTCACCGTGCTGAAACATAGGGAAAGCGCGGCAGCCCAGGATGAAGAGAGCACCCTTACCCTTCCGCTGCTTACCCAAGAGGTCCCCGGCAGCCCGAAACCCAGAGGCGTACCAAAACACAACACACAACCACAGAACTACTATGATTGGTGAGGGTCAGGGGAAGCCAAGGGCTGGGACGGACCTGGTTGTGTTTGCACCATAGAAGGGCAGTTCTTGTTGTCAGAGATCAGGATCCAACTGGACTGGAAAGAAGAAGCCAAGGAGCTGGAAGGTCACTAGTTTAAACCTCAGCATCCTTTCACATCAATTCATACAAGGAACGCTTGGCTGCGGAGGAAGCTAGTGAGACTGCCTTCAATGCTGTCCCAAGGTTACCGAAGGACCCTGCCAAATCAACCAATTGATTTGGCTCAAGCTCAAGCTGTGCAAAAGAAGTTTGCTGATCAAGGTTATCAGTCGCAGCTCTTTCTCTTTGCGCCTTGCGATTTGCTATTGGGTTGAGCTCCCTGCATCTTGTCACTGGCTCATCGGCATTTGCTTTGCTTTTTCTCGCTTGCACTTGCAGCTCCCTGGTTTTTGGTGCCTCTGGGTTGCAACCGTTCCCAGCGCTCGACGCGGAACGATCGTGTTTGTAGAGTTATTTGGCAGTAGCTAGTGTATGCCTGGTGAACCCCCCAAAGATCAACCAAAGACCCGTGGTAAGCGTGGCGGACAAAGGACAAGAAAGCAGGCAGCTCTTCACGAACGTTTTCTAAGAGGGGAATTTATCCCGAAAGCGTTTGCCAAGGCAAAAGTTGCTCAAAGTGTTGTTGTTGAGGATAGTGGTTCTGCGGTTGACGTTTTTGAGTGGAATCATGGGTATTCTGGGTCGGCTGTTGGCTTGACACCACCTCCAAGGGTTGCTGGTTCAGCCGGCGGTCATTCATCTTCATCCATTGCTGCTGTGCCCATTGCTCCATCGGTTCCATCCCCTGCTTTGCTCATCACACCATCGTCATCTGCTTCTGTGCCGTCTGTTCCTTTGCCATCCACTGCACTTGCGTCGCCATCATCGGGTTCATTCACTTCTCATCCACCACCAAAAGGTTTGGGTTCTGCTGTTTCAGTGACGCCCCCAAAAGCTCCTGTGACATCCCCAAAGAATCTCGTGGCTGAAAGTAACGGGCCTCCAAAAACCAAGGCGAGGTTGACTGAGGAAACAAGATTGGCTCCCCAGCCCGGTTTACCAAAAGTATTAGCTCCAGCTTTGGGATTGGGAGGATCAACTCTTCGAGTTTGCCTTGACTTTCACAGTGTGGTCGACGTTGAGCGTAGTGGTCAACCAAGCTACCCTGGAATTAGGACCCCGGTTCAAAACTTCATTGCAGCGTTCTTGGAAGAATCCAACAGTCATCGCATTGGGATTTGTTCATATATTGGTTTAGGTGGTAGATTTTCGGGACAGCGGCGTCTCGACGCCCAGCGGTCGGTTCAACAACTCAATCAGTTCTTGACTTTGAAAAATTTGCCACCTGTTTGTCTGTGCATCACTGACCAAAAGGATAAGCCTGAACTCACCCGTGATTCAGTTTCAAGCCATTGCGACGATAAGTGGGAAGTGGTAAACACCTGTGAGAGACGGGGAGGATTTCTGGCAGTTTGGTTTAATAGGTACAACCAAGTCAACTTTCTGAGTGACTACTTTGACCTTGTCAAGCGAAACTGCGTGCCGCGTGTCTTCCCGCAAGCTTGGTGGCCGATCCCTTGATTCCTTGAGCCTAAGCTGCAATGAGCGGAGGTTCATCATCGCTGAATCTTTCATCATCATCAACTGGTGTTGTTGGTGTTTCGGGAGCCCCCGCAATAGCAGATGGAGGATCTACTGGTTCTAGGTCGTCATCGGTTCGATCAGTTCGAAGAACAATTCCAAAACAATCATCAAGACCCAATACTACCCTTGCACATTTGGGGAGTAGGAACAGATCGACTTCACGACCAATGGAAGAAGATTTACCTAGTGTTGAGGGACCCATGTATCAACAAGTGAACCAAACGTATGTTCCAACCTTTGAGCAAGAAACAAGCTACCAGCAATTGAACCAAGTCTATGTAGCTTCAACACTTGATCATGAAGTTGTCAATCAAGCTGCTGCTGCAGTGATGAGAGCTCAGACTGAGGTTCACTCTATTCAAACTGAGGCGCAGAGATATGTAGGAAATGCCAATGCTGAGGTCCAACAAGTCAGGACTGAGGCTCAACTTCTTGCCCAGGAAGCTCAATCGGAGATTCGTCAGGTCCAAACTGAGGCTCAACGAATCATCTCTCAGACAGAAGCTCGAGCTCAACAAGATGTGGCTTCTACGAAGGTTTCTGCAGCCCAAGCGCTTATGGAGCAAGACCAGAGGCTGCGAGCGGAGTTCAGGGTCCGGGAAAGGGCTTTGATGGAGGAGGTTCAAAAGTTGAAGGACACATTGGCATCTTCCAGACAAAATCTCAATAGAGAACAATTGAGACTCAATGGTACGGATTTGTCAGAAATTGAAGCAAAGATAACCCTTTTAATGGACAAAATGATTGGATTCCAAGAATCTTTGAGCAACTTTGAAACTCGTGTTGTTGCATTAGAAAACTGGGGTACAGACACAGTTGAAGAAATCACTACATTCCAGGAAGAAGAGGAGCTGGTGCCAGGAACAAACCAAGGGGCGCCTCCAATCATTACCTTTGAGCAAAACCAACCTCGAATTTCTTCACCTGTTCGTTCTGGTCATGTTAGAATGATTGCGCCAACTTTTCATGCTGGGGATGACGAAGACAACAACGTTCTTAATGATCCTCAGAGCCCAGAGGACTACCTTAGGTGGAAAGATGTTTCAAGTGTAAAAATGCCTACGTTGCCGGATTCAGCAGGATCCTTCCGATCATGGAGGAACGCGTTTCTGCCAATGTTAATGGCTCTTGACAGTTCACCTGAGAACTTTCTGTACGTTTGGTTGTTGAGTGCGTTCAATGCCAGGTCAACCCAGGAAATTCAAGTATTGAAACAGGACAGCGAAGGATTCCCTCGCTTCGATCGTATCCTTTGTTCGTGGTTGACTAAGGACTTGAGAGGTCATTTTGGTGCTAGGATTCAATCCTATGTAGAGGAATGCATTGCCACCAATACGGCGTTGAGAGGACGACCGCTCCTGAATATGGTTGTTAGGGAATTTGACCTTGATGCCGCACTTGGAGGAGTTGTTTCGTCCGTCGAGCTGTTTCAGCTTGCTGCGCCTGAATCAGACTTAGCGTCACTAGTCCATTTCCGGGATAAGGTTCGCTATATTTTGGGGCAGTTGCCAATCCAAGACAGACCACAAGAAAATCTCATGTCCAAATGGTTGTACGAAAGGTTGAAGCGTATCAGACAGCTCCAGTTGGTCATTGATCGAATAAAGGAATCCCCGATAGGAAGCAATGAACGGACGTTTGACTATTTGTGGAGTAGATTGGAACGGGTAATTGCAGAATCTCAGCATGAAAAGAATCTCACTTCAATTCAGGAAGGGTTGAAGAAAGGGCCAAAGAAATTGGGGGCACCTGGCACTTCCTCTGAATTCAAGACCCAGAAAGACAAAGACAAGAAAGGAAAAGGCGATGGAAAGGAGAAAAGTGAAGGAGGTAAAGGAGGTAAGAGTCAATCGAAGGGAAAAGGAATAGGAGGTAAGAGTCAAGGTAAAGCAAAGGATGGATCGAAAGGAAAGAAGAACACTGATGGCAAGAAGGATTCTGGCAACCGGAGTTCTGCACCGAAAGGGCCATGCTTGTTTTGGCCAAAAGGTCTTTGTCGAAGAGGTACCGATTGTCCTTATCGGCATGAAGGACCATCTGGATCGGCATTGGGATCTGCGGCAACGACGTCAACTTCGCCTCCAGCGAAGGCCGCTCCCCAAGCACTTGCTGCCAACAAAGTTCGCGCAGCAGTTGCACTTTGCTCGGTGGTTACTGCAGCTGCCGGCATTACCAATTCCCAAGACAACTCTTTTGCATTAGAGTGGGCGTTGGATTCAGGTGCGGGAGAGGATCTGTCATCAGTTGGAGCTTTTGAAAATCAAGGAATTTCCCCAACATGGATTCAGGAATATTCAACAGTGACTTCCAGTCCATTGACATTTGAAACAGGTGGTGGGGCCAAAGCTTCTACCACAACTGTAGGGTTTGTAGGCAACAAGGCAGGAGAAGGCATGGCGTACATGCTGAAGAACTGTCCGTATGTTCGGAGTCTTGGAAAGTTGATCCAAAAGGGATTTAGTTTCTTTTGGGGACCAAACTACGAACCTACTCTTGTACCGCCGGATGTCCCATTCAAAGTGTCGTGTGATAAACTTCAGTGTCATGTTGCTGAACGGGTTGATCACTGTGTGCCCATTTTTAAAAAGACAATCTCTTTTACCCATGGAATGCCAGCCGCATCACCATCCGAAATTCCCATGAGCTTTCCTGCGCCCGACGCGGGTGCTCCCAGCCATGATGTTGCGGTTGAAGGGCATGATTCTCCTGACATAGAATCCATGATTAGGGAAGCTGATGACACAGAATTGGTGAAACACTCCACGGGCCCAAAGGGAGTAGTTCCATCAGAGTTTAAGTCCAAAGACAGTCATGTTCCGATCCCAGTCCCTGAGGAAGATTCACTCAAAGTGGTTACTTCTCATTTGAAAATTCCTGTAGATCATCTACTTACTCATTTGCCGGCACATCCAGGTTGTGACGTTTGTAAGGAAGCCAAGCTTCGGGCCAAAGCCCACAAACGTTTTGCAAACCAGGGTTCGTCCATTCGTGAAATTCGAGCCATTGAAGCCCCAACTACGTTTCTTCAAAGAATTTGTGTTGATCATCTTGAGTCAGCTGAAAATGGTTGGAGAGATGAGAGGTATGCACTAGTTGTTGTAGATCAATTCACTGGTTCTTTGTTTGCTTACCCATCTAAATCCAAAAATCAAGCAGCCGTGGAACTGGCGTTGCGGCACTTTGTTGGCAACCGTGCCTCCCCCGTGGTGATTTCAGATCGCTATCCAAGCATCTTGGCTGCCGTCAAGTCCATTGGGCTTGCATCTGACCCCACTCCACCAAACTCTCTTGTGAAGAATCCTTTGGCTGAAAGCGCAATCAACATCATTCGTCAGGGTACACGTGCATTGTTGTTGCAAGCTGGTCTAGATGTAGCGCACTGGCCACGGGCAATGATGTGCTTTTGCTACCAGTACGATTTGAACACTCCACCTTCCAACTATGAGGGGTCCTTACGCCATGAATCCCACAAACATCACCATTCACTTCCCGCCGGTGTTGAGGGACCGGAAGTTCCATTGCCTGATGTTGAGAGTAAATTGCATTTAGCTTTGGGGTATCAGCCTGAACCACGCCTGCTTCCATTTGGTTGTTTGGTTTGGTACCTTGGTAAAATCAAGGATCCCAATGCTCCCAAGAGTTTTACTCCTAATGGCAAACCTGCTCTCTACTTGGCACCAGAAGTTGCACCAGGGTTGCGTTCACGCGACGTGCACTTGCTGTTGGATTTGAACCTTTTGACTTCCACCGGCCAGGTTCGAGAAATAGTGACCCGAGATTTTGTGCCACCCTCCGGTTCTTGGCACTTCCCTTTGACCAGGGTAGTGATGTTGAAACAACCTTCTCGGGATTTTGACCGGGGTCACCTGTTGCGTTCAGATCCTGCTGTGCCTGAGTCATCTGATTTACCCCGCAATCGTTCCATTACCAAACGACGTATCCTTTTGTACGGGCAATCTCCTGAATGTGATGGTTGTCTCAATGGGAGTTATTCTCACACCCAAGCATGTCGTCAACGTTTCAATGTTCTGCTAGATGCCTCTGAACCCTTGCCGCGGGGGGATGGAGACCTGGACTTGGATGTGACTGAACATGTTGATGATGAAATCCATGACGTTGAAAGTGTTTTCCGGTTGTTTGACACGATCATTCCTGATGATGTAATTCCTAGTAATCCTTTGGATGAAGACCTTGTACCAGAATGTCCTCCAGCTTCGCCCAATGAATTGCATGAACAACATCGAGATGATGACTATTCTCCGACGTCGATGGCCTCATCGGATTCAACACCTGAGTCTTGGTTCGATGATTCCGTCATTGGAGAGGTAGTGTGGGCTCCGGGGGGTGTTGCTAAACGGGCAAACAAAGGACTTTTCATTGAATTTTGTTGCAAGGAAGGGTCTGCTCTTTCCAAGGTGGCTGAAGCATTAGGAATTTCATACCTCGGGATCACAAAAGAATCTTTCGACGTTCAAAACGATGACAATTTCCATCAACTACTGTGTTGGGTGCAAGAAGAGATACAACAAGACATAGGCCCCATTCACCTTTGGGGAAATCTTCCTGGTGCTGCTTGGTCGCCTTGGCAACGAATGGCGTTGCATCGATACCCAGGCTATGAAGAGAAACTTCTTGCTAAGCGGGCTGAATCCCTCGAACTCGTTCGTAAGTTTAGGTCACTGGCAGAACTTGTTTGTTTTTCAAGGGGTGGTTCCAGCAGTTTCGCATGGAGTAAGGATTCTGAGGGATGGGACGAACCCGAAGTTCAAGATTGCATTGACTCCCTTGGTATGAAAGGTGTCCAGTTTGACGGTTGTGTTTTTGATCTTGAATTTGATGGAAAGAAACCAAAACGTCAATGGGTTGTCCAAACCACCAATGATCGGTTGTTGAACGAGTTAGCTTCAAAGAAATGCAAGCACGAAAAGGGTTTTCATGATCAACTGGAAGGATCTCTCACCAAGAAATCAGGATTGTACAACATGTCCATGGTTATTTGTCTGGTATCCACGCTTTTTCCGGGTGTAATCTTGGACCAAATCCCTGCTCTTCCGGTTCTTCCTTTTCAGTTGGACCCTCACAGATCCCGACTGCAAGACTACCATACTCCGGATCTTTGTGTGCTGGCAACCATTCACAAGCTGCTCACCAGAGATGAGATGCGCAGTGATCCTAAAGCCATCCAAGCCATCAAGGACGAGGGTGCAGGAGTAAGGGCTAAGGAAGTATGGTTGGATTCATCTGTAATGGAGAAATCGGAACGACTGGCGTTGGCTAAGAGTCAAGGGAAAACCATACACATGGCTGAAGTCATGCCCATTGCTTCAATAAAGTTTTGGGAGTCACCAGACAAGAGAAAATATAAAGGTAGATTGGTGTTCCGTGGAGACCAAGTAAAAGACACTTGGGGAGGAGCAGCCCAATTTGGTGCAATGTATTCGACTCCCACCAATACGCAAGCCATCAATTTGGCAGTATACTATGGGCTGTTGAAGGGTCACAAGCTTACTGCAGCTGACTGTACCCGTGCTTTTCTCCAAGCACTCCTCCTCATGGATGAAGAGACATATGTGGTTTTACCCAAAGAACTATGGTTGGATAGTTGGCATGGTAAGTACCGTCAACCAACTGTACTATTGCAAAAGGCATTGTACGGCCATCCGTTGGCTTCAGCCTTCTGGGAGATGCATCTTCGTCAGGTGCTCATCGGTGACCTTGGTTTGGTTGCCGTAGACGGCCATCCTTCTGTGTTCAGGTGTCCAAAGACATGTCTCCTCATCGTTGTCTACGTAGATGATGTGTTGGTTTCCGGTCCTGAATGTCACCATGAATCATTTTGGAAATCTTTGCGACGATACATTGAAATTGACGAGGTTGAACCACTCAGTCAGTTCATTGGTCGTAATCATGTTGTTGAGGGGAACAAGTGTGTGTACAACATGTCTGACTACTGTCAACAAGCAGTTGATTTGTATGCTGATGCGGTAGGAGGCAAGGTGGCTTTTCGACAGGTTTCCACTCCATACGTGAATGAGAACATACTCACGCAAGCTGACTTTGAAACACAGGGGCAGGTTTCGCACAAGGCGTCATCTGTACTTATGAAGCTTCTTTGGGTTTGTAGATTAGCCCGACCTGATCTCGCCTATGCCATCAGTTCATTGTCCACTCAAGTAACTCGATGGTCCAGAAACTCAGACAAGCAACTTTTTCGCCTTGTTTCGTATCTCAACTCCACAAAGGAACTGTGCTTAGTGACCCAAGTTTGTGATCCTCCAGAGGCCTGCACTCTTGACTTGTACTGCGATGCTGACCTAGGGGGATGCCCCTTCACGGCAAAGTCAACGAGTGGCCTATTCTTGGTCATCCGTGGCCCAGCAGGAACTTTCTGTCCTATTACTTGGAGAGCCAGAAGACAACAGCACGTTGCCCGGTCCACAGCTGATGCTGAATTGAATTCTCTTTCAAAAGGTTTGTACGAAGAGTTGTTGCCAATACACCAACTTCTCACTGAGCTCCTTGGACAGCAAATTCCACGTCCTACTGTTCGCGAAGACAACTCGGCAGTTGTCCAAGCCATAAATAAGGAAGGGTTATTCAATTAAATTACGACACTTGGCGCGAACCCCCAAATTATCCATAGCATCTCTAAATGAAGCGTGTTCTTCTTGGTGCCATTTGGTCCAAACCCCAACAATTGAACAACTTGGAGACTATTTTACAAAGGTCTTAGCTCCCGGTAAGTTCGATGTACAGGTATTGGGTTTGCAATTTCCTGCAAAGAAAACTTAATTCATATCTATCGAAATGATGTTGACATGTTTCTGGGGACATAAGTCTCGACCTTAGACGAAAAGTCTTGACCTTAGAACTGTGTGCGCCTTAATTCGCATCGCCCTTAGATGCTCCTTGGCGGCAGACCCATCATGTCACCAGACGGGCCTAATTAATTAAACTGTACCAAAGTATAGGTGGGTCGTTTCCTGCGTTCGACGCGGACTGACCCGAGGATCGTTGTTCTTTTGCTTCTTGCGCCCGCTGCCAGCGCTACAGCTTGTTTCTACAGCAGCCTTTGCGCTTTGAACTTTCGCAGCTGCAGCTTCTGAGGGAAACTTGAATTCTTCTAGTTGTTTGATGCACATTTTTTTGCACATTGTACAGCAAAATGTTCCTCAATTGGTTCATCGAGTTGGCCTCGTATTTAAAGAGCATACTTGGTCAGGGACCGCCCTTAGCTGGCTTTTGTCCCATCTTTTTCATGCATGCTGCATACGCGTTATTTTTCCATCGTGGAATCGTGCAGTTAATACCATGATGGGATGTTGTGAATTGCGTTGCTGCTCCGTGCCGATTTTAGCCACTTTTCGCAGAAGGCTCTTACGTACTCCTGGCCGGGGGGAGTGCATTAGAGCCGTGATTCGTGACTTCAGGCAACATCGGCACGCGGGGGGTAGTTTAAACCTCAGCATCCTTTCACATCAATTCATACAAGGAACGCTTGGCTGCGGAGGAAGCTAGTGAGACTGCCTTCAATGCTGTCCCAAGGTTACCGAAGGACCCTGCAGCTCAAGCTGTGCAAAAGAAGTTTGCTGATCAAGTCACAATTAGCGCAGCTCTGTAGCATAAATACACCTTCGAAGGCGGGACAATAACCAAAGCCACCCAGCACCATGAAAGCAGCAAACAACTGAGCAATAGCAACAAAGTCCCTCCCTCAAGTGAACAGGATGGAAGAAATAGCGCGACTTGCATCCAGAAATCAGTATGAGAGGTGGCTCTACAACCATTTCCACGATGTGGCGGACGACATGTGTCGAGAAGACTCAGACATGTTTCTGCCAATCGTGGGTCCACTTTGCCTATACCATGAAGGCAATGAGTCGTTAGAAGAAGAAACTGAAGAAGGCGAGGAGTCACCTGCTACTGATGATCCGAGTGATCATGACAGCGGTGATGGCAATGGAGAAGGTGAAAACCAGAAAGCGAGGAGTAGATCACCAAGGACTGGTGATCAGCTGGTGCTCAAGGTGAAAAATGCTAGCCCTGAGAAAAAACATGGAGAAAACAACTGCAAACCTTGCAGCACCTTTGGATACATGAACAGAAATGAGGAAAAAACTGAAAGCAGAAGATCGAACAAAAACTGGCAGAACCAAAACAGAGAATGAAAACAATGCAACAAGAGATGAATGAAAAGCACAATGAAGCTCTGACAAACCATGATGTCGAGCTCGCGACCCAACACAGAGGAGAAATCGAAAGACCCGAAGATCTGTACAGCATCATGTGATGGTGCAATCAATGGATGAGAGTTCAGGTATGTTTGGAATAATAACTACTAGCATAACGTAAAGCTGCTGGTGTGCATGAGTGAGACCGGAAAGGTTTGAGCCGCAAATGTGGGAAGTATCGGCATACTAACATAGTACCCCGACCTCACTAGGCGTAAAGGATTTCAAGACCACCAAGAGAACTGAGAAAATTGCCAGACATGTAGCCTAAGGCAAATAAGGTGAGAACAAATTAAATTAAGATGGTGACGGTGAGGAGGTTCGAAGTAACACCTCTCACCAAGGCGGGGTTTGAATGTTTAGCACATGGACTCAGCCTCTCCCAGGTACAGGCGCGTATTTGTTCGTATCGGTGTGACAGACTGTTTTGCATCAATAGCCCCTGAGCGAGAATGACACGCCACAAATGGTGGCTCAAGGACAAGGTGAAATAGGCGGGTGAGCGGTGTGTTGTCTTTTTGGGTAGTCTCATCGACCGAAGGGGTGACGGCCAGTCCTTGTTGATGGCAAATGGAAGCTGTGTCGACACGATTCATCTTGACAGCAGAAAATGCGGTCGCCGCAGCACCTCCTTGCCGCCCTGCTTCGACTAATTTCGCCTGTCAGTGAGGTGAAAGCCACTCACACCAAGTCAGACGCAATAGGTTTGCCAGAGAGGGAAGGGGCAAACATGTCTGCGATCCGCCGGCGGGCAACCCCAATGTCCGGCTCGCGCCGCCCAGCTGCACAGGAGATCACGGAGTGCATGGTGCCATTGATTTTTCTTTTCGCATACCTTTTTTCGGCGTGGCTGGAGGTGAGACGAAACTCTGTTTTATACTGGCCAGGGTCCAGCTGTGCAATCCAGGAAGGGGGAGAGGGGGTGAAAACGAGGGGGGGGAGGGTCCTCCTTGGCTACGGAGGGAGCCGAGAAGGAGCCGGAATTGTTGACGTCAAATCCAGGACGTCGCTGAGGAGGGGCGAGTCTCCATGCGAAGCTGCAAGCGGCCGGGCATCTTGGAAGAGCAAACTCTGGGCAAAGGCCGTTTGTGCAGCATGGGTGAGGAGGGCAAACCACCGGGCGATGAATGCCTGGGCGGTGGCTTGGCGGAGGGAAGTTGGCGCGGCTCTGCTTCGACATTTGGCCAACAGCCGGACGAACTCTGCCGCTTCCTCGCTCCAACGACCCCCAACTTCAAGTGCCACAACCACGAGTTTGCATCTGCCCCCTCGTTGGAGTTCCGGGTAGGTTCGTGCCATTTTTTTCATTTCCGGCGATAAAAACAGCAGCATGTAGAAAAAAGGAATCCAAGACCCCATCACAGGGCACCACCATCAGGTGAAGCTTCAGGAACACGGCAGACCAGTGGCTGCAAACCACACGAAAGTTTTCTCAAGCGGGCATGGGCCTTCGTTCTACGTGTGTGGATGTGGCAGCAGCGTATTTGGTTTCTGTTGGTCTGTGCTTCGCGGTGCTTGGCTTTGGACCCCATGTTTGGAACTGTTTCCTTGTCGCCTCACGTCACCGCGGCTTTGGCGGCTCACAACAAGTTGGTGCCTGTCCCCCTTAGTGTCGACACCGCCCTGGCGCAGCGACAACGGGCATTGATCGCTCAAGTGGATCTGGCCGCCTCGAGGTTTCAGTTAGAAGCAAAGCGCTGCTGTTTTTGCTGAAACTCAGCCTGGTGGGGGCGCTTTCCTGGCTACTTTACCGGCCGGACGCCTGCGCTTGGAGCAGGCCGGTGAATGTGCTGAAGCAATCCCGCACCAAGCTATCGAAGTGCTCAAGGGCTGCTTGTTGTGGCAATGGCGGGTTGCACCTCATGCTATGGATGAGTTTGGCATGGCCCGCACAAGCACGGAGGAGGGGAAAAAAACAGGAGGACGAGAAGAAAAAACTGGAAGAGAAGAAGAAGAAGAAGAAGAAGATGATGATGAAGATAATCAAGAAGAAGAAAAAATAAAAAGAAAAAGGGAAATAAAATTCATGTTTTTTTGGTGTTGTCCCATGGCCCCCGCTGCTAGGAAAAATTGAAAAATGATCAGCAACTCAAGGGTCCCATGCCTACTTGTGAGGTTGTGGAGTGTGGTCAAACCATCGGGGAAACAACAAAAAAAAACAATGTTTACACAATTCTGCAATTTTCAGTGTGCCATTTTCCGCAATTGTGTCAAAAGTGTTGATTTGTGAGGTACGCTAAGGGGTCTTGCAATGTCACCCATTGGTACGTCGCAAGAAATGTTAGGGAGCAACCACAACTGATGTTCCTTTCCACCGCAATCAAGAGATTGTTTACAAGTCAAAAACCCAAAGAACCCGCACGCTTCAAATGTTGGGGGAAAATGATCAGCGGTACACAATTGTCTGTGGTTTATTCAAGTGTTCACTGGGGTGATGCGCAAAATGTTTCAAGCTTTATGTTTGCCAGAACGCAGGATATCATGTACTTGGTTGAACCCAGAGCGGATTGCGCAAAACAATCAAGGCATTACAACACCCACACCAGTTTCTGCCTCCTGCTGCGCCGCCAACAGCGGTCGCAATAGCTACACAGAATTGAGGGCATTGTGAAAACAGGTGACGTTTGAATTTGGCGTGGACATGCACTCATGCCTGCACCTCTTGAACGTGGCACCCCTGGAAAATATGCGTTGGATTCACAAAAAACGGGCATGTGGCTTACATGGTCGCTCGAACTTTACGAACGCAAGTTTCAGGGTCGCAAAGTGTCAAATCATTCAATGAAAAACACAATGTAGTCTTATCTCGCTAAGCGTGGAATGGACATGCCTGACACGCTTTTGTGTGGTTAACATACTTTTCCATTTACAATGGGTCTGACATACAGTCGAGATGGTATGGCCAGACATTGGCAAATATTGGGCAACATTATGTTGGAGATGCTTCTGGAGCACGTATTGGTCCAGAGCAAGGACCATCCAGTCTCAAGATTTGGATCAGCGATGATGAGGGTGAAGTCAACGCCCGGGACTTCATTGAAAAACAGAATGGTGAAGCTCTTACCTGCCATCATTCTGAAAACATGAAAGCATGAAAATGAAACCAAGGTTGCATGCCCAAAAAAAATGCTAGCGGCGATGTCACAAAGTCGGACGATGACAGATCAAGATCTGAAACCACTGGCCGCAAGACCTTTGACCCGCCGGTAGCTCCAAAGGGTTTCACAACGTGGTTGCATGCACAAAGTCGAACATTCTGCATGTGAGCGGTTTCACTCCTAACGTTTTTGAACGCGGCGGGAGGCTAGAGCGTTTCCATACATGTGGGAATTGGCATCGTAAATGAAACAATGGAATTTGCTGAAAATGTTTCGTGATCCGAGAATTGCACAGTCGTGGACAAATGCAACTGACATTTAAAGCCTTCATGTGTCAATTTGCATACTTGATTTTTTATTTTGATTTGCCGCCTACTTTCTGGATGTCTGATTTGTCGTTTGCTTTTCAGATCTCGTGGCCCCAAATTTTTGGTTGTTGCATGTCGTGCCTAAGTGCATATCGTGCCTAGTTGAAAACCAACGGCCCAGAACGCAGTGGAACCCCAGCGGAAAAGCAGTGCAAATATTTGTTAAGCTGAACAAATCCACACAACCTGATGTAAGAAGGGAACGAACACAGAGTTTAAACCAAATTGTTCAGACAGGGGTCGGATCATTCATTGTCAGACCTCAATTTTTCTAAGGTCCGATTTTTTTTTCGAATGAAAATTTGCGCGCTTGCAAAGGCAGCGGCCAAAAGCGTAGACGGTCGCAAGAGACAGCGCGCAGCAGTTTCACAAACAAACTGTCATCTTTATAGCTTACAACATCTGAAAGACCATCGCATTTCTAGGCTGTCCACCGTTTTGTTGATCGGCATAATTTCCGTAGTTGTTTTCATGACTAAACGACATGGCACTTGTTGACCACGCAACGCCATTTGATCAACGGTTCAAGGAATTGTCCCGACAGCGCACATTCGAAATCTAGAGTGACTGACTGGAGGTCTAGACGGGGACAAACAAAAAGGAAACGCTGATTTCTTGATATGGGCATTGACAGGCAGCCGCAACCTTCATATTAAGCCGTTGTCAAAACTCATCGTCTTCGTTTGGTTCCCGAAAATTGGGCATCGCTTTTGGGAGGCCTATCGCTACCCATGGTGTTGCAAAAAAATAGAAAAGGGGAACGGAAGAGGAAAGGAAAACGAAAGGGAAAAGGAAAACGAAAAGGAAAGAGGAAAAGGAAAGGAAAAAGATTAGCATCGGGAAAAGGAAAGGAAAATGATTGGGAAGAGGAAAGGAGAAGGAGGAGAAGAAGAGGGAAAAAAATGAAGAGGAAAGGAAAAAAAATGGAAAAGGAAAAGGAAAAAAAAGTAAAGGCAAACGAAGGGAAAAAGAGAAAGGAAAGAGGAAACGATCAATTTCTGGTGTGGCCTGGGGCCACTTTTTAAACAGATGGATATCGATAAGGTACCGCTAAGGGTACCGCAAATTTAGCCTCTTGCATCTACGTAATTTTGCGCAAAACAATTTCAAAGGGAACATTTTCGACAATTACAAGCATCGCTTTTAGGGCGGAACCTATCGCTGGACTGGGCCGCTACATAGGGCCGCTGCACAACGCTGTGTGCATTTGTAGGCACCCGGGAACGCTCCTTACACGGGTAGTATGGCCGAGTTTTGACCGTGCCCTTTGTGGCCCTGTCAGGCATATGATAAAAACTGGTACCGTGCAGTGGAAAGCACTCAGTAGGGTTACCTCTAAAAAACGGGACATTGCGCATGGGGCCCCCTCAACAAAAAAAACTGGAGTCGCGCAGCTAAAAGAGCACACTGGTTTCAGCGGCGAGCACTGGCATTGAACCAGGTGAAGCTGTGAAGCTGGGAGTGTCAATCCCAGTGGGTTTACCAGTTGTAGATCAGGGAGAACACGTTTTTGCCAAAGCGAACCGGGAATTGTTGACAGAGACGTCAAAAGTATTCACAGGGCGGTTGCTGCAACAGTGGAGGCATACGGGCCGCCTTTTGATTCATGTGCTTAAGCCTTCGCAGCGAAAATGAACATGTTTTTGCTGCTACTGCCTCATCTTCAAAAAGCAGCGCAAGTGGACCGAAGAGTGCGTCGGCTTCAACCTCACCAAACAAGCCGACACCGAAAGTACACGCCAAGGCGACCGGAAGAAGAGCAAACCAAAGGCGTTGTCAAGCATGGATACGTTCAACAAAAATTGCTAAAACGTTTGCTGGGCATACACCATGGGATCAGGGTGCAAATTTCTCTGAGTAGCAGTGCCAGGCTTGCAAAGTGTGCGGGAGGTTTCCATGTCTACGTTTTTTGCCGCAAACCAAAACATTTTCGGTTTGTGTATAATTTGAAGAAACGAGGCGCTATCAGCTGGCTACAGGGCGAACATGCAAAGGAATTCGCTGGATTTCATTCATTTGATGAAAAGTGCGCCTGACAGACTTGGACTTGAAGGACGGCCAAAACACTTTTCTATTTTTTGACTCACCCGCTAACAACAGATGAGTGCTGATGGGTGCCCGTTTTCTGTCAAACAGAAGCCCACGAGTGAGGAGATCGGTGGCAAGGTGCGAGGGAAGCATCTACGCGAGGAACCGAGTGTGCCACATGTTGGTGACAAAAATCAAGGGAACTGTATGCGGCCCTGTTCGATCGAGTAAATGTTTTGGACGCCACATGTTCTTCCAACGCATGTCCTTTGACAAAGCATCAAAAAGGTCAGACGGTCAATGTGTCGTAGAAGATGGTTTTTACAACAACGACATTAGATTCATGAAAATTAAAGCTAAACAATGACTACCTCCTAAAGGATCACAGAGTGGTCCCCCACCTACGTTAATAAAAGTAATTAAAAATATCAATCCCAGGGCCATTACTTCTTCAAGGTTCTTTTTTGTTCCCGCATTTTCAATCTCAGTTTTCTGAACAGAGTAATTTGCTGGGCGGCACTTCCCCCTACCTAGATGTAATAGCTGGTTTTCTTCCCACCACGTAACATAATGTCAGGCAAAAATTATCCAAGAGATGGGGAACTACAATTTTTTTTGGGTTAAGGGGACCCCAAATCATTTTCCTAATAACAAGGAAACGTCCAATTTATTTTTTCTATCGCCAACCATTGGTTTTCCTTCCTCCCTGCTTGCGTAGGCACGCGTAAAATTAGTGTGGTGGTGTGTGTACATGTAGAGGACCCATGATTATACTGACGCTCAATCTAACCGGGTCGCATTTACATCAGATGCGTTCGGAACAGAATCGTATTGATTGCGCGCAATGAAAATTGAAATCCCATTGCAAAGCCTCACGAAAAAATAAACACCCAATCGATTTTTTTTTGCGCCAACATATTTTTTTTTTCCCAGCTAGCGTGGCCACGCGCAAAATTAATTTGAGGGTAGGTGTACTGATTCGGTTTAAATGAATTTGAAAAAACATTGCCAAATTAAGTCGAGGTGGCCCAAGTGTCATTTTCAAGCATTCAAAATAAATGATTTTGGGTACCCGTAACCTAAATTAATTTTCGAATGGTAAAGTTCTCGCAAGAAAAATTACCCCAATTAAAAAAAAATGAAAAAAAAAATGGTAACCAACGGTCCACCTGAATTAGTTTTTCTAAGTTGTTGGTCATGCTAAACAAATAGTTGTCATTCACATGGGGCCTCGGCGTGGCACTACAACCAGAACGAGAGGAAAAGTCACTTTTATCCTTTTGCACAATTTTTGATCCTTTTCCACAAAATGCGCGGACGGTTGCAAGGCAAGTTGACATGTTTGGTCACCACTTTTTTTTGGTTTGACTCCTTGAAAAAACGGTGTGACAAACAGGATTCACATGCACCATGGTCATCGCCGGCGAGGGTCATTATCCTACACCACGTATTGTCCTGGACAAAGTCTTGAGTCTTGCAGCTTGGAGAATTTGAAGCGGACGCATTTGAGCAGCATGTGCGATCCCTTGGCAAGAGCTTCAGCTGAGCAATCATGGGGGCATTGCTGAAAGGCAAACATGCCAAACCCTTGGTTTCAGAACCTCGCGAATAGATCAACGTCGCGTTCCCTTTTCACTCGGATGCCAAATCGAAACATGTTTTTTCGCCAAAAGGTACGGTCGCACAACCGCCTGTGGTTACCACGCCGGGCGAAGTGCAGGACGCCATGGATGAGCAAATTACCAGACCAATGAAACAAATCGGTGATGTTTCCTTGTCACTCACGCATCGCCACTGATTGCACGCAGCCATCGAAACACATTGTTGTTCGCATGCGTTTTTGTTGGCGAAACCGCCTTCGTCCATGTGGCCAGTGAACCTATAGCCTCCGCGGTATACACAAAATATTTAAAAAAACAAACCCCCATGTATAAGTACAAACCAAACCATGACAAATATATTTCAAAAAAACGCTCACGACTTACAACTGACTGCAACAAAATTTACACACCAAAAGAAAAATGTAGGTCCAAATCATGCATTCGCCATTCGGAAAAAAATATGTTGAAATGTCAACAACTGCCAACACCTTCCGATTCGGAATCAAGGAAGACGACAACAACAACAACAACAACCACGACGACGACAACGACAACGACAACGACAACGACAACGACCACGACCACGACCACGAGCCACGACGACAACGACAACGACAACGACAACGACCACGACCACGACCACGACCACGACCACGACCACGACCACGACCACGACGACGACAACGACGACGACAACGACAACGACAACGACAACAGCAACAGCAACGGCAACGGCAAAAGCAACGGCAATCACAACGACAACGATGACGACAACGACGACCACGACAACAACGACGACGACGACAACGACGACAACGACGTCCCTCTAGAAGCGTGTCGTCCGAGTTTGCATGCGCACACGTGTCCACACATCGCAAACGTGAGCGCGGCGGCGTGCCAGAAAAACATGTGATAAAACAACCCAGTGGACCAAAGCATTCGGTTCAAGGTGGACATTCATTACATTATATTTAGTTATATCACATACAGGTCGATATAACAAAACCTAAACGCATAAAAAACCAAACTAGGAAAACTTACTAAAAACGCAAAATCGACAACAGTTCAAGTTCCCTTCCCTCTCAGCTTCAGCACGAATTTATTAATCTTTCTTTTTGTCATTGCTGGATTTATTGTAACGCAGTTGAATTCTGAATTCAGATGTAACTGCCAAAATTGTCAATGGCATCTGATACCTCCCATGTTTTAAACATGGAGAAATGGAGTGAAAATCTGTGAATTCGGAGTCGTTCGAATATGCCAAAGCGAAGCGCAGTAGATGGACAGAAGGTGCCATCACAAGGTCCAGATTTCAAGAAAAACCAAAAGTTCAAATCGCAGCAAATCACATTGTTGATATAAAGAGCCAGGTGCTGCTGACGCTGTCAAATTCAGCGCATCTCCAGAGAATTTGCACTTGCCAAATTTCGGTATCGAGGACGCAAAGTGCCCCGTTCACGTGACCAGACATTGTACATTAAACAACTGCTAAGTGAAGCTAAAAGAGGTGTGGAGGGAGGGTAAAAAATTGCAAAACAGCTAAGATAAATGTAATCAATGTCACCTTGAGCCAAAATGTAGTGGTTATTTCATATAATGAAGTACCCCCTACAAACATTACTGAACGAGTACAGTTAAAGTTCAAGGTGGGCATTCATTACATTATATATAAATCTTATATCAGAACAAACTCAGGCAAACACTTAAGGTGAGTGACATACGCTGGTATCGTTTCGACAACTAACACAATACCAAAACCGTATATACGCAAGCACAAGTATATAGTTATTTTGCTAGCATATGTATGTAACATATATATACGTACGCCGATCTCGAAAAGCCACTGAATTGTCGTGAAAAATCAGCACTGTCGAAAATAAAGATGGAACTCGATGGATCTGCGATGCCGACGCAAAAACATTCTTTTTCCTCCGCTCTGCTAGCTCTTTGCTGGTCTGGGGATTTCGCAATGTAAGTTCGACCACCAAGCAGGTGTAAGTGACAGTTGGTTGTATCTGCCGCTTCCTCTTTGATGTGAATCTCACTTTCGTGAGTTGTCACAAATGATGCTCAGTGTTTTTCCCCTTCCCTAAATAGGGTAAGGGAGAGTGGGCCGAAAGAAAAAGTTGGTTGTGAAAGAAAGGTTTTTTAACCCTCCTCTTCCTCACCCTTGATATGAAAAATGCCACACAAACATAGAATTGAAGTGTGTTACCAAGGGAAGGTGTGTTGTTTTGTTTTGGTTGTGCAAGTTGTCAAATTTGAAACACTTGATTTGGATACCGCGTGTCACACAAGATTTAAAGTATGGAAGACATGAGGAATGTTTTGCACTGAGTTGCAAAATTTGTTAAGAAACATTTTGCTATGTTCTTACAAAGATAGTGCTCTCACTTCGTGACAGCACTCATCTTATATCAGAACAAACTCAGGCAAACACTTAAGGTGAGTGACATACGCTGGTATCGTTTCGACAACTAACACAATACCAAAACCGTATATACGCAAGCGCAAGTATATAGTTATTTTGCTAGCATATGTATGCAACATATATATACGTACGCCGATCTCGAAAAGCCACTGAATTGTCGTGAAAAATCAGCACTGTCGAAAATAAAGATGGAACTCGATGGATCTGCGATGCCGACGCAAAAACATTCTTTTTCCTCCGCTCTGCTAGCTCTTTGCTGGTCTGGGGATTTCGCAATGTAAGTTCGACCACCAAGCAGGTGTAAGTGACAGTTGGTTGTATCTGCCGCTTCCTCTTTGATGTGAATCTCACTTTCGTGAGTTGTCACAAATGATGCTCAGTGTTTTTCCCCAGTTATTGTGAGCAGCATATAGGGAGATTTGTGAAGTTGGGTTAAGGTGTTGACCACAGCGCTTGGAGCTTGGACTGCACCACCCTCTTCCATCGCATTCCTTTGCATTGCCTCTTTGAGGCGGTTACGTGATGGCAAATCGGCAGGATTCATTATTACGCGCAAACTATCACAGCCCAGGAAAGACTGCCGCCAACAAGGTCGGTGTCATCCATCAAGTGTGACAGAGCTAGCATGGTCGGAGGACTGCTGCTTGCCTTGATTGCTTAGATTTTAGCTGACTCATTGGTGATCTCTTGGGATTTCTGCGCTTCTGAGCTTGCTCTTTGCACACCTGCTTTGGCAGCACCAATCGCCACAGTTCCATTTAGGAGATGAAGTGCTCGCCTGCGTAGGCAAGCCCAGTGTCAATCAAGGGCTTGAAGCAGATCACTCGCGATAGCAACTCTCACATCTCTATCGATCAAGGTGGGACCGTGTGTGACAACGTGATCCATCTCTGCTTGGTCAGTGAAGACCGCTAGGACGGCGATCGACATTCAAGACTGAGTGTACTCTCAAGCGTTGTTCCAAAAGAGCATGGTTTGTGCTCATGGGCAAGGGCTCCTGCTCCAACATCTCTTAGGGCTTGTTGACGCGACTTTTCTCGTTTTTAGCCGTCAAGGTGCTTATGCTCATGGTACCAGGGTCTAATGTTGCATTGAACAAGTCAAACGCCTCTTCGAGGTTGAGAATTTTGTCACCTTCTTTGGCGTGGTCTCATCCAAGCAAGTCAGTGACTGCCAGTGCCCACGCCCGGTACCCTTTCGACCTCTCAACTTTTGGGTAGCTATCAAGGTGCCGGGAAAGAGGTGGCTTGCCGTTCATCCCAGGGCCGCCGCTCAGTGTTGGTTGTCCCAAGCAGAGCGCTGACGGCCAGTGCCAACACCCGGTACTCTTCCTACTTCTCAACATTTAGGTAGCTATCAAGGTGTCTGAAAATGATGGCTTGCTGTTCGTCTAAGGCTGCTGCTCAGTGTTGATTGCCCCATGGTATGGTTGAGCAGCAAGAAGTTTGTGGGCTGGGCCCAGTCACGTCTGCGTCGGTCGGCTGCCGTGAGGTGACACGACCTTGACTTGCCAACAATTTGGTTTGTCTTGCTGCCATGTGCGCAGGGCTTCGAACTGAAAGGACTCCAAGTTTTGCAAAATCATCCCGCAAATTATTGGTTCTTGATGTCTCACTTTTGTGAAGCGTTGGGACTTCCCAATGTCGGGCGTTGCTCACTTGTTGATGCCTCTCAGTTTTACTGGCATCGGTTTTTCTCTGGCGCGGGAGCATGTTCAACAAGGTTTACGGTGACGCGGCATTGATTCAAGCAGCGCCAACTGGTTTGAGTTCAAAACATCCAGAACAAAGACGTCGACCTTAGGTGAGTGTCTATTGGCTGAATGATCTAAGGGGTGAATTTGAAATCCAGAACGCCTTGAGGCGTTGGATAGCTTGCTAGGCCACAACAAATGTCAAATTTTGTAGCCTCTAAAGTGAAACTGCTTTCGACTGTTGTTGCACGAAGTCAGTTCGGGCACTCATTGCCCGGGTGAAGTTTGTGGCATGATTTCTTCCAGCACATGTGGTATCCCACCATGCAACGTTTGCCTGGTTGTATCTTGGCTGTGCAGCGTCCGACTTGCCAACGTTTGCACAACTGCTTACCATCCACGAAGATTTCACAATCGTCAGGAACTTCAATGCCAGTGTTAGTCTTTCCTTTTCCCTTGGATGATTTTCCTTTGCCATCAAGGGGGTTCGACGCTTTGCCTTTTCCTGTAGCCGACGAAGTGTTGGTTGCGTCGTGTTTCTGGCTAATCACGCTCTGCAAAGGAGTCAAATGTTGCAACACTTCTGGGTGTTCAGAGAACTTTTCAAAGGCAATGTCAAAAGGCTTATCAGCCCCAGTTTTCGGCTGCAGCTTGCCTCGAGTGTCGTTCGAGACCTTGACCCATAAAGCTTTGTCTGCGTTGATCACCTGTTCCACACTGATATGTCTGTAATTTGTCAACGGCGTTTCATTCATCTTTTCGAACAGCTTTTGAGTCCACAAGTCAAGAGCTGCAAAGGTTGCTATGCCCGCTAAATCATAAGCCAGCGACCTTCTCAAAAATGCTTGTCGAAGTTTATGTTCACCAGTCACATTCACGTCATCCAGCTTCTGCTTTTTGCTGAGCCGCAAGCCCCCAGAGTTGTCCAGCACCAAAGAGGTGTCAACCTTGGAGCGCAAAGCTTCATCATGCCTGGACGAGCAACGATTTAACTCAATGTAAGTGATGACATTGTCTTCCAGTTGTTGGCAAACACGATCTATAAGGGAGTGTGAAGGTTCACTCTGAGGTGTAAAGCTCAACCCAGTCAACCTCTGCTTCTGCATGCGGATTCTGTCCATCTTCTCAGCTAGTGGTATTATCCTTGCCTCGCTTGACTCTGATCTGTCTGCACGAGATTTCAGGTCCTCCAGAGACAAGGCATGCGCCTCGAAAAACAAGCGCCTGAAGCGCGTGATTGAAGCAGCTGATGGTGCAGCCGCCAACGTAGTAGTCAGGAAACCTATCAACGCAGTGTCATCGTTCTGTCCAGGTTGGTATGTGCTACAGTATGCATATGTTGCGTAACTGTTGATTCCTGCAGCATCGAGCGCATCAATTTCCAGCTGATCTATTCCAAGCTCTAGCGCCCTGTTCTGGAAGGCAACCTTCGAGTCTATTGCCATGCTAGGGTAAGCTCTGCGTGAAACAAGATTGTTTGTAAAAGTTTTGAAGAAAGCTGGACTAGAAAGTTATAACTGCGTTGTGACAAACCCTTGCACACCCAAAAACGGAGAGTGACTGTCCTGACATGTGAGTGTAACTCAAAAAGGCTTCTCAAGGTGTTTCAAGTTCTGTTTGAAGCGCGTTGCTGATGAGCCAATGGATATATCACGAGTTGAATGAGCAACGGCCACTTGGATGTCATGCCTCTGCCGCGTTATTCGACGCTAGGCATTGGGCTCCCAAATGATTCTTGCTTTCAAGACTTTCGTGATTACCAAGGGCTACCATCGCGAGGCAAAACTTCAAAAGAAAACCTTGGAATAGCTGCTTAAAATTTCATGAGGGTTTGAGTTGACTCACTGGCTCAAGGCTGGACTGCGAAACTTTTTTATCCGTCTGGGAGAGGTGCGAGCATGTTAAGGGCTGGGCCCTTGTCTAAGCAACTGCTGCCCGTCTGTGTAGTCAACTTCAAGTTGTTGGCATTGAAAACAACGTCACGGATCTCTCTTGGAGGCTCGGTAGGCATGTGAGCAACTAGCGCACACGACTGCCTCAGGCGTAGCAAGGTCATCCCTCGATGCCCTGTCAAATGACGCTGATGGGCTACGTCCACACCAGAACCTCTCATCCTCTGAGGCCAGCAGATGGATAACTTTTGAGCACCTGTTGATCAAGCATTTGTCAGCTTCAATGTCGTCTGCATCTAACCGACGAAAAGTAGTCTTTTGAGCCAAAACTGCATGTTCACCATTTGAAGAAGCCACTGATGAAGCGTCATCAGAGGTGCTTGAGCTGCTGTCGCTGCTCCCACCATCGCGCTCCAACGCCGTGTCGAAAGCCAGTTGAAAGAGTCGGCTGACCCTGGTGGCGTCGGGGTCAAAGCTTCCATCCCTGATTCGACAGAACATGAGGTGAATCTTTTTGCAAAGGCCTATTTGGTTGTCCCTCGAATAGATCATCGCCGACCTGTATTGAGCGTTGACGTGGTGCCCAAGTGCAAGTTGTTCGTCTGCTGTGAACATGGTACTCTTGGCTGCCCAACTTAACAAGGTAGCTTTCATGCCGTGCACTGTCAAGGTCGATGCCCTGTCACTGCCCACATGTGGCTCCAGAAGTTCCCTAAGCCAGGCTGTTGCTTCTGCTGTGGACATGCGGGAGTCAATCCATGTCTTTTCACTTTCCGACCAACTGTTCAAGAAGTGATTCCATGATCTGGCATCTGAAGCTTCTCGTGCATCCACCCAACTGCTACCCCATGACTCATCGTGTGTCACATGACCCAGCGCCGTGAAGGGAAGCAATTCCATCTGTTGTTCTTTCCCACGAGATGACTTGTGCTTTGAAGTCATGGCCTCAAGGAGGGTGACAGGTCCAGCAGTTGACAACTCTAAGGACACAACGTACATTGAATCGTGCCATCTGGCTGCAGCAGCAAAGCAAAAGATCAAATGGCCAGCAATCAACCTGCGATGATCTTCTTGGTCATGAAGGCAAATGTCCTCAAGGGCCGCAATCTCTGCCACCTTCAGCAGTTCAGCGGGCTTCCTGAACCTCTTTGTCATGTAGCAAGCATGTGCTGCACCTGTCACCCTAGGACTGAGAATGTCATTCAGTGGAGCCGCTGTGAACCCAATCAAAGCATCTGCAAATCTCAAGGCTTCTACAAACTGTGAGGGTGTAGTGGACCCCGCTCCAGAATCCCTCAGGTAACAGATGTAAGCATATACAACTCTCTCATCTTGACGGAAAGGTGAGCCACCTCCATGATTCTGAATCCAACATGAAAACCGCCACAGAGCATTGCATCGTTTCAGAATTGTGCCTGTTGCCTTTGGGGAGAAGACGTCCATGAAAACCTGTGATAGTTCCCCGTCTGAACACAACGTACCAGCAAAGCTCCTTAGAGACTGTCCCAACCGTGTGCATTCCAAATCCAGAAGAACCATTGTCTTGAACCTGGCAAGAGCAACATGTCGAAAATTATCACATGAAGATACCAGTCGCGAAGATTTGATGCGCTGCACGGTGAGTTCAGTCTGCTGTATTTGCTTGGGCACCAGGTTGTCTGATGAGCTTGCAGTGACATGGTCTGAGAGTCCAACCAAAGGCAAGGCCTGAGATACCTGAAAACGTTCCCAAAAGGGTTTCGGCCTGGTGAACAGGTTTGCCAATGGTCCTCTCTGCCAGGGTTGTTTCAAGTCTGCTGTCAACTTGTGCACATGTCTGGATGCCATTTCATCTGCAGTGCGTTTGATGGACATACTTTCATCTGACAAAGTTGTAGGCTTCGTTGCAACGGATTTCGGCTTTGGGTTCATGAAAACAGGCTCACATGAAGGTAAATGATCATGAAACTCAGAAGCGTCAAAAGATGCATCATCGTTGTTACCAAACAAATCTTCCGTGTCAGGCGCTTGGACGGGCTCCCAACTGCCATCATTGTCTGACGTAGGGCCGCCGCTGTCAACAGGTGGTAAGCTGCTGTCAGGAGCTGCAGATGAGTTGCCAATCCATCTACTTCTAAAACCTTTGTGTTCCACAACCATGCTATCCCCAGCTGAGCTCCAAACCACGATGCCTACTATGTGGTGTATGGATATACCGAGACCACTGATAGCACCCTGGAATCGCACAACTGTAGCTGCAAACCTGGTGCGACTCAAGTGATTCAGCCGTCTGATCCTGTGGCACACCTGCCTCCGGTCTGAAGTCTGAGCTGCGCCAGGAGCAAAAGCGAGGGAATGCCCAATCGACGTTCCAATTCGATGAGGATCAAAAGCAGTGATGAAACAAGTTGATGTTTTCAAAAAGCAGCAATCTGTCTCGTGCCGTTTGACCCCCTAACGCCGAAAGAAAAAGTTGGTTGTGAAAGAAAGGTTTTTTAACCCTCCTCTTCCTCACTCTTGATATGAAAAATGCCACACAAACATAGAATTGAAGTGTGTTACCAAGGGAAGGTGTGTTGTTTTGTTTTGGTTGTGCAAGTTGTCAAATTTGAAACACTTGATTTGGATACCGCGTGTCACACAAGATTTAAAGTATGGAAGACATGAGGAATGTTTTGCACTGAGTTGCAAAATTTGTTAAGAAACATTTTGCTATGTTCTTACAAAGATAGTGCTCTCACTTCGTGACAGCACTCTTATATCACATACAGGTCGATATAACAAAACCTAAACGCATAAAAAAACAAACTAGGAAAACTTACTAAAAACGCAAAATCGACAACAGTTCAAGTTCCCCTCCCTCTCAGCTTCAGCACGAATTTATTAATCTTTCTTTTTGTCATTGCTGGATTCATTGTAACGCAGTTGAATTCTGAATTCAGGTGTAGCTGCCAAAATTGTCAATGGCATCTGATACCCCATCAACAACTATTGACAATTATGGATAATAACGCCAACCATCCCCCTTTATAGAGTGGAATTATCCAGCAATTGACAAAAAGAATTGGAAATCGCGGAACTATGAGGCATGCAGTTGCCAAGGAATCAAAGTATTCTCCGGAAAAAGTCGCGGTTGTCTGTCCAAGTTCCAAAGATCTGTCAACTGCAGCTGAACTCTGTCTGAAGGTAAAAAATTATGAGGAGGAGAACCATTGTTCTCCCATCGGCTCAATGCATCCGCATACTCATTGTCTTTCCCAGGGATATGTCCCACTTGGACTTCAGTGTGGGAGCTCGCAATTAGCAAGCAAAGTTTCTCCAAAAACATTGCCAGTGGAATCTGTGTTGTAAAAAGTTTGTTTGAAACGGCCTCTGCACCTGTGTTGTCCGACAAGGTCGGGATCTTAATAGGAATCCGAGAGCCTGAAATGAGCGCACTGCAATGAAAACCAAGGCAATCTGCGCCAAAGTTTCCAATGAAGCTATGTCACATGTCTTTCTGCAAGTCATCATGCATTGGAATTTGCAAAGGCTGAAAATCTGCTGATGTCATTTGCAAACTAAACCATGCGCTTGAGCCAGAAGGAAAAAAAATATTGCACCGCCAATACCGCATTTATTGCCAGCTGCATGAACATCTGCAACACACAATCCAGACCCAGACCATGTTTTCTTGGATCACATGGACTGAACTGGGAGCAATCTGCCCAGCCAAGACAAATACATCCGCAACATACGGATGGATGATGGAGATAATTTTCCCTTGGAGCTATTGGGATCCCGTACTCGTAACCAAATACGTTTGTCCGACAATGCACAAGTGCGCAAATCCGATCGAGATTTCACTGGTTGATGCCGCACCTGGACCAAATGTCCTTGAAGTGGAATTGCTGAAAATCTGGGTTTTTGAACAAAAATGAGGTCGTCTGAAACACATGCGATGAGTTCTTCCCAACTACCCACGTCCACTGAGAACTGGGATGGTACGGAGTGCAAGTCCCTGTATAAGTAGTGAAGCCAAATCCTCATCTCTGGCCAAAGTTGGGTAATCCACAAAGCCAAACCAAGAAAACGCTCTAACGTTTTCTTGGAACAGTGACTCGAGAGCTTTTCCAGCAATTCCAGCAATTTGCTGCGTTTGATGTCCGGGAGAGTGATATACCCGGAGCGAATGTTGAAGGACCACCCGATCCAAATGATTGTTGCCCCAACTTCACACTTCTTCCAGGATATTGGCAAACCTGTCAGAAGACAAAGGATGGCAATGACTGCAGCGCTCAACCCAATAATTTGGGACTCCTGAATAAACAGCATATCATCCACATATATGAATGACGCATGAGGAAAGTAACAAATCCTATGGAATAATCGCTGAAAGACCCCACCAAGGCGAGACCAAAAGTGAGCTGAAATGACAGCGCCAAAGCTCCAATTTGTATGGTGCACTGTCAACAGTGGAGGATCAAAATCAGTTTCCTGAGTTTGAAGCGGAAAGCAGTGAGATGGAGTAATATCCTCCTGAATTCCCAATGGAACTCCCTCGATGAGGTAGTTAAAAAGAGATGTATCTGGAT